ATATTGGTTACTGACTGTAGAAAAATAAAAGTGGTACATTTTTTAGACGTCTGATCAATCTTGTTTGTCGAAACAATAAGTCTGACTCCTTCTTTTATATTCCACCCCAGTTTGGTGCTCAGGTCACCAGTGATTCCTGCAGATATGATTGGATAGTGAAACAATGTCAATAGAGCTGCAACTGTCCACAACTCTGATTAATAGATCCAGGCAGCGACAGTGGAACTCTTCTGTCTAAAAGTCAAAACGTTTTTGCTTTATCTATAAAACGTTCCATGTGTATTCTGTTGGAAGCTATTTACTGGTTAATAACAGTTTCATTAGCTTCAAATTGACCCCTGGATCCAAGAAAAATTGAAAAATTACCTCTTCGTAGACTTTCCTCAAAACTTTGGCCTATTTCAGTGTCAGCACGGTTTCAGAACTAAACGAATGTTTTTTCTTACAGATAACATATTATGAATATGAAAAACTGTTTGATCGCAGAGGTCTACGCAACACGTAAATATAACTGACTGGGTCCTGTTGCCGGATCTCTAATTAAAGAGATGTTGTAGCCAGACGTCACTTAATGTGTAAAATGAAACAAAACTGAATGCAAGACTCGCACTACGCAGAGGGCTGATTAAGGATAATTTTGTTCGCCGAAATATTGGCCCATAATAAATCAGCCCTTTGCCGTAGTGCCATCCTGGCATTCAGTTTTGTTTCATTTTACATGTCATGAATATGTTTTGCATATTCTTGCGTCGCGCAGCCTCGTTAATTCCACTCAAAAATATACCATCAATCAACCTCGTTTCCAAGCAAATATACCGTCAAAACGATGGTATGTTACGTGCATCTTCCAAATATGGTATGCACCAGTTGGTATAATACCTAGAATTAACCCGGGAATGGAATCAAAGGCAACGGCGAAATATTTTGAATAAATAGTCATTGTTTTTATTGACTTAGGTGCGTCAGCAACAAGGCTCATAACAGCAGATGGGGTTGTAGCGGTCGAGCTCGGCCGCTGAACATTATCATCACCGATGAAACCAACCATGTTATCTTTCCACTTCCGGAAATCATCAAAAATAATGCTGGATCAGGACTGTGGTACTCTATACCTTTCGTTAACGAAGTGTAAGTCTGACATGATTCTAATGGACGGCTTAACCGATCCCTTTGCTGTTCAATATATTTTGTTAAAGGTTGAGAAATATAACTTCATATCCCCTGGGTTCCCTTGTGAATCTAAGGACGTAGTCACCTTACTAGTTCAGCCAAAGGTCAGCCTTCAGAGCCTTTTACAGTAACAGTTCGATGCCGTGAGTCAACAGCTAATCACCCACCGTCATATCTTGTTAGTGCGAGCGGCAAAGCAAGTCAAGCCAGTGAGTGAGGAACAGGTAGTAAAAAAGACAGTTTACAGCCTCCTCAAGCACGGTCCTATGTTAGCCAGCCTGGCAATAAAAACGGACCGATGCAATGAAAAAATAATGTGCCATGCCTGAGTCACGGGCTTCAGTGTGTTTCTTAGGTTGTGTTCGATTAAGATTAACCGTTTCATACAAAACCGCTCGCTTTTGGTTCAGGGCTTTGGCTGGGTTAGGTTAGTTGGGTATAGTCAATTCCCGAGGAAGTCTGGAAATGCCTACATCCAGTAGTCATACAAAAAGTTATGAGACAGTTCTGGCCATTCCCAAAACTTTACTACGCTGGGCGTTTTTATAGAGGTTGAAAGGCGCAGTGTATTTATCTGAGCCCTTTCTCCTCAGATATTCTGACGAGCTGGTCTTCGCGAACTTTGGTCAGCCGTTGTACCTGCCAAAAGACGAAAAATTGCGGTTTTGGTACGGAGACGACTTGAAAAACCACTCCGAGGGTGACAACCAGGGTCAAGTCTGCTTCCATGTGTTCGCTCTCTTCATGTGACTTTGGGAACAAATTTCAACACAAGTGATTTTTAAAATTCATTTCAACTTACAACTCAGTTATCTTAAAGTCATAAATTAGGGAGTAGCAAAGTGAGTTAACTATCTGCATTGGTTTATTTGCAAAAGAATAATAATACAAAAAAAACTTGAACTAATTTTACAAGGCAAATTTAGAATTAAAGGCATACCACGGGTTATATCTGCAGTTAGTTAATTAATATTGATGCGAGAACAAAGGTGCAATAAAGAACATGGATTCGTCAAGGCTATTTAAATCTCTTTCTCACTAATTTAAAACCATTTTTAAATGGTTTAAATTTTTAGAAATTAGAATTAGTGTTAAATTTAAGTTTAGACTTTCTTATTGTTAAAAGCAGTTCCGGTCGGTTATAACAGTGGGGATTACCTTCCCTACAGCATGGTCTTATTGCCTGCCTTTCGGTCACTTGTTTTCTGACGAGCAACAGCGACCACCCTAGCCTGTGGGAGGGGGTGGGTTGACCACGGTGACATAAACGGGCCAGGAGGGAAGCTGGTAGCCTCCCACGCAGGCGTTTTTAGGGGAGCTCGTGTTTCGTCCCTAATTTCGACTTCCGGTTTCCGGTTGCACGAAAGCGAGGCTTAAGATGTAAGCTGTATCTTTGACCACGCTGTACTGTCATGGCTGACACAACTGGAAGTTGTGGACGTACTGACTTACTGGTATAAACCTAAATCTCGCAAGCTTGGCTTCATATAGAATTGATGATCTTTAATTCTGGCTGAAATGTAGGGGAGATAACCTTAAAATACTGCAACGAAAGCGTTGTGTATTCAAAGGTAAGTCTCGCGAGTTTGTCAAACAATCTGAATAATCAGTTATCAAACATAATCTTAGGGCTCCTCCTTAAACTTACTTTGCTTTCTTTTTCACAAATTATCTTTAGAATCTAAGAATTCTTCAAGAATGGAAGAACATCTGCCGTATTAAACCCTAACGACAGTCTTTTACAAAAGCAATCGGATGGCACTGAAACTGGAACTACAAATCAGCATGCTCAAGAGAGTTTTGATCAAGGTGTTTCCAGCGATAACAGTGAAGAGGATTTTAGACGAGGTAAGTTGTCAACTTACTGACAAACCGTTGTTGATTGATGAAATGCTCAATGTGTGGCTTAATTTACTCCGAAAAATTACATAACAGATCTGCGTAGGCGTTCTTTAATTCATCATATTCTTCCAACGTATTTGTATGTGTAATCAAATGGTGACGAGTGAAATTAGGGAATAATTTCACGCGCGTTTTGTCCAAATCCTATAATTTCCCGAGCCTTCAGGCTCGCATGTGAAATTACAAATTAACGCTGAAATTTCGCGCCAAAATTAAGGAGTCGAGTAATTCGTCACCTATGATATTAAATGTATAACGGAACTCATTTTGTTTACGTAACAGGTGGAAATTAATGAACCTCCTCCTCAGACGCGGTGAGTCCTTGGACTAGAAGTTTGGATGGATTGCTTTTGCTCACTCTTAGAGGAAAAGAGGCATTTTATAAAGACTCTGGAAAAACCGCTAAGTTGAATAAGACAACTGAATAACTGTTAAATGATTATGTCCAGTTAAACATTAGCTCTTTGAATGAACGTAAATTTTTCGAGCCATTTGTAGAGCTAGCTACAGAAAGGAAAATTACAAACTATGCTTTGCTATAAAAAAAGTCATCTTCAGGTGTTAAAGATGTTTACTGTACATGTAGAGCTGGCAAAGGTGGTTGGTGTAATCATGTTTATGCACTAATGAAGGTCATTGCCAAATTTTCTGTGGAAGAATCGAAGTGCATCCCTGAGCTTCTATCCTGTACTTCAAAACCATGTGGTTGGACAGTACCAGAAAGGCGGCAACAGAATGTCTCTAAATCTTCAGTTATGAAAACCACAGTTAAAGAAACAAAGCCAGAACCCAAGGGATTTGCAGGCAATTTGTTCTATGCCAGAGTAGAACATCTGAAAGAACTTAACCTTGAAACACATCTTAAGAATGATACTATCCCATGAGTTATAACTTTCACTGTTATGTCTTTAACCCTGCAAATATTTTTCTTATTAAAATTACATTACAAAACATTGATATTGTTAGCAAAAATTACATATTGGTTACTGACTGTAGAAAAATAAAAGTGGTACATTTTTAGACGTCTGATCAATCTTGTTTGTCGAAACAATAAGTCTGACTCCTTCTTTTTATATTCCACCCCAGTTTGGTGCTCAGGTCACTAGTGATTCCTGCAGATATGATTGGATAGTGAAACAATGTCAATAGAGCTGCAACTGTCCACAACTCTGATTAATAGATCCAGGCAGCGACAGTGGAACTCTTCTGTCTAAAAGTCAAAACGTTTTTGCTTTATCTATAAAACGTTCCATGTGTATTCTGTTGGAAGCTATTTACTGGTTAATAACAGTTTCATTAGCTTCAAATTGACCCCTGGATCCAAGAAAAATTGAAAAATTACCTCTTCGTAGACTTTCCTCAAAACTTTGGCCTATTTCAGTGTCAGCACGGTTTCAGGACTAAACGAATGTTTTTTCTTACAGATAACATATTATGAATATGAAAAACTGTTTGATCGCAGAGGTCTACGCAACACGTAAATATAACTGACTGGTTCCTGTTGCCGGATCTCTAATTAAAGAGATGTTGTAGCCAGACGTCACTTAATGTGTAAAATGAAACAAAACTGAATGCAAGACTCGCACTACGCAGAGGGCTGATTAAGGATAATTTTGTTCGCCGAAATATTGGCCCATAATAAATCAGCCCTTTGCCGTAGTGCCATCCTGGCATTCAGTTTTGTTTCATTTTACATGTCATGAATATGTTTTGCATATTCTTGCGTCGCGCAGCCTCGTTAATTCCACTCAAAAATATACCATCAATCAACCTCGTTTCCAAGCAAATATACCGTCAAAACGATGGTATGTTACGTGCATCTTCCAAATATGGTATGCACCAGTTGGTATAATACCTAGAATTAACCCGGGAATGGAATCAAAGGCAACGGCGAAATATTTTGAATAAATAGTCATTGTTTTTATTGACTTAGGTGCGTCAGCAACAAGGCTCATAACAGCAGATGGGGTTGTAGCGGTCGAGCTCGGCCGCTGAACATTATCATCACCGATGAAACCAACCATGTTATCTTTCCACTTCCGGAAATCATCAAAAATAATGCTGGATCAGGACTGTGGTACTCTATACCTTTCGTTAACGAAGTGTAAGTCTGACATGATTCTAATGGACGGCTTAACCGATCCCTTTGCTGTTCAATATATTTTGTTAAAGGTTGAGAAATATAACTTCATATCCCCTGGGTTCCCTTGTGAATCTAAGGACGTAGTCACCTTACTAGTTCAGCCAAAGGTCAGCCTTCAGAGCCTTTTACAGTAACAGTTCGATGCCGTGAGTCAACAGCTAATCACCCACCGTCATATCTTGTTAGTGCGAGCGGCAAAGCAAGTCAAGCCAGTGAGTGAGGAACAGGTAGTAAAAAGACAGTTTACAGCCTCCTCAAGCACGGTCCTATGTTAGCCAGCCTGGCAATAAAAACGGACCGATGCAATGAAAAAAAATAATGTGCCATGCCTGAGTCACGGGCTTCAGTGTGTTTCTTAGGTTGTGTTCGATTAAGATTAACCGTTTCATACAAAACCGCTCGCTTTTGGTTCAGGGCTTTGGTTGGGTTAGGTTAGTTGGGTATAGTCAATTCCCGAGGAAGTCTGGAAATGCCTACATCCAGTAGTCATACAAAAAGTTATGAGACAGTTCTGGCCATTCCCAAAACTTTACTACGCTGGGCGTTTTTAGAGAGGTTGAAAGGCGCAGTGTATTTATCTGAGCTCTTTCTCCTCAGATATTCTGACGAGCTGGTCTTCGCGAACTTTGGTCAGCCGTTGTACCTGCCAAAAGACGAAAAATTGCGGTTTTGGTACGGAGACGACTTGAAAAACCACTCCGAGGGTGACAACCAGGGTCAAGTCTGCTTCCATGTGTTCGCTCTCTTCATGTGACTTTGGGAACAAATTTCAACACAAGTGATTTTTAAAATTCATTTCAACTTACAACTCAGTTATCTTAAAGTCATAAATTAGGGAGTAGCAAAGTGAGTTAACTATCTGCATTGGTTTATTTGCAAAAGAATAATAATACAAAAAAAACTTGAACTAATTTTACAAGGCAAATTTAGAATTAAAGGCATACCACGGGTTATATCTGCAGTTAGTTAATTAATATTGATGCGAGAACAAAGGTGCAATAAAGAACATGGATTCGTCAAGGCTATTTAAATCTCTTTCTCACTAATTTAAAACCATTTTTAAATGGTTTAAATTTTTAGAAATTAGAATTAGTGTTAAATTTAAGTTTAGACTTTCTTATTGTTAAAAGCAGTTCCGGTCGGTTATAACAGTGGGGATTACCTTCCCTACAGCATGGTCTTATTGCCTGCCTTTCGGTCACTTGTTTTCTGACGAGCAACAGCGACCACCCTAGCCTGTGGGAGGGGGTGGGTTGACCACGGTGACATAAACGGGCCAGGAGAGAAGCTGGTAGCCTCCCACGCAGGCGTTTTTAGGGGAGCTCGTGTTTCGTCCCTCCCACAATTGTGGAGCTCCCCTAAAAACACCTGTGTGGGAGGCTAGGAAGTTGGGGGATTTGTTGACTTTTGTGGCCAATTTTTAGCCCGGGGTAGGGGTTTTTGATCGCTTTTGCACTCTTTTAACAGGATATAATATCGCAAGACTGTTTCCCTGTAAATTCACTATTAATATGCTATAATCATGTGTGCAGTATAAGAGCATATCAGGGAAACTATTTATTGAATCCTGGTTGTATGACTTACAGATTACGCTCAGTTTTACCTCTTATAGCTGACAGGCCGGACAGCCGTTTTTAATACTTTCTTATATTTCATTAACACTTTAAACACCCCATGAGAAGTATTTTCATAGAAATTGAAAAAAACTGAAGTTGAATATCTCTTGCAATACCGCACGTTGGGCTAGAGATCATCTGCAACAACGGTTGCTCAAAAAATAGGGATTTTTAATGTATCCCTCGTGGACGCGGGGTGAGGGACAATGGTAGCTTTTGTAGAGAAATATTGTTCTTGGGTAGAGGGGATTTGTAAAACGTCATTCTGCAAATGCCCGAGGGTTCCCCGAGGTCATCCCCCGGAATGGCCGTTGATAAATGCATCGAATCTATGGCATCACAATAACAATGTTAGAATACTGTTGGGTAATGATGTCCAGCCTACTTTGTATTCATATACGATCTATTGATGTCAATAAATGGTGGCTCGCTCAGAAATCAAGTATGAAGAGGCCAATTGAGAACCAGCATATATGCACTGTCTCAAGGCCAGATTCAGGCAATTAAAATGTTCTCAGTAAAAGCTTTTTCATGAAGTCGTTGTGCTTTCTCTTGCCTCTGCAACTGAGCTCTCCTTGTCTTGCCATGGACTGACTGTTGCTCGTTTCTTCACATCATGGCTCGCAGGATCCACCAGGAATTCGGTTTCTCTCACCTTTAAAAGACTTATCTGTCTAATAGTCGGCAAATCACCGTTTTGCTCTGTTTTGTTGGATAATTCATACAGTCCTTTCCTTCCAAGTGCTGTGTCTTCGACGACGTATTCCTGAGACATGCACCGGGCCAATACGGTGTTGGAAGACGTATGACTTCCGCGGGATCTCAAGTTCCCGGCAGGTCCGAAGCAACTCCGGAGGACTTCGAGAAAAGGGCGGCGAAAATTTCTGTTCAGTACAATGTAAAGGTAAGGGTTTATTGCGGAGTTTGCGTGCGAGATACCAAAAATGATTAACAAAGACAGTTTGTTAAATGTTCTATCTTCAAAGAATATGAAAAAGTGCATTAAATGCGCAGGTAGCCAGCACAGCGCGAAAACCACCACAATAATGATGAGCATTTTTATAGTCCTCCGCTTGCTAAGTTCTACATTTCTGAGATTAACTTCTGTTGGATTGCCAGGAATTCGTCGAGCCCATAGCTTGAAAGAAATAATACTGTAGAATATGCAAATGAAGAGCAAAGGCACCAGATATAGGGCGATGAAAATAAACGAAAAATAAATCCTTGACGCTGTAAAAGAATCAGCCAAGGGCTCCCACAATACAAAGCAGTGGTAACTGTTATCTTCGAGTAGATTGCTTTTGTAGTAGTAGAGGTAGGGTGACATACAAATTACGGATACCAGCCAAATAAGCATGTTTGTCGTGGGAATGTGACGAATGACGCTTACACGTTTAAATGGATATGCGACGGCGAAGAAGCGATCCAGCGCTATCACTGTCAGCGTTAAAATGGATGCTGCAATGGACAGAGCAATTGTAAAGTGTAGTAACTTGCACGTGATCATACCCATAATGCCACCGAACCAGCGGCTTGCAACGTACGTGTAGGCGACTGAATAGGGCATGGCACTGAATGTCATAAGGAGGTCTGCGGCGGCCATGTTGGCAATTAAGCAGTTTGTGACTGATCTCATAAAAGGCCTTGTAAACACGATAAAGATGATGATTGTGTTACCACTTAACGAGAATAGAAGCATTATACTGTACACTACGATGATGGTAACTTGGTGAATAATTGACGGTGGCTGAAGTGGGTCGACCAACTCATCAGTGGAGTTCATGGAATCTGAAAAAGTGACAATTTTATGAATTAATGACTGGAAACGGACATTTCACTCTAGATTAACTAATCAATATACAGAGTCCTCAGTTTACCAGAACTTGGGTCGTCGTCAGATCACTTACTAAATAGTATGGAATGCAGTGGCACCTAACCATAACCTTCCTCGGGCATTTAAAAATGAAGCAGCAGGGGGTTAGGCGTCGTGTGTACAGCCAAAAAAATATAGAGGCGGGAAAAAGAGCTCCCGACTTGGAGCTCGGTCTACAGTGCGTTAAATCTTACACAAACAGCTGTGACTGAAAAAACTGCTCAAGATTGAACACCCAGGGGGCAAAGACGAGACTCTTCCCGTGGTATAAAATGGCCAGTCCTTGAGCGGTAGACGACCAAGAGCAAAAAAATGCAGTTTTGTCTGAAGTCTTGGAATAGTTCTTCATTTCAAATCAGTTAATGTTAATAGTCGTAAAAAATTTTTTTTCACGCAGTGTGGAAACCAATTAAAAGAGAACGTTCTCCGAGCCCCTTAAGGTGGCCCGAACCTATTTACTATGCGTGTTGAATTGGTTATGTTCAGTTTTATTTGCGTTTTTCAGAATGAACGATTCAAAGTTTTTAGACTTGCCATCACATTCGCAGGGGAAGTTTACCACTTGGGAATAAAGATGAAGACAAATATGACAATAGTCTTATTCTTTTCACTATCCCTAACAGCAAACTGCCCGTGCGAATGTGATGGTAAGTCTTAAAAATCGTGAATGAATTACCAAGGCGAGTGTTTTCATTGCAGCTGAAAAATGGATGGTTAGAATTACTGGAGTTGGTGGCCTTATTTCTCTTCAAAACGGGAACCTGCGACGCTAAAAACTCTTGATAGTTTTTCGTAGAAGCTATATTTTGGTTAATGTTAATATTTGTGTCCAAAAGAGAGGGACAAATGCAAAGTAAGTTTGATGAATATAGAAGTTCTCTAATATCACTGCGCACTCAGCTTAAAATTGTTCTTCTTAAAGTGCTAACTGTATTCGCCGTAAGTTTCTGATTACGCTGTTTCTTTCAATAAAGCCTTCGGTAGGAATATCCTTTCAGATAGGAGATAGTCTGTCGGCAGTCTTCCTCTATTTGTGTGTCAACTTTCACAAATGTGTTAACGTATAGCATTTTAGCATTTGACCAGCATTTTGTGCAGCGAGTTCTACGGTCACGATTGCCTTCAAACTTGCAGTTGTAAAACTAGAGAGCTCAAAGGCTTATTTGCTGAAGTTAGGGGAAAATCTGTCGTGGGATTTCAAAGGTTTTCACATTTTTCGTAAAAATCTGGTTTTAAATACATGCCGATATCTCAAAGGTATTTATACCTACAAGAAAATAAATAACATTTTCTTAAAGTTCCATTATTATTTATTGAGGATGCCAAACATCATAGAAATCGGTTGAATCTTTTATTCTGAAAAACGTAAAACAAAAACATAACCAACACGCATATAAATAGGTTCGGGCCACCTTAACGTCTTTAGCGTGAACTGGGTTGGCGAGTGAGCTATAACTGATGTAATAATGTACTCAGTTTATTACCCTTCGGTGTCGTTTGATAAACTCAGTGTGCTTAGAATTAGAAGCTGCAGGCCTCAACTGATCAGTTGTTATGTTGATTTTAGATACAGAAAGTTATCTACATAAACGTCTTTTTGATCAGATCATGGCGCGCAAACCTACGCTACCTTTCAAGATTGCAGGCATTGCAGCTGCACCACACACTCACAGTTTGACACTAACAAAAATTCAAGAAAAAAAGCAATCATTTCTTCATATTAGTTGACTCGTCTGATATAACAGAAATTGCGTAGGCTAGCCTTGTTTTAAAGAGTGGTCCATGTTAAAGCAAGGTCAGTGAAACAACTTGATAACTACTCTTACGTAGATCCAAAAGTCACGCCTTTATATATTTAAAATCTTTTATTAGTTCATCGGATGGATCGGAATAAAATAAAAATATGGAATATATTTACCGTTTGCAATGGTCAAATTCATCTCCAGTCGGGTGCTAATGGCGTTATTTCTCTTCAGTCTGAAAGCCTCAGTCTCTCTTGAATCTAAAGTTAGAACCTTTTAGACAAACGTCAAACAAAATCAGCGATTCAGTTGAGTTAAATTGGAGCATTTGATAGACCCAAGTCGCAAGTGAGAAAAACAACATAACTACTCAGCTGTTTTTCAAAGGACTCCTATTGGATGCCAAAAGACATTTAAACCGATATGTCTGTTTCCAATAATTATAGCCATAAAGCACCAATCATGATTAAAATAATAAAAATCAGATTGCATTTTTAATACAAAATATAGGACAAGGAAAAGAAACTCAGTCTTCTCCGTCCCGCCAAAGCAAACAAAAACAAAACCTGGGTTCATGATACCTGTATTATAGAGAAACGAACATTAGCAAACAGCAATTATCTCTAAATCACGCAATTGAGTAAGGAGAAAAGATCTACAGATTTTGTAAATCCATTTTTTAGAATGTTTATATGAAAGCCTTTAGTTTTTAACATTATTGAAACTTTGCATATATCAGCCTAATTTTATGTATCTCACTGGTCGTTTCATTATATATATGATGTCAGTGGTATAATGCCAGCCAGCCAGAAAGTTTATTTTCTATCACAATCAGTGGTTATTCAACGCATCTAGAGGGGCAGACTTCAAACATTAAAGCGAGCTTCGGAGAAAGGAAACTAAGATATCTAATTATATAATTTGCCATGGAAATGTTTCGAATCGATGATTTCAGGTATTAGTGTAACAGAGTACAAGCAGGTTTAACTGAATAAAATGTAAAAATTGTACGGTAGTAGGTTTGTTCAGCGAGCAATGGCGCCAACTGATCAAGAGAAAACGAGCTAGTGGGGATAATGAACTACTTCATGTGAATCCAACTTTGTGTCTCTTACCTCGCACACCTATAACTCTTTGTAACTTCCCACCTCCATTTCCCCCTTCCCTATGGCACTCCCACACAACTGACCCCTCTACCAATCCCAAGCAAGCACTACCCATGCACTATGCTTGTACGAAGTGCTCGTTTTCTCGATCTACAAACCATAGAATAACAGTAGAATAACTGTCAAAAGACCAATGATCTTCGAAGCTATCGCCGGTAATAGAAGCGTCAATCTGAATCCTAATCTAGAGATCGTCTACTGCTCTTTTATAACGTACACCTGCGCAGTTGTTCCGGAAACGGAGGCGTCAAGAGGACGGTGGAGGACAGGCGCCTTTACTTTTGCGGAAAAAAAACTCGTATAAAATCATGATTTCGTAGAATATTTGAGAGAAAAACATGAATAACTGCTCATGGAATCTTTTCTTTTGATTTTTTTTCCCAGTAATAGCTTTACTAGTTGAAATGCTCTGTCACATTGGTGTAGTGGCAGACTTTCACTGCCGAAAATCATAGTGCCCCCTCGAATTCTAAGAATCATTTCCCAGAGAAATGGAAAGATACGATCTTTCCATTTCTCTGCTGGGAAATCGGTATTACGGCTGAAGATCTGAAGATTTGCGACCAGGGGCTTTAATTTCTCCCGCGTACGGCAAATTTATTTGAGGGAGCGACTGATTGTTGAAAAACAAACATGAAGTCAACGCTTATTTCTTTTCGAATCCTTTTTAGACACATGGTAGATTGACGTAGAGATACAAACGTTTGTAGAAGCTTAGTATTCTTTTAAAAGACAAGTTTGCAAAAGTCTGCCGCTCTCTCAAATGTAAACAAAAGATTACAACTTTTTGAAAGACGATCACGAATTCAAAAATTGCTTCAATATCTTATTCCAAGTAAAAGGGTGACATGCCCCTTATAACCCAGTCTTTACAAGCACTACCTTTCAGGTAAAATGTACTACTTTACAAAAAAAATTATATACTAATTAATTTTGATGCGACGCTACACTAAAAAGAGGTTTGTATGATAGATGAGACTGCCTATTCAAAACAGTATTGAGTTTCTAAATCGCAACTTTTTTCGTTCAGTGGTACATTTTCAAATTAACTTTTTTAAAAAGGAAACTAGGTTCTTATTCAAACTGAATTTCGTTCTGAATTGCCGCTATGCAATTTACCAGAGGCTCTGCTCTGTAGTAGCTGATTTGTATAGGCCCCCATCTTCGTATAGTCAACGGCTTGAAGCTTCCCTTCACTATTTCAAAAAAGTTTCAAATTAAAAAACAAAAACTGTAGACAGGGTTGACATTGCTTCCGAAATTGCGCTCATTAATATTGCTTAAAAATTCAGACAAAAATAAAACAAGAAAAAAGGGTGAAAACTTTCGCCAGATTGCTGGGAAAGACAGTAACGGCTTAAATATAACAAACTTTATAATGAGTTTCGAGAAGAAAACCACTGAATGGATAAGTACGGGCGAATATTCCCGTATTAAAACTCACCTTTAAGCAGAGAAGTTTACTTCGGTAGATCCAGGACAAAATTAACCGCTCATCAATTCCGCACGCAGTTTTTTATGAACGACCTATTGAGCCAATTAAAAAAAAGCTCGATGAAAATGATTAAAATGTACGATTGGTGTTATATATCCTGTCATAGTCTTAATTGTGTTTGTTTCTCTCCCGGCACGTAAACGGGCCATACTTCCGAGAAATTTCAATTGCTTCCGTCGACACACAAACAGATTAAGTGCGATTTTTCGCAAATTGCAATCGCCCTTTAGAGTACGTGTAGTAGCGGCACATAGTCGTCGAAATACAGTTGGCTAAGTCACGCCAAAAGAGATTTAAGTAAAAACTTATAAAACTCAATTAAATCCGCACTAAAATAAAAAAAAGACTTGGAGATTAGGATCAGCAACAACAAAAGTATTATTTATATCGGAGATTGTTCATATTGAATCTAAAGGCGCCTTCAAATACTCCGATTCGGTCAGTTACCGACGAAGCTTTAAGGGTTTACCTCGATGCGGGAGGTGAAAGAAGTATTACAACTTCCATAATAACCGTTTACTCCTCTCGTCGAAAGGAAATTAAGTGGCGAGTTCAGTGGTTCAGGAACGGAAGTTTTTATTGTCAATATTAAACTCAATCGTAAACGGCTTGATTTTTCAGTTGAATGAAATATTAATAATTGCGAAATATTCATTTTCTTGGCCTTAAATAGTATTCGTTCTGTAGAAGATGTTTGATCGGTTGATGGTTGATGTCGAAAGAGGACAGACGGACCGCAAACCATTTACATCATTTACTCAAAGTTAGTACCTCCTGTAACTTCCTTGTACCTTAAAACATTCTCTTAGTTCTTTTTCTAATCCTTAAAATTTCTTTTTTTTCCGTACACTTAACACCACATAATCATAGTAATTACGCAATTTAATAAAGCTAATTTACGTCAGTGCGAGGTTTATCGCTATTGCCAGGGCATCTACCCACGTAAAATGTACTCAGTTGTAGAAATGAGATCGCTCTATTCATGTGCTTCTTTCAAATACAATTATTACCAAGCGAGCAATAAATGGATTTTGATACCAAGCCAGATTTCAGGTTTTAGGTTGCTGATATACAGAGAACATCTTCTACAAACGGAACCCTCTCCTTTTGCTAGGGCTACTGAAAAGGGTAGCTTGGAACTGTTCTCAATGGTGGCTTAAAGAACTAGGCAAAGTTTCCGGCAAAGATAACAGGGAGCTTATTATTGATAGTAACTGCAAAAACGACGGGCAACCTGAACGGTAAAAAAAGCAATAGGTTTAGGCTACGTTCAGAAGGCAACGGACAAATTTCTGCGCGCTGAAAATTATTCAACCTTTAATATTTTTGCCCTGTTGACAAGGAACTGGCGAACCAGGTCGAATTTAACATTTGTCATAGGTTTTACCATCAGCCCATGCGCAGAGCGCTACTTTAGCAAATCCAATATGGGGTCCCCAACCGAGTTACCACGCATTTACGCAGCCAAAACTTAGACATTTAAGGTGTTCAACAGTGCCGCCGGAAAGTTTTCGACCGTACAGGCTAAAACATTTGAACTCAGTTTTGGCGTTCACACGGCAATGGTCTAAATTTTCTTACGGTTAAGGTGGTTCCGTGTGAACGGCACCCCTAAACTTGCGAATTTTCAGCTTTTCAGCCGGTCGAAAATTCGTCTGGTGCCGTTTAAAAGTAACCATATAATAAAACAAACCTTTGCAAGCGCAGCACACATTTTTGTACGTTTCCGTTTGCTGTCCATAGACGAAAACGATTTGAAATGCCTACACAAGACAACCATTTTCTTTTACTTGGATACGTTCCCTTAGAATTCAACTTCAGAAAAATTCACTAACATTTAAAAAAATTAACCGACGTGGAATATAAGAGCGATGAGTTTTAACACAGCGCGAATTCACTTTAAAAGAACCTTCGTTGACGTGACGACGACGCTTGCGTGCAGACCTAAAAAAACGACCTGACAAGTGTCAGGGCGGAAAATTGACCACCGGAAGTGGCATTTGGTCCTTTCCGCGCGCTTTCTCGTTCTCATTTGACGATGCTCTCAGTGCTCTGTCCTTACTAAATCTACCTAATACTTCAAGGGTTCGGTGGGAAAGGGAAACAGAACACTCCTTCTCCCTCCTTTCACCGCGCTGAAATTACCAAGGTAAAGAAGAGTTATTACAGTGTGCAGGGCTAATATTTGAAGCAATTTGTAATGAATATTTCGGTCTTGGCTTGTTCCGCTCGGTAGTGGATTTGAAGAGCAAGATATCTGATAGAAATAATATGGCTTTTTATTTTTGCCTCAGGGATTTTCTTTCTGCAATATTTATGTATCACTCAGTAGTGACTAATAGTTATTCCAGCTCAAAACCAATATTACAACAGGAATCTTAATCAAGAGTTTATTGACATTTTGTTTGACGGTAAGTTTCCACATCTAGATACCCTATTTCTTATGGGGTTTCAAAACTAGACATTTCATATATTCAAACAGAACACAACATGGCTCTATCCTTTGTTTAAGTGAAAACTATTCTAAAAATTTTACAACTGCCTTTTTTCAGAAAGCAAAAGTAATCTTCTGTTGACTTTGTGCAAGAAAGGCAATGCACCCTAACAGAACAGCTAGATAAAGTGTTTTGTGTTGTTGCAGAAAACATCCTAACAGCCATGAAAAACGGAAGGTTGATGGCTGTGATGGTTCTCACGCTTCGGTATCTGGTCACCTCGCCACCAAAGAAATCGCCACCAACAGTAGAACTAAGCTTAGCATTGTTTTGAAACTTCATGAACGAAAACTTCTTAACCGTTACTTTATTTTCATATTCCAAAGAAATGACTACTGGTTGTGCAACGTTTCTGCTAGTTTTTTATTCTCTCAAATTCCAAAGTTAACATTCGCAGAACCTATACGTGTATTATTAGTATTTGCTAAAGACGTTCGACGCAAGGATCGTCAATAAGGATCGACAGATTTGTATTTGAGTCGCCTTTAAATTCGAATAAGCTTGACGAAAAAGTTAAAGATCTTAGATAAGTAATCCTGGGTATTTAACTGTGTCAATTATTTCAGAGCTGTTCGTTAGTAGCGAGTCGACTTCTTGGTGGCGAGATGACCGTAAACCGACGCTTCACCCCTGTGACAAACATGCCGTCGGTTTTGCCTCAGTTTTTCGTACGACAAGATTAACTTCAGACACAGTTGACACATGCATCCTTCTCTACAGAAGAATGTTGATTGTCAAGGGGGTGAGGTGAAGCCACACATTTTTAGTTCTTACCCTTTTGGAAAACTAGTTTGCACAGAGAAAGGCATGAATTAAAATAATTTATATTAAGCCTTGCCATCTTTGTTACTTGTAATCAGTAAATTTCCTCAAGACAGCTCTGTCCTGAAGTTAAATTTTTTTTAACAGCTCCTTGGAAAGGTGGAGAAAATGTCTTCAAGCCCTTTGCTAGACCTAGTATAGACAAATTTAGAAGTATTCATATTTTCATACACAGAGATTTCTCCACCAATATTATTAACTATTCAGTGACAAAAATAAATCAGTCAAGCTTGTTGGATACCCCTCATGCTTTCAAGTACATTTTATGCGGTTTTAATGCTACTCTATACTTTTTGACACTGTGAAAAACAGAAAAGTCACATCCTTTGAAGTAGAACTTCCAAAATAGCCTATATAAATGTAGAAAAGACCCCCCTTCCCCATCCCCCTTCCACGTCAACCTTCTCTGGTCAGTAAGATAAAAACAATCTCCTGATTATCATAAATAATTAATATACAGGTTACTTCATTAAATTAACTTCAAGCAAACATGTAATCCAGCTACTTATTTTGCTCCATTCTGATCTGAGGTTGACTCACTGACTTTTTCATCCTTCCTTGGGATGAACTTTAGTGAGTCTGAGAATATTCAGAAACGTGAGGAAATACCATCTGGACCATCCCTTAAGAACTCGTGTCCCAAACCATTGCCACATTTTCCACACCGGACCTAGATGCAAACAAAGGCAAAAAGATATTGAAAGGTTTCTGGTCAAAGAGTAAGCAAGCTAGAGAGTATGTATCAGGATGAAATGATACACAGTACATTGTTGTAAAATTCTGTTTCTTGCCATTCTATAATGAATAATATCATGAAATGAAAGATAGGGTTATTATTCTGGGTTTTTGGTAGAGCTGTAGAAAGTATTGACTATTAAGTGAGGACTAAGGCAAGTTTCAAAACAGCATGTACAACTGAAAGGTGGAAGATTAGCATTGAAAAATACTGTATCAATCGTGATATCCCCAATTAGCACCCAATGTAATACAGACAGAGCTTTAATGCCATTTGTAGTGTTTTAGTACAAGTTTAACATCCACTGACAGCCTCAATTAGGAAGTCAAACTCTTAGAGTCTCATCCCTGCCATCATTTTAGTAATGTTTCTCTAGAAGGTTCTTTTCATGGCTGCCATCTTGATACATGTGCTGAAGATCTGCCGTGCAAAACCAGCAAATCGCCTTAAAAATTGATCATAAAATCAGGTGACCTAACTGTTGAAAAATTCAGCTAACCATTAGGGCAGGTCTTCAACTCAAGGCCACTGGATTGCAAGTCAGGCACTCTAACTGCTCAGCAACCCTAACTTCTCCCATTACAAACAAACAAACAATGACAACAACAAAAAATGTTGGACTGTGTTTGGTTATGTTTGGCTGGTTCAGTGTCGACGATAAAGAATTCCACCAAAATTAATCATTGACTGACTGCTCAAGTCAACAGGGAGCTTAAGCAACTACGATGACGACCACAGGGTCAACTTCATAAAAACAATAGGTTTAATGATCAAAACAACAGCTCTGCACTTCCATCACACTTTTTAGTACATTTCTTTGATGCCCATTGCATGACTACGATGTAAAACCTCCCAATTTGCGACAAATTTTCCTTCCTCTTTTTGAACCTGAATAAAATCCTTAAGAATTCAAATCCATGAAAAGTCGCCTGCTTTTGACATATTGAGCGGGTCCAAATAGACGAGATTAAGTTTAAAAGAGTACAAATTCATTTTTTACCGAAGTTTTCACTGCCGTTGTCGTCATCCTTGCTTAAGGTCCCTAATTATGGTGTGTGTCGGAGCTTTTCAGTAGTTTTTATAACAAGCAGGTACACTGTAACAGACTTTCAAATTATCAATGTACCTTCAAAGCTTTGGCTTTGCTGCTCTGTTGAGGCTCAGTTTCATTTTCTTTAGACACACTATCATCATGGACTGTCTCTGTAAATGCAGGCCATGGTGTGTTATGCTTGTACTTTGCTTTAGCACTAAACAACTCATGACCACACTTGGGACAGACATAAATTCCTGCAAAAATTAAAAGGCATGTACAAAGGTTACAACCAGTGCTCCTGATTACGGGGGGAGGCAGGGGGGCGGGGTGGTAAACATAAGACCATTTTTCTCATTCAAGACTGTCATTTAGTAAGACCATTTTTATGACTGAGTCAATTTCAAGTCATTAGCAGACAAGTAAGGGACATTGTACAAGTAATGTACCCATACAGAAGGATAGACTTTGGGCAGATGTGCTAAACATTACCGAATTGGAGGTATTAAAAACAAAGCATTGACATTTCTCTTTGCAGTAAATAGTGGCCTATGTTATCAAAAAAATGTGCCAGTCTAACAAGAAAAGCTCCTTAGGAGCATCTAATCACACTGCTAAATGATGACATTCTCACATCTTTCAAACACTGACTTGCCAAACATAACTATCACAAGCCAAATCGAAAATGCTTCAAGCCTAAAATCTCCCAGGTTTTTGGGAAATAAACCATTTTAATAGTTTATTTGTAAACACCATCCCAACTTTCTTTGTGATGTCAGGCTTTTTAAATTCTCAAACATGGGTGTCCTGTGATCAAAAATTTTGATCACAGGACACCCATGTCATTATGACTCAGCACAACAGAGTGAGTGAGAAAAATCACTCTTTCTCGTAAAACGGACGATAACTTTTAACTTCTCCTTGGCTTATTTAGAGATTAAACTATATGGGATGTATTGTACATGAGATAAACGCAAATCGAGCTTTGAGAATAAGACACAAATCTAATGACATATCAATCGCGTAAAAACAAGCGGCGCTCGTTGTAAAGAGAAGTCTGCAAAACACCATGTGATCCCCACTTTCGACACATCGCGGTAGGAAAGGCTCTGCAGTCTATATCAGCCCTAATAAATATTAATTTAGTTTACCGGCTAGGAATCTTGAGCTCAGGAGAGAGAGAGAGCATTTTAGCTTATAAATTAAAAGCTGGTAAAATGTGAGGACCGTAGATATAAAACAGCACTCACTGTAAATTCTGATTATATAATAGCTTCTAGCAATGGCTTACGGTTTACCTGCTTCAAAATGATCTCTGTACTTTTCGCTGTTCCATGAGCAAAACGACATAATTGCTCAATAAATAAATATACTCTCTGCCTCGAAGCAACAGTGCTCAAGTCGTACCTGAGAGGGCCTGAGGCAAATAACGTCATATAATTTGGCCTGAAAAAGTGGCCTGCGATCATGCCCTCTGGTTTTGCGTTTTTTTTTTTTTTCAATGCGGACAAGGAAAAGGGAAAAATAATAACGTCATATAACAAGTGGCCTGCGATCATGCCCTCTGGTTTTCACCAGCAAGAGGGTTTTTAGTTTGACATGGAGTAAACTTATTTTACTCATAAAATATGTCTGTTGACTTTTTATGTAAGATTTAGCCAGTGCAAAAGCGAAGCTCTCGTTGTTATTTGTTAGCTTTGACGACAGGGCTTCAAGTAAATTAGTGTTCTTGGAACCTACTTCGAGTGTGAAGGGGTAAAATGTAGCCACTTCAACTTAATTTGGTGACCATGGAAAGGTTCGTGGTTCAAAGAAGCCGAAGTTCGCCCTAAAGTATGGTCTAGACCACACTTCAGAACAAACTTGACCAATAAGAAACGGAAGCCAGCGGTTCCAAGATTCTTATGAACGGAGAGACTGACAGCTTTTACTTCAAGTAATTTACTTTGTCAACAAGTGTGAAGCCATGTTTTCTACAGAGCGCACTTCAAGCGCACTTGAATCATGTTCTTACTTGAAACTAACTTCGCTTCTAGAGTGAAGCCAACAATTGTGTAATGCTAAACGGCGCGGCAACGAGAACGGCAAAAAAACAAAGAAACAAACAACCAAACAATAGCTGGTCTAGCACACTTTTTGGTAAGTATTTGGTACATTTCTTTGCCGTTGTCGACAGGTGATATCTGTTTGCGGTCTTTTAGTGAAAATTTGGCGCGCCACGAGTTGTGTTTTGGCTAACTGAGTGCCAATAAGCCGTAATATTGAGGTAACAAATGTCTTGTCTTATAAAGTCAATACTACATTATACAAATGCATACATGTACTTTTCCAGCTTCTTTCGTAAACATTATTATTGACCTTTTTTTTTGTTATCTTAGTTCATGATGTTTCCGTTTTCTTCCACTTTCAAGCGGGTTAGGCCTCCAGGTATTGCCGTCTTAACACCTAAGAGGATTATTGAGAGGTTCAGTGCTGACATTTTCTTGCACTGTTCGTTCTGATTGGTGGACCAAGCAAGAGGACACATGCATTTTGCCAAAGGATTTCGATATTGTGGTAAGCCGGAAGTTATGATATGGAATGCGTGGGTCTGAAAGGATTTCGTGTACTTCCCTCCCGTTGCTTTTTCATGGCACAACTCATCCTGCTCACTACTGCCGTAAAACCCATTACAGCGTTCTTCACTGAACTGAGTTTACGACCCAAGATAGATGCAATCGACACACATGTCGAAAGCCTAAAGACGTACCACTATCCCCCTCTCCTTCCTAGTAGCTAAATCGTTTTCGTTCTCAGTATGATATGTATTAAGGATAATAAATCCTTATGATCAGTATTAAATGTAACCATTAATTGCATGTTATTCAGCCAGTTGACTACGTATTACAGTCAACGGCAAAAGTGATTAAGTTTATAACGTCCACCATAGAATAAGCCGATAATTGTCTCAGTTTATATCCTGGTGTAGCTCGTTTACTGTTTCACTCACAGACAGGAAAAATATTCCTCTGAGTACGTAGTGACCGTATCCTCAGTCTGGGCATAGTAGCTATTAAGGCTATAGTTTTTTTTTAAATTTCGCTTCGGCTGACGTAATTTTTTTCAGGCAAGAAAATGATGCAATACTACAAATAACAGATAAAATTTAGAATGTGTGAATATCGACAGATGATGCCATAGGCCCAGTAAAGATCGGAACTTAAGAGAGAACAGTGCGGCAAATAAACTACACTATTTGAAGGTCTGTATACTTGAACTATAAACTTGAACTTGCCCAGACTGAACAGCTTTTAGTGACTATTGCCTTGACCAAATTGAAATTAAAAAGAACTGATCAGCTTACCAGGACCATATTCAAGTGCTTCACTCGGTAAACCCATTTCAGGTGAGCTTAAGGCTTGATCCTTAGGAGAAAAAGTTTTATTGCAAAACTGGATGTTCTCAGTTCCTTCGTCTTGTAAATCATATTAATAATAATTGGAAAGGTCAATAGCCTTTTCAGGTTTATGATACAAATTAACAATTTGCGTCCTCCTTTTAAAATCCGTTCAAGCCAGAATTAAGCCTGATTAATTTTTCAGAGTTACATAACACCATAACACACAGTCAACGTATATGTACACACAACAACTTGTGATTTCGTAGTCGAAATTCTTGATTCAGATAACCCCTGACTTCTGTGGCATTACGAACGATTTTTGATAACGTAAACAACTCTACATAACTTGTCCAGTCATATCAAAAAACTCACCCCAACCGCAAATTTCATTCATTGAAATATTTTGATTACCTGCGTAGGTGTATTTCAATCCCGAGTATTGCTGCTTTGCGGTATACCCAGTGCTACATTTTGCTTATTGCATTAATTTACTGAAACAAATTGTTGCGTTTTGTGATTAACGTAGCTTTGTAAAGATAAGATTCGATTTGTGATCGCATTAAGAACAGTCTGTAGAACTGGACTTCAATTGGCTCGTGCTACGTCACGCATATCTTGACCTAGAAGTGACCGGCCGGATAGTAGATAAGTACCTTATTCGGCTTAATTCGCATATTCAAAACGGTCTGGCAGACCAGGGAGTTCATAAAACCCTCAGGTCACTGGCAGAAGGAGATATTCAAACCTGGCCGTCTCAATATTAATAATGGTAAGCAGTGAATCATAGTTTTAGTCTTTGGGTTCAGTTTTTTCCACGAGTTCAAAAAGATCATTTAAAGTTTCCTTGTAATCGAAACAATTTGTATTTAACCACCGACTGTGTTTTGGCTCTTTGAATTATTGTACTAGGATAAATCGACGTATCCATCAGTTTACGAGCGACCATCGATCAAAAGCCCTATAGTGAAAAGAAGTCGGAAAAACGGAACAACATCCAGTGTGAAAAACGTTCAAATAGCTGTGCTTGGGAAAGACGGCGTTGGAAAATCAGGTCAGTAGAGCTATAAATATGATCCACTTCACAGAGTTTGCAAGTCAGTGATGTGCATACAAATAGGTTGGTTTATGATCATCCCTAACCTTAATCAAGATGAGTAGTACTTTATTTTCCCTTAACCAAAAGAGCCCTGTCAAATTCACGAGAGCTGCGTACATAGGTCTAACATAATCAAAACGGAAAGGGAAAATCTTGAAGCATAAGTGTCTTCAAACCGCAATTACTGTTCGTGACTCAACACTGAGAAAGAACCGAAGCAGAACTGTTTATATTAATCAAATCACTCGAGTTCAAGAAAGATTGGGCCGGCTGACTCAATGGCGAAGAATTCACGGTCTTGCATGATATAAAATGACTAAAATATGTTTGATGGCGTGACTGACATAAAACAAACTATTTTCTTGACGGGAAAAGCCGTGAAAGAATTTTGCAACTGTTTTTACAAACAGTGGGCGAATTATGACCCGGTGCGAAGGCCTTTAACGTAAAGACTTCATGGCTAGACAATTTCCGCAATGCGATTGAAGGGCCGATTATTGAATCTTTTGAAAACGAAAGCTGTCTCGATTCATTTTACAAGATCCATTTTGCGCCATCATTGACACAGTTTGTTTTTAGAGGCACAATTGTTTATTTACTATATAAATAATAAAAAATTACTTTAGTCGTTTCGAAGTCATTTTGTCACAGACGATTTCTAATAACGCATTTTCTCTTTATTTCCAACACTTTCCACGTACTGATAATTTTTTTTCCGTATGTTACGATTGGATTATTTCAGGATTACTCGTTTACCACGACCTCGGATTAACGGTTAATAAAAAAGTTCATTAAGTTGTTTAAGACTTGTTTACAAGTGTTCTTTACAAGGCAAACAGAGTTCACATATGTCAATGTCAAATTATCGCTTCATTACGCCCTCGATTCCAAACCGTAGGCAATATTAAACTCAGTGCAACACTGATTTCCTACAAATGCTGTTCACAGACTTGTATTAAATGGCTTATTATCCAAAAATAGATTTATCAACGCTCAAAAAAATTCTTTGGCAAACTGAACAGCGATCCGTTGGCTGTTCAGCCTTGTAAGGGCGTGTTTACAAGGCGTTGAAAGAACCCCACAGGCGCTTAGAAGACTTCACGTTAGTAGGAACTTGTTAAAGTGGCGTACTAGGAATGGACAATTTCCCATTCAAATCAACCTTTAAAATCAAAATTAAGATATTCGATGTTTTAAATCTTTTGATACTGTTTCCTTTGCTTGTTTTGAAATTCAAGTTAACCTTGGCACACTTCACTTATGCCGACCACAATACTCAATTTGTCGCATTGTGTAAACCACACAATGTATTTATTTTCAGCCACTGACCCATATGTAGCCGATAAGAAAACGCGCCCACCCGCCTTCTCTGACAATTATTGAAGTCACGAAAGATATTACTTATCTGCAAAAGATACTTTTCAGCCACCAAGGACTCTTGTTCTGATCAGAGGCACGCATAGGCCCTAACACACCGAAAAAATAAAATAAAACCTGCAAGATTGATTCTAAATGAAAAAGAACGCGAAAGAAGTCTTTATCCCGAGAGCCTGCAGCTTGTTTTGATTACTTCCCAGTTCCGCTCAACACTTTAAAGTTTATTCATCACCACCAATGATCACGAGAGTGTAAAATTATACTGAGTAATTTCAGTAGAATCACGCAAAGACGGCAGGCAGATACTCGCCAACTGAAATAGTTCATCTTCCAGCTGTTTTACGGTAAACAGTGCTGTTATCTAAAAGAGTTTATCTCAAACTTTGACGCAATTATGTTCTTGAATCAAAAACCAATTTCTCCTCATGTGATTGCGCGGGTCACAGCTATCTCGAAATCTCGTTTAAACTGCTTTTCTTTTCACTATAGAGTTTCAATACACCGGTAATCTAAGTAGCATTTTCCTACCCTCCATATTAGTATTAGAGCACTCTGGCATGGCTTAGATGATACCACATTAATTTTTTGTAGGATCATTTGGGGTGGCTTAAAAGCTTAACCTAGCATCAGCACTGTACTGATGAGGCCCAGAAGGCCGAAACAGTACTGTCTGCAGTTAAGAACTACCACTCACCCTTGTTAGATCTTTCAGGGGCCGTACATATCGTATTTGCTGCGTCGATTGTCGGATGTCCAATGTGACTTCATACATTACATGACAGTCAAATTACAAGGCCGCTTAGCGGCCACAATTCCCAACAAAATTTATATATACAGTCAAAGTCAAGGTAGAGGTACTTTGCAGTTGCACCGAATTTAGGCAAAATCACTTCGTATTAAAAAGTTGATTGCACGTTTTAAGGTGGGTAATAGATGTCTCTAAATTATTTTGTTCATCCTCCCCCTTTTTAGCATTCACCGTCAGAGCTTTAACTAGGCGATTTATAGGAGAGTACGACAAAACGTTAGGTAAGTCGGTTATTTTGACTGGCAGGGCAGTAAACTGATATGTTACTTGCTGTGAAGTTAATTCTAAGCCAAATGGCCCTCCCTTGCAGAGTTATCAACTAATCATGATCAGTCCTTGTGCTGATGGCAGCGTTAAGATAAACAGAGCTTAGATAAACACTTATTATCGCGGAAATATGTCGCTGGATTACACGCAAATCCTCATAGCCAGATTAATGTGGTTTGTAAAGGTTTTTTTAACTGTCTAAGCATAATATTTTCAGTTCGACAACGACTAAGTCAACTGCGAGGCAAAAAGAAAACATATCATAATTCATTCCTTGATCCTAGTTCGATAAATCTTTGCTGCAATACCCAAACACATACCAAAGGTGATCTCACAAGCCACAGCGCCCATTAGGTCTCTATAGAAGCTGTAAGTCGGGATAACTTGTTCGTCGTTGAACAAGGGCTTTCAGGGACTTAAAGCACGCTCAACCTGAGAAAAATGCGAAAAGAGTAAGAGAGAGAATTAAAAGGGCCATAAGGTACGAAACTGTGAAAAGGTGTTAGTTATAACGCCTGCATCTTTTAATATAGGACTGAAAAAAAAAATTGATACGTAGTAGTATAATTCTGCTGATCTATCTGATCATTTTCCCATATGAACCCTATGATGGGTATCACAATCACTCCCATCCCCTTCCCGTCATTCATTCCTTAGGGTGCATGAAACTATAACGAAGTGACAGAGGTTTGTCGACGTAAAACGCGTCGAATCTAACTAAACCATCTTTTAGCTTCTTTGCTTGTATTCACGTTGCTCCCACTAATCTCTCAAAGCAGGAAGGGCTAAAATAATTAATTATATCGCATAGCTTGCCTCCAAATAATTTAAAAGGTCACTTCTGAGCTCAGACCAACTCGTCTTACGCCAGCAGTCGGAAATGAAATACCAAATACTGTTTTCTAGCCCTTGTTTTGGCTAGTTATCCCCACCCCCACCCCCTTAGGAGGGGAGTTCTCATCATTTTATTTTTTTTCGGGAGCAGTGTTGTAAGTAACGCTTTTGGTATCACTAAGTGGGTGGACTTTAAATCACATGGACGAGTTGGTTGGAATAGTAACGAATGCATTTTGATGAATGGACGACAACCCAATTTTTCAGACGTTTTCACGGGCGTTGCCGTTGTTAAATCGCAAGGTCCCAGTAAGTTAAAACACGTCAAGTACACCATTTAGCATTACATATAAAACCCCGAACCAATTCCTTTATCATTAAAAAGGTGACCAATGATGAATGAGGTAAAGTCAAAACATTTGCCACGTTGCTACAAACTTTTGACACATTCCCGTAAGTTTATCTATGCTTTGTCCTACAGAATGCACATATCGTCATCATGTCGAGCTGGATGGACAGTTTCTCTCACTGGATGTGTTAGACACAGCAGGCAAGGTCAGTATTCCAACTAACAGGAATGTGATCCAATAAGCGGTAAAAAAAGAAATACAAAGCAAGCTGCAGATGATAGTAAACCTGAAATAAATTTATCCAAAAACAAAATATTTAGACTGGTTAGGCAAGCTGCTTTTGTAAAGACGCATAAAACTGCTAGAATTTTACCTAAAATTCTGTTATACGAAGACATCTGGCGCCAAACCATCGATTTTCATGACTTTAAGAAGCTAAGAGGTGGATAATAGTTTTACAATGTAGTTAGCACTCGTGCTAAAACAACATCAACCAATTAAATTACTGGACGTTTCGTGCGCACAAGGAGAACAGCAAAATGATTTTTTTTCCTCGTGTATTTAGCGAACTAAAAGGGAAAATGAAGAATATTCGGTGTACAGCCTTACCTAAGATACAAAGAACCAGCATCGATAAATTTTTTCTCGGGGCTGCAGTCAGCGGAAATATTTACCAATTAAAAAGGTACTGGTTGTTTAAAAGTATCTCCTTAAAAAAAGTATCTGATATCAGAGAAAGTGTGTGGAGATAATATGACGTATATGCAAGCTGGCATACGGGCTAGAACATTGCATTACCATCAAACTTTGTGACGTTTTTGTGAAACTATTGTTTGGGGGATGATATTTTTCGATCCCGCAGTTAGGGAAGAAGTCAGGGAGAATCTCAGTTCTAGGCCAGGGGTTAAATTAGTGAGGGACCAAATCTTGCAAAACATCTTTTGATTAGGTGAAAAAATGTAGAGAAAATTACAGGAACTGAGAATTAAAAAAAGCGGAAAACATGTCTAATACCAGGTTGGGCAATAGCTAGGAACTTGTTTCGTTCCGGCACTGATTAGCTGAGCCCAAAATGACCACTATGATGTGGACTAATTATGTCGAAGAAATAACGTGCATTTTCATTTCTTCGCAGAACTCTTTGGAAAAGATCGACAACTGCGTTCACTCGGGATCAGACTTGTTTTTCGTCCTCTACTCCACAACAGATCGCTCATCTTTTGAAGAAGCCTCACTTCTCTGCCAATACCTTCTAAAAACAAAGAACGTTAATCCGGCTTGTCTCATTCTTCTAGGAAATAAGACTGACCTGAAGCACTTCCGAGAAGTTCATGAGTATGAGGGTCGCCTTTTGGCACAAGCCCTGGAATGCGGCTTCTACCAGCTCTCTGCATCAGAAGGATTCGATGATTCTCAAAATGTTCTTTACAACACTCTTAGACAGTTTGTGAACGCACAGAAAAAGGGATCTCCTTCAGTTAGGGTGTTTATTGACAATGTGCTCAGCCGAAAGAAGTCAGTTTCATAGTAAATACAAAAAGTCAACAGATCGACAACCAGGAGCCTTTAATGTCTTCAAAGATACTAAACATAATTTTTCTAGCCAATTCCATGCACTCAAATCGGGCTTGACGCTGGAGAAGTCTTTACCTCCAACAATTGGTTGATAGACATATAGCGCCCAGTAGTGTGGAGGTTTGGAGCCATTCAGCTGTAACAAGTGATTATGGGGACTCGGCTTTACCGTCAGGACGCAAACATGACTGTCGAATTCTTGCTGATTCTTGGCTGATGCCTGGAATCGAGTCAGCGGATGGAATGCCTGACTGAGTCATTTCGGAAAATGGTGACGTCGGAAATAATCTACCTTTAGATCGAAAAGGGGAGAAAGTAATATAAAGGGGAAAAACACGCGCTTGTTGACAGATTGCATGAGATTTGGGGTGTTTTCCCACGACGACTTAAGTTGCTGTTTATAGGAACTTTAACTGCATCCAAGCCCTCCTCCAACATTATTTTTCCTATACAAACTACAGTGCAAGTAAAGATCAAGCCACTGAATAGACTTGATCCAACTCATCCTAATCGCGACACTGTCGCAAACGTTCTATCTTTTAATCTTTCTGACCCGAAAGAAACACGTACCTTATAAAGCATACCTAGCCTGGATCCGCGGCGCTCTCTTTTATTTCCCCATTAGAGTTATAGAGCATGTTTATTCGTTTAATTTGGTTTTTAAGGCCATTTTAGAAGCTGGCTGTCTAAAACAGAGTAGTTAGCTGTTAGTTATGATACATTGATCGGCAACAGACGCAGTTTACTTGCTTGAGATGTTTTTTTTTTTTTTCTGGAAATGACTTAGCTTGAGAAAACATGACGACACCTCGCGACGCTACCACTGGTTTCCGCGCGAAATGATGTTTGAGGAACGACCACAAAATTTCCATACTTATTACGGGGGCACCGCCCAAATCTGGCTAGCGTTTCTGATTACTGGAAAGTTTGCTTCATATAATCAGAAGCTTTTTTAGTAAATACCCAGATCTGGTGGGTTAGTGACGTACCATCAGTGGATCAAATTTCTGCGGTCTTTACTCAAACGTCATTTCGCGGGGAAACTAGTGCTTGCGTCAAAAAATGTCGGCTGTTTTCTCAGGCTAGAAATGAGCCTGCCTGAGCTCTAATGAAAGGAATAAAAAACAGACGCGGAAAGTGCGAAAAATAAATTTAAACCTATCAATCAAATTTCATTTTGAAGATCCGATACGAATGATGCAGAATTTCATTGACCATTTTACATCGCAAAGATTGTGTGAATACTGCAAAATAAGTCGCCCTAAAGTGTAAGACTGAAGAAAGGAAAAAACACTTTATTTAAATACAGTACACAGTCAATGTGAAATAAACTGACAAATTGTTGATTATTTGACAGCCAATTGTTCGTATCCCGTCAAGTTTGTAAAATAAAACCAAGCAAGCAAAGCACGTGTGTAAAATAAATGACCGACCGCGGCATGATTATCTCAGTCAGTAGAGCGCTTCAAGAGCGAGAGGTCTCAAAACAAATGAGAAATGAAGGTACTACCTTTGACCACAACCTCGTCCCCAGGGCGTTTCCCTCATTTTTTGAGGGAAAAGCCCTGGCGACGAGGTTGCTTTGCCCAGCAATTAGTACTTTCGTGCCAAATACATTGACACTCAAATAAAGCACTTTCTTAAAGCTCGTACAATAAGCACCCTGGGAACTAAGAGAAAGGGCAATACTGAATGCAAACAGTAGCATGAGGTAAAGATTCTGGAGCGCGCACTCACTGAACAGGGCAGTCGACTTACGACTTAAGATCGCTTGCATCACTTCCCAAACTCCTTCAAACGGCCGCACTAGAATCCACTAGGGCTATGTGTTACAAAGGGGGAAGGGGAGGGGTTTGGAGGAGCCCACCCCCTTAATCATCGCAATCTCTACTCTTCCTAATCTTCCTTTCCTTTCGAGTCAAAGATGGCGACTTCACACTGGAAATTTTGATGACTATGCATGAATCGACCAGGCTACCGTCGAATCTCGACAAATTGCGGCCTTTGGATTTGGACATGAGTAGAAAACGAGGCGTTTTAAATGTCCGACTTTTAGTTTTACTTCTTTTCTTCCGGTGAAAATTTGTTATAAACGGTGGCAACCAAATTAAGGGAAAGTGAAGTTTCAAACAACGCACCTAGGCTAGTTCAAGTTCAGCCAGAGGGGGAAAATAACGATAGATAAGTCCGGTTAAACAAGAACAGTCGCGCATTTTTGTGGGACGTAACAAAAGCTTTTATTTAGTAATGCCTGTAGTTATGAAATGTCATGCAAAAGACAACATTTTCCCGACGAATCAAAACACTCTTATGCCGCCGTGGCTGCCAAATGATTTTCACTTCCGCAATTTCTTTTATCAGGAACCGTGCACACAGGTCTAGCAGGAAAACTCTCTGTTTACTAATTGAATGGATCATTACTTAATTTTTACTCCAAAGCTCAGCATTAGTTTGGAAAAACTTCCGTAATTCTGTTGTAAGTTATAAAACAGGTACACACACGCACTACTCAAGAGAAAGCTACCGATCTGAGCTATTGCCGGCGGGTAAGATCCTTTTGGGTTGAACAAGGGTTCCGCCATTCCTTGGAGCCTATTTTATTGCTTTGCTGTATTTCCTGTGTCGTAAGTAAGTTAATTTTTGTGTTAATGGTACTTCAGCAGGATGCTACCTTGGAATTTAACCACATCTTTCCCGACTAAGCCATGCATCCTTTGTAAACACTTTTTGGTTCTTGGGTCTTCAATTTAAGTGACCCAGCGGGGTATTAGGATCTCACTGTAAATACGTGATTGTAGGCGGATTATCTGAATCAGTTGACATGGTGCCTATACAAGAAGGGACGGTGAACCGCTAATATTTAGAATTAAGTCGCAGTACTGCGGGTGCAGTCCGTGGACAAGATGCCGAGCTGGATGGTGAAAAATACGAAGGAAAGAGGACAAAGTTTGGTAAGTTTCTCCTCCTTCAACTTAGCCGGAAAGACGATCCAACTTCTTGTCAGAACAAAAACGTGCATGTAATTGTCCTCGAAATGAAATAGGTCAGTCGTACCCGCTATGGCTACCAAAAGAGTATGATAATGATCAGGAAAGGGCAAAGGAAAGAGTGACGAGTTGAAATAACAACGACAAGAAATGAGTAGGAAAAACTTTCAGTGAGCTTTGATCAGGGGATTTCTTCCTTTAAGAAATCATGCAATGTGTAGATAAATGAAAACCTTTCGATTACTCAGTATCCTCGGATAAGAAAAAATATATGTTTTTCTTTCCAAATATGTAGTTTATAAGCCACAGCCTTCACAGGGTCTAACACCCACGAATAAATAATTTGTCTGGGAACATTTTTTTGTCTGAAAATAATTTCAGAGTTGCCTAAAAGTAGGGAGTGTTTTATTAGTCTAGACGAAGCGGGCAAAATATTTCTATGGTATAAACAGCGCTTCCAGCCTGAAGTGCCACATAATGTTTTGAAAAAAAATCCCCACAAGCAAGTTTATTGTAGTAGCCGTAGTGGAACCGAACTACAGAAGAGATTCATTTCTGAATAGCCAGAAAAACAAAAAAATCTCATACACAGATTAAAATTTTTTTTCTCTTTTTTTTTTTGCAATCTTTCCTTAATTGATTTATTCGTTTTATCTTGGAAATATAAATTAACCCAAAAATCTTCAATTCAGTGTCGAGCGGTAGTCGAGTTTCCTTGGAACCAAACCGAAAAGGCCGTTTATCTATAAGGCAGATAATAGGATAGCCAACTTAATTGGTTTAATTAAACAAGGCCTTGCAATCGCTTAACTACAACAAAACACTACTCAAAAGACGAAAAGTCGGGGTACCACAACATTTAAGCCAATTAGTGTTACCTTGGTTAAAAATATACTGAAAACAAACAAATTAAAGCAAGAAATAGCGGAATGTCTCACTTATGAGTCAAGCATGTTGCCCATTATATTTGTCACGCCTTCACTCAAATGACAACCTTAATTGGCGTCTAAATTCTTGAACGACTGTGGGTCCTAGTATACCTAAAACAAAATAAGATAATCGATTTCTTTTTCACAAACCGCGAGAAGCATATCAAGATGAACAGATTAAGTTATGTGGGTTAGTCAAGACACTTGGAAAGGATTTGCGCGTCCTTAAAATGAATTGTACCACTCAGAGGTTTCATGTAGTATCTGAGGACAAAGCTACCAACCTACTGAGGGCTGTTTACAATGGACGTAGGCCATGCTCTGAATGTGGTTTCACGATAAATGTGTTGTGCATATCTAATAAACATGCATTTATGTGCTAGGTTTACGGATGCGTAAAACCCCAAAAGGAAACCGCGCCGCAAAATTAAAATAACACCGGTTCTTAAGTCAAGGGTCCTTTGTTCCGCTGTTATACATACCCCATGTTAGAAAAATTGTTAGCGTGACTTTAGTACTATTCAGGCGATAATTACTGAAGTGTTAAAGCCATTGTCGTGTAAATACGACGAGTATGAAAAAAAAGGTTTCCGGTTTGATTCTATTTTAGCAATCAAAAGCAATATATTTTGCCCCCCTCAATGTGGTGGTTAAGTGATGCAGATTTGCTCGAGTGAGATTACCCAATTTCAATGCACTTGTCATATACAATGAAAACAAAAAAACTATAATGTTGCAACAATCGCGGAAGAAACCAATTGTCTTAACTTTCTTATGTCATCGCATTTATACGTTAAATGAATATTATACCACTTATTTCGTGTGTTCTTTAGAACCTCTTAGCTTTACCCGAAGAGCACTTTTCAACCAGCATCCGAACGAATGACTCACATACGAAATTACATGAAATTATAACTCAGTATCCAAATATCTTCAACCCTATGTTATGATCTCCATCGGATCCCATTTCTTTGTACTTTCCGAGCTTCTCCGACCTGGAAACAATAGTACAGTATTTGAACTACCAAACATCCAGGTGAAGGATAATAAAGCTGAACTTGATCCTAGGAAGTTGCCGGTAAGACGCAGCCAAGAAATGTGTTAACAGAGTATAACATTCTCACGCTTCATGTGAGAGAAGCTTGAAGCAGACCGTGATTGAATTAGGTGTCTCGCACGAAGACATATACCTGGCATATTTCAAGGGCCTTCAGTTTAACTAGCACCTTCTTGGCTAGGTCCACAAAAGAATCGTCAGTCCCGTTATGTTGATGTTTTTATAAATATCAGAAGTTTAAGATGATAAAAGCATGATTCTGAGACCAGGCAATATGTTATTGAGGCATCAAATTCAAACAACTAACCACCTTTCAAAAAACAATTGCTAGAGATTTCGCCAGGAAAACCATTTTTCATTTTTGGGCATTAAAACTTCCTATCGAGACACTTCTTAGTGACCGCAAGTATAATGAGGCTTTCCTTTAAAAATGATGACACTGAGCACTATTTTGCACAGGATAAAACTATACGTACATATGTATATCACATAGCAGAAAGCACACAATTAGACTGAGTTCTGCAGCTAGATGATATGTAAAATGGGATGGGATGATGTCATTTCACAGAAAACAGGTTCTCATTACAATGTAACTCGGATCGAAGACAGAGAAAAAGGATTTTAAGCATTCTGGGAAGAATAAGTTCTTAACGAGTGGTCCTCTTTGTTGCCTTGTCTTCGACGCAAAAGAAGAAGAGATAAAAAGAGGGCGAAAGCACGCCTGTCTTGAAATTTACGCCTTCTTTTCAGCCCCCGAGTACCTAGTCTCCCCATTGCCAAGCGAGTACACCAGAACCGTGAGTAAGAGTGCACTGGGCACGAACACACCCCGCATTGCATGCTAGTGGCCCAGTTCCTCTCTTCTCTTCTCCCTTCCATTCCCGTGATTAACTCTCTCTTTAGTCCATACTAGTACAGTAAAGTATCTTTTTTAAATCTCCACTGTGGCTCTTCCGATTTAATTTACAAATGTGGAGAAGGAAAGGAAAAAAAAAGACTAATTTTCAAATCTAATAATTGATGATAAATGAAAAAAAGGGGGAACATACTTTATATTACACATACTTTAATTATTGACTTAAAAAAAACTCTAATGACATATAAATACATGACTGTAGTTGTAGTCATGCAGTCGGTCACGTAGTTCTTGGTGTGACAAGCTTAAAGCTAGTGAGAGTTTTACTACTTCCTTGTACTTGCGCTTAACGAGTTCCAAGTGTTGATAGATCGATACTGAAAGGCTGTCCTGCACGTGGGAATGTCTAGGTTTTCTCTGAATCTGGTATTATAACTATGGATTCCTGTTCTTTTACTGATGTAGCTATTAAGGCAGGAGGGCGCAAGTCCATTCACTGTTTTGCACAACTGTGTGACATCCCGTACTAACAGCTGATGTTTAATAGAGTACCAACCCAGTTCCCGCAGGACTGGTGAGATATGGTCGAACTCTCTAGTATTCATTAACACGCGAGCAGCAAAATTTTGTACAAGTTGTAATTTATGAGTGTTCTGCTTGAAAGTGCCAGACTATACAGTAGAACAATAAAAGAGCTCACTAAAAACCAAGCAATTTAAAATCGGATTTGGAAAACAGATGCCTAACTCTGCTTATCTGACACAGAGTAGAGATAAGGGACGAAGTCAATGTATATACATGTTCATTAAATGTAAGGTTTGACCCAGAACTTTGAATGAAGGTACGGGAGCTAGGTTTTGGCTAGGTTTTGAACTTCTGACATCCGGAATTTTACTTAATAGCTGTCGCATTCCAAACAATTGAGTTTGCTTTTACCAGGATTGATGAGTAGTTAAGCGGCGATGAGACGAAGATCTTCAGTGACTTTAGTCAGGCAGCAGTCAATGTCCTTGGATGAGAACGAAAGGCAAACCTTGGTGTCCTCGACATATGGCTCGGGGTACTGTCATTCATGTAGAGACTGAACAAGAGCGGCCCTAAAATGGACCCCTGAGGTACGCCATGTGTAACGATTAGCTCCTCAGAGCGAGATGTGCCTAGTCGTGTTGACTGCATACGGTCGGTCGGGTAGCTCTCAAACCAATTCGACGCTTTACTTGACTCACCCAGCCGTTTGCAACTTAAGAAGGAGTGTCCTATGACATATGTTATAGATAAGGACCATAGCCGTTATTTCCTTCTTGTCCATTGCTTTAAAAATATGACCAGTAACAAGCAGACTCAGGGTTTCAGTAGAGTGGTATTTGTGATTCCCGTTCTGGTGGTAGGGAGGTTGCCTAGTTGAGTCAGAAAGTGAATGAACGGATTCAAAGCAATCTTCTCTGTCAGTTTGGAAAGTACGGAAAGTAACGTAGTTATTAGGAATCTCGTAATCTTCATCCTTGAGGTGCGGCACCACCTCTAACTTCTTCCAGGCCCTAGGGAATGCGGAGCTCGCAAACGAAAGGTTTACTAGCCCGGTTAAGGTTCGTAATACGTGGGACAAACAGTCCTTGATCACAAATATGGGAATTCTTTCATATCCTGGTGAACTCTTCGTTCACCAAGAGAAACCCTCTATATTTCAAGTAAATGCCGGACCTTGTTTATTCAACTTGCGCAAACTAGATCATAAACATTAATGAATTCAGTCGCTTTGTTTTGACAATATTCCGCAATGTTTAACAGCGACAATGTCTTTATTTGAGGGATAACAAAAATTCCGTTTTTAGGGTATAAGTTCCTCAAAGAAGCTAAGTCCTCTTGAACAAAGATTGGGAAGACATGCACACTCTCTTGTCTTTATCTCTAATACTGCACAACCACAACCCAGCCAATTTCTTAAATACTTTAAACATTGTAAATGGTTAATAGTTTATAAATTTTAAAGGTGTATTTAAAGAGTGCGTGGCTCATTTCAGCTCTATTTTAAAGTGTCGACTTTGACCTCATTTGAACTGGGCAATCTTTTTTGAATTCATTTGAATTTAGTTCATGCTAATAACAATGGCGTAAATTGATATACAGTGCAGGAAAATATTTATTATAAATATATATTTAAGCCGCCATTTTTTGTTCTTTCTTATTTCTCAATTTCTCAATTTTTGCAATTTTATATCACTCGTGATATAGTACGTCAAATTTCCACGCAAATCATGCTAAAAATCCATGCTTTTAAAGGAGTAATTTTACTGTTTTTTTGTGTATTTTTCATAGTAACTCTGTACGCTCGGTTTCGCAACTAACAAGTTGAAACAAAGGATGTCTAATATTCTGTGACCTTAATTATATAATTACTTTTAAAAGCAGGGTCTTAATTTCCAATAAAGCGATCAGGAAAATTTCAGGTATTTCTTATTTCAAAAGGTGGGGTAAAAATGACCGAAAAGAAAAAAGAAAAAGAACATGAAAAAAAAAAACCGCTAGAGTTCGAAAACACGCCATTCAGGTTAAATGAGCGTAGGTCAGACGGAGGTTCCGCGGCACATCTAACGCGGTCCAATATTTTACAGAACAATAAATAATTGTTTTTCTAGCCAAGCTGTATTATAGTAATTACATTTCTATGTGAGAAGTATTGTTATGACGGCCAACGAAATGCAATAAGAGACAAAAGTACGTAAGGTTGCCGAGAAAACATCCGCGAAACAAATATAGCGCGCGCGAATTATCAACGCCGTATCTTTGCTTGAGTGGGTCACGATTCGCATATGTATGATATATTTTGACAAATATCCAATGAAATCGCGCGCCGGGCACATGGGGTCATCAAATGTCGCATCACATCGACTTAAGTAATGACGTAAATTGTTAAACAAAAGCTAATAATCATCAAAAGGAAAATTAAAAGGAATAGTTTTATGAAAAAATTAACCAGATTACCGAAGGTATAGCAAGGGAAATCATCAATCAAACGCGCTTCCAAGGATTCAAGACAGTCTTTAAAAAAATGGTAGGAAACTGTTCCTTATATATGCCTTAAATGCAATCACCTAAATGATAATTTCTGATCAGTTTTGTACATTAAGTTAACTGCCTGTCAGAGGCTTAAAATCATGATAATATCTCGAAGCCTTAGTGTTCTCTATTCTCTGCTGTGAATGAAATAATACCATCAAATGGCACCAACATTTTAAGCGACAACTGCAGACTTCGTTTGTTCGATTAGCAATTCGCTAGATGATCGTCTTGGTCGATTTTTCCGTTATAAATAATCTTGTCAAAAGCCTATAAATAAGGTTATAATAAGAGATAATCGAGGTGTCAACAACTGAGAATTAGTGAAAGTTAGAAAGGTCGAGCCGTAACTTTTTGTGAGCATTTTCAGTAGTCGTCTGTTTATAATGAAGCTTATCAGCGAATAAAAACAGAGCGCGCCTCACAGTACACAAAATCATTATCGTACATTATACAAAATAAATTAGTAGTCACAGTTAGAAAATTGCCTCTTAAAACAGAGAAGTGACTTTAGTCAGGACTGAAGAGTTTTTTGCCTTGGCCTTTCCTGACGCTTGGACAGAAAAGCCAACTAATTTTAAACTGACAACCACGTCCATCTAATTGGTGATCCACGCTTATCACTCCACAGCTGACTTCAGTTCTGGAGAGTAACAAAAGCACAGCATGGAGAAATATCTTTACAAAAAGCTCTCTATTAATTTTAAGCGGCGAAAGTTCATTCTAAAGTCATCAGATGAGGGTATTTTGTTAATGGTTAATGTTTTGCCTTTTTTCGAAGCCCTTTTCATCTGTTTCATAATCATAATTTGTTTGTTTTACATCACTGATTTCCTTTAGTTGCACATAAAAGTTTGAAAAGAAGTTAACACTAGTTCTCCTTTGATTTCCAGGAAAGGCCCCCAGACTCTGCACATTATGAAATTCCAACGAAACCTCGGACACTGAGTGTAAACAGCTCTACTAACTTGAAAAACATTCGCTCCGTTGTTTTAGGAAAAGACGGCGTAGGAAAATCAGGTATGTCTGAACCACCCAAAGACAACTCAAATTGTTTATTTAATGAGCTTTTAACAAACAAAGGATTCACTACACCCATTCACTTCTATTGTAGTACAGTCACGTTTACTTTTAATTCGTAAAAGGTGCTCTTTGGATTATTTGTTCAGATCATAGTTGTGCAATTCATTTTTCTTACATCTTTCAACTCACGGAATTGTAAATGATGAGCGTAATGGATATGTTACTCAGTAGAGCGCTGAAGGATACGTTTTCTAAAGAACAGATTTTGTAAGGTGTTACTGCAGTGCGCGCAACAAAAGCGGAAGGTCATCATCCACAAGGATCGCGACCGTAGTCACGTAGAGGATAATTTGAACAAGTACATGAAGACTTCACCGCCATCACGGAAACACTATGATTCAAGTCGTCAAGTAACATTACTTACTGAAATGATTCAAGAATTCCTATCGTACCACCATTGTAGGTTTCTACAGTTGTTTGCTCAGCGGCGCAAACAATGCATGCGTGTTAATGGCTTGCTTAAATTTGCACGAAACACTGCACACTTTTCTAGAAGTTTGTCTGAACGCTACCGTGATGTCGGCCTTTATATAGCCGGAAGTTTTTACTGGATCATACTTCAAGTATTTTCTTGGCAATGTTTTTGAACAAGCGTTTGCTTCTAATTCAAGCACTGTTTATTCGATCGTGTGTGCTGACACTTTCTCGAGTAATCAAGCAGTATGACACATTCATACTGCTTCCGTATAGACCATAAAAGGAATTTTTTTTCTACAAACGGGAAAAGATACGTCAACAAATTGAGCACACTGTACACACGTAGAGTGTGGATTCCAAAAGCCAATTTTTCCGGTAGTGCTATTCAGCAGCTGCTAAGTCAACAGTTAAGCGAGCACTTTTAAAGGTTTTAATTTGCTCCTGAATAAATAAAGCCAACATGCCTATGGAATTTGTCCTCGCAATTTTCTTCGTTTTAGTAGTTTGCGCACCTATTTTTTATTTGACTTAAGGGTATTGACACCAATCTTGCACTTTGTTACCCGAAACATTAAACACTGAAAAAAACTGAAAAATTTCCCTCAACAGTCACTGATCGTGGACGAAAGGCTAACCTTTCGATTCTAACATGCCCTACACTCTTCTTAATTAACTCTTTCCGCCCTTCTGAAAGAGACGAGTTTCTTCCATCTCTTCTTAAAAACTGGCTGGCAAAGCCGGCGTCATAAAATGTAAGGAGGTGAAAGTGTTGATATACAACCATATTCTCCTCTGAAGTATACATGAGGAGAAAAAGCATGCTGCTCAGATAGACTCTATGCTTGATGCAAGAGGTAAAAAAGGATTAATTAACTTGTCTACAAGAAAGTCTGATCAAGTGTAAAATCGCCAGTTTTGATTAATCTCTTTCTTGTCTGCAGCTTTCACAGTCAGACTTCTAACGAGGCGGTTCATTGGGGAATACGACAGTACTTTAGGTGAGCATCAAAAAGGGCGTGGCAATTCCCCTTCGCGTGCTCGACTGTCTTCATAGTATAGCAATCAATTATGGCTGTTATGTGACTACCTCCCAAGGGACAGGGGTGACTCAAGCGCCCATAGATAGCCTTTAGCCTTTATTTTAAAACGATAAGTATTAAAGCTACATGAGCTTGTGTGGCCGTTACCAGAATTTTCCCTTGGGCAAAGCATTTTCAAGGCAACCTATTGTAAGTGACCGCGACCACCACTCACTTGTAAGACTGACAATTTAAACCACACGTGAGCAACCACTTGTCACGTGGTCTGATCTTCCGACGCTGCAAATTGGATAATGCGGCCTCATACAACCCTGGTGAGACAATTTCCCACACCCTTCTCCCTCCACCTTCTGCGACCTTTTCTCTTTCTGATATCCCAGGTTCGCCGTATGTAACGCCTAACCGTCAAAGTATGTCAGGGCAATTTTCGTGACATCATGGTGCTGCTTTAATTTTTTCTCGAAAATGGCATATATCTCAGTAAATTCTTCCTTCACAAGTTTTGGCAATTAGCCTGGTGGTCGCTTTCGAGAGGTTTGATCGCGTATAAGGCTTGGCAACTTCGCGTGTGGTGTCTGTTAAACTAAAGCCTGCTTAATTAACTTCCCCTAGCCCCTGACACCAGCTGTTTAGAGCACGAGAACCTCTGATAAGGGGGCGAAGTGCAAAAAAAATAATCGCGCAAGGGAAAATTAAACGAAAACAAATTCATGCACGCCAATTAACCCTAAGAAATATTCATGCCCCCCCCCCCCATAACTTTTCTAATGGTCCGCCCCTAAATAGAGAAATATTAATTAAAAGGTGTATTAAAGTGACACCGATAGCTGCTTTTTGACCTAAAGCCAAAGATGGATTTAAAAGGTTCCGCTGTACTTTCTTTTTTCTCAGAAGAAACATATCGTCACCGTGTTGAAGTGGATGGCCAAAACATTCTCTTGGAAATATTGGATACTGCAGGACAAGTAAGTACTAGACTTCTGGTTCAACTCCGTCACCCAGGTGATTTCACTCCCAGACCGTATCCAGGTACTTTCATCGAACTTGCATGGTCCTACGGTGTGACCATCCAAATAAAACCACTTTATAACTGTAAGAATTTTACGGCAGGATGAATATGAGAGTTTTCATCAATATCTATTTGAAAGGTCTTCAGAAAGAAAGACTGTGAACCAAAGAAGCAGGCGGGTTCATGTTTTCCAAAACGCTACGACTTAGACGCGCAGCACTATTTACCCCAAATGACTAGAGAACATAGTTAATGAGAAACTTAATAATAACTCTAGTATCAGCTGTTTTTAATGAACACAGTTTTAACTGTGTGTTCATAAGATGATGCTCGCCAAGAGCGTGTGCGACAAACCTTTACAATATTAACAACCCGTCACAATGATCAAAACCTCGGCTCCAATCCAATAAGCGAGTGTCAAAAATAATAACTAAAAGACTAAACCTATTTTTGATTTTTTGGATTTTTTTTTTCAGAATTCTGTGGAGAAAATCGACGCGTGTTCCACAGCTGGTGTGGCAGATGTATACTTTGTACTCTACTCCAACACGGATCGTTCTTCCTTCAAGGAAGCTGTGCTTATCGTTAAATATCTTGTGGAAACAAGGAACATTTCTCAGGCGTCTATATTTTTAATAGCTACTAAAAAGGACCTAAAGTATCAACAGGATGTGACGGAGTACGAAGGAAGGTTACTAGCCATGGAGTTGGGCTGTGAGTTTTATACTATCTCAAGTTCCGAGGGATATGAAGGGACGCAGGATGTGTTACGAGGATCTTTACGTTCAGCCCTGAACAAACACTCCAAAGAAAACGGCGGCGCAAAGTCCCCGCTTATGAAGCGGGTTAAAAACGGACTGAGGAGTAAGACTCACCATGGTGTTCCTCATCCCCCTCTGGTCATTGACACCAGGGAAAGAACTGCTACTCTTTGATAACTGACAATCAAAGGAAGAAAAGCATTGAGTGCCATATTAAGACTGTGGAACAAACAAGCTAAAAGAACTCATGAGATCATCAGCCTTAAGTCTTAAAAATGGTATTTCGCCTTTAAGCCCACCCAAGAAACGCATACAAAGTTAAACAGAAAATAACTTAAATCGCATGCAAATTAATCCAGACCATGGGGTTCTTAATGCGCAGCCTCGTTTTGATCACAAGGTAGAGAAATTATTTCATGAAGCGGTGTAAAACCAAACCGGCTGGTGACAGATAAGTACCTGAACTTTCTGACGGCAGATGTGTATCCACTCTCGTACGTCTCAATGAAAGGATCTTAAGTTCACGTTGTTATTCAATACTAAGGTTCATATTTAGGCAGTATTTTCTCTCTCAGTAATAGCATCATTCGGATGTTTTTTCTGACTCGGGTAATCAGTTCTCTGGTTGCCTTTGTTATTAATCGACAGACCTGACAGTCGTCAATGGAAACGCGTCCTGATTCAAACATGCAATGCACTAAATTTTGTATTAATATCGCTTTTAGCTTCAGTTAGTTCAGGGCCTCTTGATCGTGTAGGCATGACTTAGTTCTAAGAGAATACTTTGGAAAATTAGCAACGAATAACGAATCTTAATTTATATCTTAATATAAAAGTTTAAATAACATTATCTGGTGCCTGTCAGCTCAGTTTCATTTATTTATAGAAACTAAAATATACCGATAAAAGGATAATATTAAGTAAAGATCACAGCTTCCGGAAAACTTCTATATACAGCCAAAATAAACTCTTCTGTCGAACTGGATACTCGAATAACTTTCTTTAACAACTGATAAATGCTATACTGAATTATTTAACAGGCATTCATTTTTTTTTTACGCAAAATAAGCAGCTGGGGTATGTAAAAAGATGCTTCAATCCAAAATCAAAAATGAAACTATCCGTTTTTCTATTTTGACCGCTAGTTCGAGGGAGCACTCCCTCTAATGGTCGAAACGCAGATATATCAAAGGGTAGCAAATTCACGAGTTGAAGTACAAGAAGGGTAAGAAAATCTATCATTAAAGTATTTAAAAGGGCCTTAAATATAAAATGTTTCCAAAAAACGCGCCTTATGGCTATATCATTCTAATTTATTAAACGCTACACGAAAAAGACAAGAAGAATTCCTGTTTAAGCGATTTATTTGTATTACGTGAGTTTGGCAAACGGGTTATACGAAAGGGATATCTTGTCCCTTAAAATGACGGGGTAACAGTTAGATCTCAGAACGCAAGCCCCCTTGTCCCAACCCCCAGCATAAACTACTCCACAAAAAAACCGTAACCGAATTTTCAATATATTTGATTATGGAACAAACAAGAATGTCGTTTAGGGACATGGACAGGTTTACCAAAAGAATGATGTCTCCGTTACAATGAGGACTTCATCCAATTTAATATGATTTTCATGATGGTCAGGTCCGGGCCAAACATCGAACTTCACATGCGCCGAACCTTATGATAATCAGCGGACCGCAATTGCAATAAATTGCAATTGCTATATGTTACAGGGACTGTCGAGAGGGAGGGGCTGAGCGGAGGGCATTTCTGAAAAAAAAAATTGAAGCATGAATTTAAGGAGCCTGAAGAAGGTCTTTCGCATGATTTAAAAAGCCAGGAAATGTCAACCTCGTCCCCAGGGCACTTTTCCCTGGCTTTGGAGGTGGGGCGCCGCGCCTCCAAAGCCAGGGAAAAGCGCTCTGGGGACGAGGTTGAGGAAATGTTCAAGAAGCGCATTTTGAAAAACTTCATCAGTGCTGTGTTGTAGGTTTCGGCCTTAACTCGATCGACAACGTAAGGCAACTTGTCGATGGAGTTGGAAGCAGCAATGGACATGGAATTATTTTATCTTTTCCAATTCAAGGAACGCCAGCTTTCCTGCTGTTATAAGCTCTAAACCTTCGCGCATTACTACTTTAGCTGTATTTTCTAGCAATTTCACAGTGCCTAAAAGTTTCATATCTTGCCCAACCGGGAGCATGCTCCCCGGACCCCCTCACATTCGAAATCTAAAGGACGGATTCAGTTCAGCACTACCTCCGCCCCCGTTCCCCCCACCCTCCCACCCCACATCCCCCGACTCTCAAACTTGCTCTGTGGTCCCTGTGTTAGACCGGATACCGGTGATGGAACAAAAAGAAAACTTAAGTTGTCTTTTTTTGGCCGAAAACCGCAAGGTTTTAAAAATCAACTACTGCCTGTGTCTTCTACGGCACAAAACTTATCTCAGCGGCCGGTTAATAACCGCGGGTTGTAATAGTTTACGAGCCCCTGTTTTCCCCCCACCCCCCCCCCCCCACTTCCCCTTCTCCTCCCTTGCAAAAATATGACCGTTCGTATAATTTTACTTTTAAGGGACATTACTCTTCAGTATCATCAAGGTCTGTGTAGCTCCATACAAATTTTGATTTTCCGCGACTCTGAGATTATGAAGGGGAGTTATTTTTAGCTCGTTAATCTGGATCATGAAGTGTCGAAACATCCATTAGTAATTTTGCTTATCGCAGTGTCCAAATCAGATTAATAATGGTCGGATATTCTTTGTACATTTGCAGCAAGGTAATTCTTAGGTAATTCATTCGACAAAGCTGATATACGTGGGAAATACTTACAGCCCCCAAACCCGACTAAGCTTTCTCTCCTGCTGTTAACGTGTGCATTTAACAAAAAGTTAACCAAAGGTGACAGGCAGTAAGATAGTGGATAACTCTTCTAAAAGAAAACTTATCATTCCTTAGCATTAATCCAATAGGAGATATAGCCGTGTTATCTCTAACAACTTTTAGTTTTGCCGCCTTATCATAATCAGTTAAAGCCAACCTTTTAAGCTAAACAAGCGGCTTAATAATACGTACATTCTAGTACAGTTTCACAATTGCCTGGTGCAAAGGAGGAATTGAATCTACGGAAGAAAGTCCATCATTGTGTTGGGTGATTACATAAACAAAAGTGAAAGATAACTAATGAACATGCAAGGTCTATATACCAAGTTCGCACCAGATTTTAAAGTCTTTCAGATATTTTACCTGTCGTGAAAAACATGCCTTTTCTCTTTGGTGATAAAATAGCGCGCCCAGCAAAAGTATTTTTTCTTTGAGGTTACAAAGCGCTTGAAGGTAGATTAACTGGCCGTATAATTTCATTAAACTGTCCGTTTTGGTTTGTCACCAAAAAGTCGACTTGCGAACAAGCCTGTTCACAGACCCTCGATTTTCTCTTTAGAGATCGTCGAGCGCAAGGATGAAAAAAATAACCGCGAGCTGTCGTCAAATTGTCAAAGAAAACAAAGAAAAAGAAAACCGTCTGTGAACAGGCCGATTCAAGCCTATAAACTGAACCAGACCAATTAACTCCTAAAGAGAATAGAACTGTCTAGTCAAGACAATTTGTTTCTAAATAGGATGCACGGCAGTGAAAGTCTGTAGTGCCGGAAAACGCTCGATAAAGCCTGCTCCATTGTCTATAATTACCGCTCCGATCGGCCAAGTTCGCCCTACGTGCTTGTGAAGTTTTTTTGTCCCTGAACTTTTTTGCCTTTATCCTTGTAGCTCTTTTGCACCAAATAGTGCAAGCAAAGTCGATATTGGAAAAGTATACTACAATCATTCTCATACCAACACAGAAGTATTACCTAAGAGGTTTTATAAAAATTTCGTTCACCAGGATTAGAAGTTAGCGACGTCAAGATTCAAGAGCCATAATGGGACTGCAAGATTTCATTGTCTCCACAAATCGACTCTATAAGTGGAGGGGTGATAAGGGTGGGAGGAGAAAATCCGCGAACAAGTGGGAATTCACTTAAGACCTTTGGCCCTCTATCATGCCGAGATTCGTGCATGATATCGAAACCGGCAGCCTTTCAAGATTAAGGAACTGAAAACCTGTTGTCAGAACTTTCCACACATGTTACCAGGAGTCGTCGGGTTGAAGTATGGCGATGGCTCTCTCTGTGTTGTTGTGCATGATAGTTATGCTAGCCCTTACAATCTGAAATAGCGCGGCTACCACACTTTTGTGAAGATTATCGGAAGGTACGCCTTTCTACAAGGCTAGGACGACGTGATCGAAAAATTCAGTCTTTTCACTAACGATGCGTCTGACTCTGGGAATAACAGGCTTGTACTTTGGCGCAAAAATTTACGTTTTGATTTGTTTTAATTCTTTTTCGCTCTTCTTTGAAGGATTTAATTGCAAAGAAGTTACCTATCATAATCCACTTTACCTTGGTACACTTCAAGCTCGCTCGAGTGTCAATCCCTCTGTCCTCATAAGGGTGACAAGAAACAAATCATGCAATGTGCTACTTTATGAACGGAACAAAAGAGCAATTCGTTTGGTTTGGATTGCAAGTTCGTGGCTTCTTCATCAGCACTCTTACTACAAGGCAAATTTTTTCATTATTTTACAATACAACATATATAGAGGATTTTTTCATATTTGAGTAGTGGTACATAGGGTTAATCCCCCTAGTTTGATTGCATTGGATTAGTGCTTCCCGTGAGTCGAGAAGAAGGTCGAGTTAAGTACTTTTTGTTTTGTAATAGTTTACTTTACACTGTTATAACCTGATGTCTACGAAATGTTTCCAGCACTGCAAAAAAAGCAGTGAGGCAGTGTTAAGTCAAGTCGCAGAGGAGAATCTAACAAGATTCTAGAGCTTCAGCATTTGTTGACTCAGTTTTAGAACGTGACTACCGACTTCCTAAGACCATGACAAAACCAAATAAGCGTACTTGCCTAAGAGATGCAATGTTTGCTTTATAAATAGTTGAAGATGACTGGATCGGATATTTTTCCTTTGTAAACCTCTGAGAAAAAAAAACACCTACATTTTGACCTTACGCCCTTCGCATTAATATCAATCATTAGGACATACCGTATTGTATAAAATGGCACCTGATACCCTGGTTCCCAGAACTGAGCCACCAGTTTTACTGATCGATGTTCGACTTAATTTGTGTTCAAAAGGAAATTGTAATTAAGTGGGTTTCTAACAACGGGGCAATCAGTATTTACCGCAGGAAGAACAGGCAACCTTTTTCGTGACCGTGATCAGGGGAATAGAGTCTGCAAGCGTCAGTCTGCGACAGTTTACCAAGAATTGTTATCGTTCACGGGCGCCGCAGGTTCCAAAAGGGATTTGCAAGAGAAAAATTGTTTGTTTTTTGGATTGTTTCAAAAATCTTTAAAAATTTCGTGAATGCAATGGAGAGGGGCGAACATTTTGGGCGTCGAATGGTGAGTGTATGCAAATTTGTTGTGAAAGTGTTCTAACTGTACCTTAGTCAGGCATCAATATAACATTCAGTTCTTGTAGAATATATACATCGTACTCTGGATAAGCTGCTAAACCGGAATCAAAAATCAGACTTGCGAATTTAAGAAAAGACGATCCGAATTTAGTATCCGTCTGCCGGTTGCCGACAGTTATGGAACTTAAAGATAACTTTATTAAAAGCGAAGGAAGTTTTTCCTTGGCAGGAATGATGTCAGCCTTACCGTACCAAAAGATTGATTGTGTCAAATCATAACTCACAGCAAAAACAAATCAGTTTTAGAAAAGAATGATAAAATAAAGGTAAAGTAAACACCACTTGAGGAAAGTTCTGCGGCTCATTCGCTTCCACTTGAATTACGCAAAGACAAGCATTTCGAAGATTTAACCCGGCGTTAAACAACAGAACAAACTAAGTTCTCCTAAATCAGGTCAGGTAACTAGCAGGCCTGGGTAACTAGTATGTTTTAACAGAGGCGACTTTTGCGATTTAAGCTAGGGACGTGTCTAAGGTGATGAAGTTAAGTTCTTGGCACAAATAAAATAAGATCCATTAATGTACGACAGTGCTACTTAATTTTCAAATTTCCGATGTGTATATATCAAATACCTGGCAAACAATTTGAGGCGTAGCTGTCTTTGCGTTGATTACAGTCACGTTTCAAGCTTAGATTTGGTGTGCATCTAAACACAACTCTTAAGTCCAAGCAGATGGAAAGTGTAGAAAAATATCATCCCTTCATGTCTACCAGTGTTGATTAATAAGAAAATTGTTAGGATTAGATGAGCTGCTAAAGAAGGAAGCACGGGACGGAACTTGACAAACCCGAAAGCCCTTGAAGGAATAAGATTTGTGATACAACAACATGCATGATTTGTTTTTTTGAAAGTCATTTCCTCAGGACAACGTCGGAAACTCGTCTCAAAGAAGATCAAAGAACATTTCCGTGAGTTCTGCGTCCAGTAACAGCATTGAAGAGGAAAGCGGGAAAATTATTCGCGCTGCTGTTTTGGGCAAAGATGGCGTTGGAAAAACAGGTGAGAAATTCTAAAGTAAACAACTTACAAAAAAAATGCCAAGTCGAAGATCACAACAGAAATATATTCATACAAAGCAACACGTATTTTGGTATGGAAACTAAGATCACTGTTCAAATGACCTCTAATTAAGTCAAGGAGCGGAAGACATACCATTTACTACCCTTTCAAGAAAGTCAAAATCGTTTCGTAAAATTTCCAGGACAAGTTTCTAACAAGAATTTACACAATAGAATTAATTCAACTCAGTCTTCGCCTGTGGATACAAAGCCCTGCTGCATGTCGCTGTTGATATTTCACTATTGTATGTACACTTTTCTCTGACGCTGTCGCAGTTTTAACCCATCTTAGTGTCATTTCTCGCCATTTCTGCTTTCCTATTAACCCTTTAAGTCCCAATAGAGACCAAGATCAATTTTCTCTTAACAATATCCATACACTGTCAAGAGATAAGTTACGAGAATTAATAAAATGATCACCGAAGAGAAAATGCCTTGATCTGTTATCAAATTCTCTCAGCTCATATCTTTAAGGAAATGTATGGAGATCAGTTTGGAGAATTTGTATGTGGATACCGGGGCTTAAAGTGTTAATATCGCTTTTCAGAGCCACGTCGCTTATAGGAGTTTTACTCCTCTCTCTTAAACTTTGCGCGCTTCCCTTTTACATTCGCGTTTATATCGGTTCCCTTGGCCTTATAATGCCACATCGGCAGCGGGCTTTGGGTCAGCTAATCAGGATGCTACTTCGTACAGCATTACTCAGTTATAACTAGGAGTAGTTTGGCACCAAAACATTAATTCTGTCTAAATTAATGTGCAGCCGGAAACAAATAAAAATACAGGCATATTTTCCGTTCCATACCAAGTCAAATCAGATATTAAAAATAGCTTTTTCGCCCTTTTTAAACAGACAGTATTTATACCTAAATATCTTATCACCGATAATCAGATTGCTGTGCTATATCCTTCCGCAAAATCCGAAACCGTGTGAGGACCATCATCACCGACGATGTATAAAATTAGTTCTAGAAAGGAAAAATTAGCGGGGTGGGGAGGTACAGAGGCTTAAATTTTGTTGTGATTAATTAGTGCCGCATGTGAAAAGTTAGAATAGCGCATATTGCTAACAAACGAATATGTTGCGTGACTAAGCCTCTCCTTAACACAATAATACGGGTCCTATGATGTATTTACTATTTGTTGGACCTTTCTAACTTAAAAATATTTACATTAGATGAAGACGCAGTAATCCTGGCAGATGATCATAAGTTTTGTTTTTGTTGTCTTTTTTGGCTAGTTTTCATTACCCCTTGACCCCTTGGTGGTTCAATCACGTCGTTGCCAGCATTCTTAGACTGAGGGGCGCGACGCCACCACTGACTTCCCTGTGAAATGAGAAATGAGCGCAGAATTTCCAGCTGACGACGCGTTATTACCCCACATCTAGCTGGGTATTACTTACGTTTGGTTGAAGCAAACTTCTTACGCGGCACGACCAATCAGAAGACTACCCAGATCCGTGGGTAGTGACGCCTCAGCTCATCAGCTGCAATCCTGCGCTCATTTCTCAGACTTCATTTCGCGGGGAACCAGTGGTGATCTCGCGAAATGTCGACTGTTTATTTTTTGTAGGCTACAGCAATCTCAGTCTTAAAACTACTCCCCATGGGTCAAGCCGTAAGGGAAAGCAGCCCGCCTCATGTCCAAATGTCGTTTGCCTTCTAGATAAATTTGGCGGACGCGAAAACCAAAGAACAATTCACCCCAACATTAAATTAAAAATTATTTATTACATCACCGCGTCCCTAACTAACACGGCTCTTCTAGAATCTAAGCACCCAGGAATACTAAAATTACTCGATCCGGATCCGCTTTCACATTTTTTGACACTTTTAAGTCGTGCCGAAATCTACTGGAATATGTGCGCAATGTTTACAAGCAAAGCCTCAGAGAGTTTTTAATTGTTGATTTTGGAACCTAAACCGTTATGTACGTTAGCAATTAGTTAACGATCAGTTTCTAAGATGAGCCACGAGCATCTTTTAGTGTATATTATTTGTAAAGCAGCAAACATTATTCGTTGACATTACTAATTTGGGAAAGAAACCACAAAAAAAGAATCGATGGTCTACGGTTGATCCGATTCTAGCCAAATGTCTATTTCGAAAATTTTTCAATGGAGGAATTCTCTTTTTCTTGTATTTATGGCTACTTTTGGTACGGTGTACATCAAAAAGCAATGAATGCGTTGAGCTAGCACACCTACTTTCATCTTTTTTAAATAATGGGGGTAAAAGTTTATTTTAACACGGTCCTTTGGCCTAATTTCAGCATTTACGGTGCGTCTATTGACCAGACGTTTCATTGGAGACTACGATGGAACACTAGGTAAGTTAATAACAAAGCTTATTACAAGGCTGAATCCGCGGGCGGGTAAGATAAGGCGAATCCTGTGTTCTGATTGGCTACCTTAGAGGCTAAGATGGGACCATCTTGCCCGCTCGGGATTTCCCGCGTTTTGGTCCGGCAAGAAAATTAAAGTTCTCTTTTTGGCCATATAATAAATCCTTCATTGACCAAGCTTGATCGGTCAATATGGCTGGATATTCACCTCATTCTTTTGTGCGTTTTTATGGACCTCGACTTAGTCTCAGTCCAAAAATGGCCAATATCCAGCCACGCTTGGTCAATAACGCACTATCGTTTTTGTGAATCAAACTGGCCACACATCGATCTGGCCACCACAGATCGTAAGAGACACTAAGTGAGACATGAAAATAGATTGCCTAGGTTTTGGCTTGTTTAACACGTAATCTAAATGTCAGTGCTGTTTTGAGTTTGTCCACGTTATTTTCGTTTACATTTTTATTTTCTTGAGTGCAGGAAAACACCAGTGATCAATTCGTAAAAACCGAAGCTTTGTTTCAATATCTTACCCAGCTAATTCTCTTTATCATTAAGATAAGTAAATCAACTCATAATAGTCCGTTTTTCGCTGGTTTTCAAACGGAGACAAAAGATCGTTTATCACTTAATTTACTTATAATAATTCAATTAAATTCGTTGTTGTTATCTAGTTCCAATCTAATGCTACAAACGCACGTTTATCGGCATGCCACGTTTGAATAAATACCGTATTCAATAATTCTAAGTCAATTAAGTGACGTTACGATTTGACAAACACGATTTTGGAATTCGGCCACCTAATTGCATCTTCTGAACTTTACTGATCTCTTTCCCGTTGCTGACTAGCATGTACAGGGATAATATTGTCAAGATTGGGTGTGACTGGTTATTATATAAGGCACACAAATTTGGTTTCAAAACTTCACCCTTGTGCTGGTGATCCAATCTGAAGCCGGGTCTCTATTCTTTCATTCATGCAGTCATTTATTACTGAATCTGTTTGATCCTGATCAAGAGCGTGGCTAGGGCTATTTTTGCTAGCCGTATTATAAGCACCCTCAGGTTACCCCCCAATAATAATACAGTAACTACATTACTCAGTCTTGGATATCTCTTATTACATATTTTCATATCTTAATGTATTTATGTTACTAAGCCATGGATGAATCTCATGCTCTTGAATAAGCTCTCGTTAATTACTATACTATGATAGCTGAAACGCTCTAATCGCTCAGAAAATATGCTAAATCTTCAGCGCAAAGCTGACGATCGTAGATTCTTGAATACGACTTTAATCAATATTTTATCAACAGAGAGCTGGTATCAGCATAGAGTTGACATTGATGGACAAGAAGTCACATTGCACATCTTTGATACCGCTGGAAAAGTAAGTTTGCCAGTGTGTTTAAGTAATCAATTTCTTGCAATAGAGCTTTGGGTAAGAATACCCTTTCAGATAGGAGATAGTCGTCGGCACTCTTCTCTACTTGTGCGTCAACTTTCACAAATGTGTTAGCGTGGCACTTTGAGGTCGAGTTGTATGGTCACGTTTGACTTCAGTCTTGCAGATATAAAACTCGGGCTGATTTCCCGAAAAGCGGCTGGTAATGGAGTTTAAGTTAACCCCACCTCCCACAAATACATTAAAAAGGGTTAATAAGGAAGCGAATTGGGTCAGTAAAATAGAGAGGAGAAGTGTGACGTCACGTTACCATGGTAGCACTATTTCTGGAGGACAACAAAACACAAAACCAACGACGACGGCGACGGCAAGGAGATCGGCAAAAAATGATATGTTTATAGTAACAAACAACAACTTTGCACGTGCATCACGCTATTTTGTACATTTCTTTGCCGGCGTTGCACCACTACGACATGAAATTTCCTAATTTCACGAGCTCGCTTTATGGAGTAGGTGAACACAGCACAAAAATTGTCCCTGTCATTCTCTAAACTTAGATAACGCGTGATATGGTCCCAAAGAAAATTTCGCCAACATTTGCCAAATTAAATGAAATTGAATAAGATCGGTGAAGTTTGAAATAGTGCAAAAAGACTTTTAAGTGACTTTTTCGGTTTGTTGTCATCCATGCATTTTGCTACCATGGCAACGTGACGTACCGACTTCTCCTCTCTATTTCACTGAAACACATGCTAACCAAGTGCTAAAGAAGCAGATACAGCGATTATATCCTCATTCCACTACTAATACACTATATATTCTGCTTACCTTAATTGTATTTTCTTTATCTTTTTATCAGAATTGTAAGGAAAAGATAGACATCTGCGCTGCTCAAGATATCATATTTGTCCTTTACTCCATCACAGACCGCTCTTCCTTTCAAGAAGCCACACTCATTGTCAAGTACCTACATGAAGCAAAAAACATTCCGTCGTCAGCAATATTTCTAATCGCATCAAAAGCCGACCTAAAACGCCACACGGAAGTCACAGAGTTCGAGGGAAAGCTTTTTGCGGTGAACACGGGATGCTCGTTTCATCAGTTGTCGAACTCTGAGAGTTTTTTCGAGCATAACAAGATTATAAAGAAGGCTTATCTTAGGGCTTCGCTTGGTGGACAGAAGTTTCCAAAGTCTCCAGCTATTATGAGACGTTTGAAGGGAGGATTTAAGAGCAAGGCTCAAACAAACAGCATTCCAGGAACTCCGAGAAACAGGTCCGGCAGTGTCGAATTCTAGAAACACCCAACTGAGCGGAGAGCGGCAATGATAGAGACATTATTTAAATGTGAATATAACTATTAATACTACTTCATCAATAGCTGCAAATTTTCCTTGTACCCATTGCTTGACAAGGGCATCACGTGCCCATGCAAGAGATTTCGGATTCCGGAATCCCAGATCTGGGATACTTCAATAGTGGAATGCGAAATACAGCTCAAGGAATGCGGAATCCCATAACGATTGGAATCGAGCATCCACGTTCCACTGGAAAAGACTAGAATCTGACTAGGATTTGAAATCCACGACGTGGAATCCAGAGTCCAAGGCTGTCATGGATTTCCCAACATGAGGCGAAAGGGTGCAAGATTTCATAGGGTTGGTTTTAGGTTTGGATGAAACTAATTAGTCGTACGTTGTAAATCTTATAGTGTAACCTAAGAAAAAGAGATTAAATTGATTGGGACCAAGTTTCTAAATCAAAGAGCCCTTTGCAGCAAAAGGGTACAAAAACGCCTTGCTTGAACACAATCGCGGGAACCTTCTAAAGAAATGAAATGTTTTCGTACCGTGAGACAGTTTAGCTGCAAAGGGCCTATTTAAAAGCCAATTCTCCTCAAACGATGATGTGTTTTAAAGGAATGTGTTTGTCCACCATAAACAATATTCCCAGTCACATTTCAGATTCCACAAAAGTTTCGCATATGGTTAGTTTATCTGTACATATTTAGTCATGCATCACTTACCTTCGGTTTCGAAATGAGAGTAATATGAACGATTCAGTTATTGTAATAACGATTTTGATGAAATATTAAACGATTAGATAGTAATAAATGGAAAATGTATTCTGATGTATTTATAATGTATGAATTGAGATCGGGCACGGGGCACAGCGGCAGCACGACGTTTGAAACCAAGTCGAGCTACTGCCGTGTTAAAGACGAATTTAATTCGATCGATTGAGTTCGGCACGGCGGTAGCACGACGTTTGAAACGGGCCTTATTTGTTAACGCCAGTATTCGTTGAACGAAAACAGAAAAAGAAGCGATTTCATTGTGTTTTGGCCAGGAGTCGACGATTGAAAGATCGGAAACGGAACTTTTCGAAAACTAATCCGGGATCATTAAAAAGCGTCCTCACCGTGTCAACGGGCAAAATTTCGCCTCCTTGATTAAGAATACGTGGGTCCACCCCTGAAAATGATTAAGGGCTGTCACAGAAGCAAATCCCTTTCCTGTCCTCGCGATTTTTTCACCCTTTCCCAAAACAGAGAGCCTGTTCACAGAGACTCAAGGCAGTCAAAAACAAAACAAACAAAACCACCTTTCTCATCCTCGTGTTTCACGCGGTTCGCTAATTTTCGATCCGATAGACTACAAAAACTCAAGCACGTGCCAGCCATTTTTGAAGTTTAGATGAGCACAGGTCAGCTGAATTCCAGCTGAAGAGTGCGCCGGAATTTCCATGACGTCATGGAAGGAGAAGATTGATTCGAGCTTTCTGGGTTTAAGACCTCGCAACAGAGCTTAAGCAAGGACGTTTTTGAGGAAACGCACGTCAACATGAAGAGGACGTTTTGCATTCTTGGGCAGCTAACATGCCCATAACTTCGGACAAATCATCTGCATACGAGAAAAGACACCTGGCGAGACAAATTTGGAAGCGTCAAGGCATATCAAATAAAAAACGGTACACTTCCGGTCGACGTGCGCCGTCCAAAAATTATAAACGTCTTTGCTTGAGCTCCCTCATCTATAAACATGAACTGATTTCTGCAATTCTAATCGAGACTAGGTCTCTGCTCTTCATCACTCTCTCAATTGAACTTTGTACACATCTCATTAGCATTTAAAAATTCTTTACAAAGATTCACTGTCCACTGAAAATGCCATTGGAAATTGTTGCATAATGCATAGACTCCCTGGAGCGCCTACCATGTACCACGCAGGCCGCAAAACGGACCAATCACATGCAGGGCCACATTGAAAAGGGTGCCGTCTTGCTGTGCTGCGATTGGCTCTGTACACTCGCATACGAAAACACTCTCAGCAAAGCAAAACGTAACCAATCAGAAATCAATTTTTGACAGTGCTGATCAACTGAACATTTCATCCAAAAGCTCAATGCCGTAGGTTCACTAGACCCTGGAAGTCTTCGTCCCTTCCCAGTCCTCCCAAGGTGAAACGAAGGCGCGGCAACCCGGCGATCGCGGGATGCAGATCATCCTCTCCGTCCGTTCTTCTTGTTCTGGGTTTTGATCGTTTGTACACGAAGGAATTCCCACTAATTACCGACATCTAAAAGAGGATTAAGGCGTCAGCAGAAACATATGCGATCATGAACGCGATATTATGATTACGTTTTCATATGCACGTGCAGTTGCACGTTTTAGTAAAAAGAACATTTTGAGATGAAAAAGACTACAATGGTCGTAGTTTTGAGCTTGACCAAACTTAGGGCTAGCCAGTTACTTTGAATCGAACTAAAATATGAAATGAAAGAAGGAAATAAGAAAAACAGAAATTATATCATTTTTTGTTCAATAGTAAAATAATGATGACCATCACATATGCCGTGTCTTTCCCTGCAATATATCAAGACGTAATTATTGCGCTTGAGTGAGAAGACTGCTCTTAACTAATACATAAAAAGGGGTTTAAATACTAAATATATATGTTTATATTGCCACAAATAAATATAACAAAATGTTTCTTACTGATTTTCCCTCATTTTCGATCGCGTGATTACTATGACAAATTCAACATACATTATTACGAACTCTTCCAACAAACTGAGGTCATCTGTGAATATAAATAGCCCTCAGCCGATCTATTCCGGAATCGATTAAGCTTCTGGGTCAACGATTCGGCAATTTTCTGCAAAAGGGTATGTTGACCAGTTTCTTGATCATAAAGTGAGATTGAAGGGTGTTCGAGCGATCTCTGAGGTTTGAAAGATCACGTAAGGATTAAGTACGCAAAACAAAAGAAAGAAAACGTTCAACTCGAACCTTTGTTACCAATATAAAGGTGAGTTAAAAACTTTATTTTTACTCCTTCGGAAAAACATTCTGAAGAGAACTGATGGCATACAGGAAAATGACTCAGTGTTCCGCTAGGTCAATGCCTTCGCAAAACGAGTCTTACCACCCCATGTATGATCAGGCTAAACATTTTACGTATGAGTGCAGTGTCTTTCATTTCTGTTTTAACAGTAGACGGGTCTGATATCCTACACACATGCAGGTCTGGAAAAAGAGGGGCCTTAAAATACTAGACAATCTGTATAAATTGTTGGGAATTGTTATTTGAAGTGTATCAGTCAATGGTGACGATACGTTCGATCCGGCATAGCTTCCGTTTCGTATACTTCCTAACTTCAGATCACTGGCCCCGGTTGTTCAAACGTTGGATAGCGCTATCCACCGGATAAATCACTATCCAGCGGATAAATAATGGGGAAACTAATTGCACTATCCACTGGATAGAGATTTATCCGGTGAATAGAGCTATCCAGCCTTTGAACAACCGAGACCAGGGCAAGTGTATTTATTTACAACCACTAAAGGTAACAAACCCCAATTAAAAACAAAAACTTAAATATTTGAAGTGGTCTTAATCCGTCACAGAAAACGAATGGGATCCTCTTATTTATGAGGGAGGTTTCACAAGATGAGCTCAAATATATGACCTGCCGATTCGCTATCAGGACAACAGAACATTGAGTATAGTGGTACATAGCCAGGCATGTTGACACACAGTGATTAAAGGTAGAAACCTTCGACTGATACTTTGCCAACACTAGCCGTCGGCGAAAACTACAGTTCTGAAGAGGCCCTGTTAAGGGTTTTAGAGATAAGGAATAGCCGGATAAATAATTTAAGGGATAAGGGATAACTGACAAAATAATTTTGGGGATAAGGGATTAATGAAACGTTTTAGGGATAATGAAATTACATCCTACAGGACGCTACTTTTGCCTACAATGAGGAGCTCAGGGATGACCAGCTTAAACCACACGCTCTTCATTCTCAAGAAATGTTATTAAAAAATGATTATGAGGTCACGAATAGCCGACTTCTTGTTCATCAGTTTAGAAAAAGTTATGAGAAATGAAGTGATCAACATGTCACGAGCACGGGACAAAGAAAAAATTTGAACAAGTTGAGTTGGTTATAGTATAGCAGGCCGGATTATAAGGTGGGAATATCTACGCCGTCATGATCATGAAAAACTTGTTACCATGCAAAACCCACGGCGAGACAATGGCTGCATGGTGCTAGGTCCACATTGAAACAAAACTGAAAAAGAACGAACAAAAGAAAAAATGATTTAATTTGCTTCGGCTCGTACTTTCACCAAATGAACTCATCATGACTGTTTTTAAACATCGACAAACTCCTTCTGTTTTCGGAATAGGCCTATTCCCGGCGAGAGGTTCGTTAGTCCAATACTCTGCGAACAGTCAAAACATATCGCGTAAAAGTAATCTCTGCTCGTTGGGCCAAAGTTAAGTGGATCTCTTGAGAGCAATTTCCGCAACGTTTGCTGCTTTTATTCAGTGGCAGTGTTATTCAGTGGATATTCAGCGGCTGATGTATCGACGATTTTAGGAGCTATTTTTTGGCAATTTTGTGGCAATTTTTGAAATCTTCATGTAGCGATCGATTTCCGTAGGCTTCTATAATGAACACACTGGTTTACCCGTCTTGGCTCTGTCTTTGTTTGCTCTTACGCAAAGAGTCGTTATGTAATCACCGATGGTTTACAGCCGTAAAAAATCACCTCTGGAAACGGATTAACCGGGCCTTTACAATTCGCATCTGCCGTAACAAACGCAATGATTATTGCATCTTTACAGCTAGTTACATCGTCTTTATTCTCTACCATCAAACTAACTTTTAAAGATAAGGAATATCTGCTAAGAGTTACAGGGATATGGGATAACAAGACACCCGTAAGAGGGCCTCTCTGAAGTTCTTCCTGTTTGATTCGTAACATTCTGAGACAATATGTGTGCAAATATTCCCTTAGTACGAGATCTAACCATTGCCATGAGGAAAAAAATTGCAGCAATTACATATAATGGAGACCGCTGTTCCAGAGGTATCCATACACTATATATTGACTGCAATCCATAATTATACCAAGTTGGCACGCATAGTTAGTAGAAGTGCCCCCTCTATTAATGGTCCAGTTTGCAGTTATATAATTTCTTTTAATCGTGCTTTGGATTCCGAAAAGAAAAAGATAATTTTGAAATTTAGAAATCGCGGCGCCTCTTGACCTAATGTTTAAAAATAGCACAACTGTATTTTTTTTTTTTCATCTTGAAATATATGTACCACTGATTGAATCTTGCGCAGTGCTTTTTAGGGATACTTCATGTAGAACTTTTCGTTTGAAAAGGAGGAAAGTCTACCTTTAACGTTTGTTTTTTTTACAATGAGACCTCGCCTTAGCAAAACTCAGTGCAATAGCGGGCAGTATCATGAGAAATCACTACGGTCCACAGCATAGATAATTTGGAAAGATATGGTTATCTACCATTGTATCTGCTAAATAGACATCCTCTTCTAGTAAAGAAGAGTACATACTTTCCGGGAGAGGCTTAACCCAGGCGTAGCCCGGTGTGCATTCACTGACATCATGGTAAAAATCTACCTAAACTAAACTTATTATATCATTTTAGAGAGGGTTACACTCCAATAAACGATAAACCTGAGCCCTCTAAGAGTCCTCAACAAGAATAATAATAATAATAATAATAATAATAACTTTATTTCTATAGCGCTCTTATCCTATGTTCGAGGCGCTTTACAGTCATGTAAACAATGGGACCATTATGGCTCTTGTCCTCAGCTACAGATGGCATTGGATACACTTTGAATAGACCTCTTCAGCTTGTCGGTTTTGTTTTCCCAATAGAGGTTCCAAGGCCACTTGATCCGATTATGCGTTCGTGTGCACGTGAATAAGACGAAATTTGAAAGAAACATTTCTTTGGAGCATTAACATATGCCCTGAACTGGGAAAACAAAACATACAAGCTAAAGAGGTCTATTGCTGATCAAACTTATGGCGTTGACGCCAGGACTCGAAACCGGGCCACAACAATAGGAGCCAGGCAAGTGCTCACACAACTGGCCATCGCTGCTCTCTCTTAATTCCATTCTCCCCGCCCCCCGAGCTTATCTCTCTATTCTATATAACAACGGACGCGAAGGCCTCAAGGAAACCCTGCATTCCCGAACCAGAGCCGTTCTCTATTTCGCATGTCAAGTCAAAAGCGTGAGCTCTTGACATTCTTGGATAGAGATTGCGTAAAACACAGCTTGTTTCGCGCATGCCCGTTCATACCATGCCAGCAATGGTTTCTGTAGGCCGGAAGCTGCGCTATGAAGGGAGAGAAACCACTGCGAGCTACCGCCCGCTTCTTTGATTGAGCCGCTGCCCAGCGCCATGGACGAATAAATTAACTTTTAATATGTAAAATTTCTTTTAAGACAAGTTTAAAAGCTCTCGCGCATTTGCTTGCGCCTACAATTGCTGACTTAATGCGAGCCTGCTGTGAATTTGCGCTATTTCAATAATTCAGTATTTATTGGGATTATTCATTCCTACCTATTTACTTTGTGACTGTAGGTAAACCCAACTGGAGTTGAATTCCTGGGAATCATATCTAAGTTCAGGAAGAGAAATGAAATATTTACGTCATGAAGATGGATAAAACGCGAAATAAGGCATTTTCACGTCGTAGTCGGGCAAAAACGGCAAAGAAAAGTACAAGAAAGGGCGATGCATCCGTGCAAAGTTGTTGTTTTGCTTATTAAACCTATTGTTTTGTTGAATTAAGTCCCTAATGCTTCCTGCGAAACAAGAGGAAGTGCTGCCATTTGATGTTTTGACGTAGGCATCACGTGGACGCGCATGCTAGATGGAAAAAGCACTAGAAACGGTTGCTTGCGGTGATTTCTCTCCCTTCGAAGCCGCAGCGTCGAGCCTGGAGAAACCACTGCTCGCTGGGTAGCACGCACACGGTGTACACTCAACATGATAACTCTGACGTCCTTAAAAAACCAAAACAGAGCGAGTGTCTTTCAACAGCAATATTTCGTCGCAACTTGGGGAAGCAAGCGTAAAAGTCCAGTCTATTTGAGGCGTGTGACAATGGTGTATCTAACGCCCAAAAGAACAATTTAGCTGTTAGTTAACTCCCCGTGCGCCCAGGAAAGCCCTTATTTGCATTTTTTGTTTTTAAACTTAAATTGCCTTCTAGCATTTTCAGTTCAGTTCCATTTCAACGTTGTTTCTTCAAGAGCACTAAGTACTAGTTTCCTATCAGGAGTATCTCTTTGGCGGTCAGACGTTTTGCGCCCAAAAATATGTAAGTGCGTTGTCCATTCGTCTACTGTATTTTGTTTTTGCTGTATTTCTTTTGCGCTCGCAGCATTTCAGAAGTTTTATTTTCTCCTTGTATTTCAGTTTAAACCACAACATAACAAATACAACACATCGCAGTACATCGAAGGGAACCTAATCTCAGTCGAGTCTGTTGGGTCTATAGTCTACCATCTCGCCCATTGCTGTCTAACCTCGAGGACACAAATCCTATTAAAGCTGTGCGTCTATTGTTAAAAGTCGCCTTGTGACAGCTATAGACAAGTTAGAATATAGCTGTTTATGTAAAGAGAAAATAGTCCGTAAACGTGGATTGCTTAAATTATAGCCAATGAACATTTAAATATAACATTTTGATCATTTTGGATCAATGGATTAAATCCGGGTAATCCGACAATCGATATCAATCGATAACTCCTGACTAATGTCGTTTTCCTGACATTCAAAATCAATGAGGACGAACCGAGTCCCTTCCACTTCCTTTAGTACCGATACAAAGTGAATAACCGAGAGGGTCATTACAAAAAAGAATTGGATGAACAATACATACCTTGGTTCAAACATGCTTTATTTTTCTGTTCTAATCTAAACCAGCTATCAATCGATCTCAGACCAAAAAAAGGAAAGTAAAAATCAAACCAACAGTAAAATTAAACCACAGCACATGACAACCGAAAGTCAATCAGCAAATGTCTTTACCAGCCGCCTCAGAGTCTGTTATTTGGCCAACATCCACTATGCTGTTTGCATGTAGCAGCTATTTGTGGCATACGCCGAAAAGTCACGTGTCTAAACTATGTTTATAACTGTGGGGTGCTGTATTGCTATTGCATTTCAGTCACTGGTTACTTCCCAGAAACGTGACCAATAATAATAGCAACCAGGATCACCATTAACAACGTTGCACGTAACTAAAGTGAGTGTCTTGGCAATCAAACATCAATTTAAGAATTTTTTTTAGTTACGTGTGTCTTATCTTTTTTTGTTTCAGTGCGGTTTACCTCTATTATATCATGAGGCGAAAACGAGCATCCACGAATCATCACCAGGGACATCAAACGAACATTATTAATGTGCATGCTGTGGTCTTAGGACTGGATGGTGTGGGCAAGTCAGGTGGGTTGATCTATACATTAGCGCTTTGAAATGGTCCACTGTTACCACTGCTGGGTTTTCAAAAGATAAATTTGGTCACTGCTCTTGCGCGCAACACAAAACGCAGTACACGCATGTTGGAAAAAAAGACACCTTCAAGTTGATTCGATTTCCTTAGAGAGAGAAAAATTGGGGAAGATTGATCGTAAAGTCGCAATTAATCATCCCGCCTTAATAAACTACGAACTGAACAATGATCTTCTTTGTGACTCAAAAGCAATCCTACATCTTGACCTAAATACAGACTCAAAGCAAATCATCCAAACGTAACGTAAAGATACTTTTGCAACCGAAGACGTTTGCACAGCCTGACAGGGAACATGCAGTTTACAATCGAACAAAAATAAGGAATATTTCTACGATAGATATCCATTTGTCCTTGTTGTGTTTGACTTTAATTTACTTTTGGTTTTTCCTGCAATGTTGAGGATTGAATCAAAAAAGAAAACAGTTCAAAAAAATCTTAATTAGCTCCTTCTGGAAGGCGGATTGCATTTTTAAAAACAAGGTTCCATTAGTTATGTTCAAATTAAGAGATTTTTTTTATTACTATAGGAAACTGCCTCACCAGAGATAGACTATTCTTAACCACGAGAGTTCTAGTCTGACTTTTCAACCAAATATCGTATCGTTAAAGACAAAGTTTGAAATATACTAGCTTGGCGACTCCACCTCAGTGCCAAAACTGACCGTGATCAATAAAGTAAAATAAGCAATCAGTGGAATGCGCCAGACATAAAATAGGACTGAAAAACAAATAAGTCGTTTGTCATCATGTTAAACGTATCGTGTAAATTAATATGTAGTGCATAGAATAGCATCTGCTGTGCTAAAGACTAATAAGCTGAATTTATTCCAAAACGGAAGCCACACTGGGTATCTATACAGTTAAAATGGCACGGCGCACATTGAGGACCAACCAACTGTCGGCTGCGCTGAAAAGGATGTCGAAAGGAAACACAGTCGCCAGATATACTTCCTGATATTTTAGGTAGTTATCAGTGCGGCATCTTGTCGCGAACTAGAAATCAATCCACCACAAAAGCCACTCGTAACTTCACATGCTGATTTTTTTTTCTGATAAGACAGAGCTGGACAACCATAAAAGTTAGTCTTTCTTTTAAAGTACCGAGTACACAGACGTTTTGACTTTCTTGTGCAATAAAATGTAACACTGTAGCTTGAGGTTGCATTTTTTACTTAAAACTTGCGGAAAATCAGTAAAAGAAAGTTATAAGTCTCAGACTAGACAGTCCACTAAGAACTAGCCCCTTGAAATCACTTATCAATTAACAACTTTCATCTTAGGATATGACTGTGTCCACTTGAAAAGATACAATATTGGCCATCACAAAGCGCATAAAAACTTTCATTTATCAGAACGCCCTACAGATGAAAACCCTATTTGGGCGCGAACTTTGAGAACTTTTTTTTAGCTCGTTGTGCATGATCTAGCAATAACTAGCTAAATATAAGATTGTAACGAACAAACAAGCAAAACATGTAAACAACATGAAAATTAATGGAAAGGATCTAACTAAAGAATTCAGGGAAAGATAGCTGCAAAAATGCATCAATACACTTCAAAATAGTATCAATTACTTTTTATCACTACAAGTATCTCTTTCTTGGCTTCTGATATCATTCCGACTTACTCGGTGACTTGAATCTAGGAAATACGTAACCAGAATTTTAACCTGAGGTTAGTGTGGTTCTCTATCTACCTATATGGGTATTTCCGATACCGAAATTCGTAGTCAAAAAGGAAAATACAGCTTAAGGTACCCTGCTGAGGGGCACGCAATGGTTTAGATTAGACAGGTACAGTGATTAGTCTAGACCTATCGGTAGCAACACCGCTAGTGGTAAAAAAAAATCTGTGCTTCAATTCCCTGAATGACTATTTGCAAACTAATAATAACATCAAACAACGACGTTTCCAATATGAATTTTTAAATAAGGCCTAATTGTTTTTTAAAGCTTAGTTCTAAATATTTCCAACATCTGAATCATTCAATTTACCCTGGCTCTATATAGATATAGTTTCACACTGCGCCATCTGTGATTGTTAAAAGATATCTTTTTTAAGCATCATAGCTACACTATCTAGAATTCTTGTTTGAAGAGCTCTCTAACGGTTAGCAGCCAAGCACTTAGAAGACTTGAATTGTGTCGGGTTTGTAAAACGTGTTACCAAAAGTCCTCCATACCTGTAGATATCTCTTCAAACGGTTCGTCGTGTTTTGTGTTGTATGCAAAACATGTGATTTACCTTACTTAAAACACACATTAAAAACATCCAAAAACATTCAAGTTCAAAAACGTGATCGATGAAAGTAATAGTCATCCTGCATCACGTACTCGAGAGTTATCATTATTTGGAACATTTGAGCATTATAGTACGAGATGATCATGAGTTACTAGTAACAGCATTGTCCTATATGCGTCTTTTGTTCAAGTGCATCCGCGCGTTGAGATTGGTTAGAACGAGCTTACTACGAAGTCAAGTGAGTTCTAGAATGACACTGGGCTATGTATAGTCGAAACTCCTTAAAAAGGAAACCAAGGGGACAAGCTCAAGCCAAGTGTCCTCATTACAGAGGTTTCCTTATTACAGTGGTAGGGGTTGTATGAGGTTTGGTGTCTTTAGAACCAAGAGAAAAGTCCGTAATAGACAGGTGTATCCTCAGAGGTATGGATTATATGAAGTTTGCCGGTATCTTTAGGACCAAGTTGAGATCTCTCAGTGATAGGGAGGGGTCCTAATTATGGAGATCTCCATAAGGAGGGTTTCCACTGCAATAGGTTCTTGTGGCTTGCCCCCCTCTAGGGAAGTTGTAGTCAGTATTTTGTTGTCCGTGTAAGGACATAAGCCTCAAAATATTAAAGAACGTAATCACCTATAAGAGAACATTATGTATTGCCTCTCACTTCGCAAACGAGATTTATCGGCTGTGTCAGCCATTTGGTCTTCAAATGAGTTCCAGTCAAATTACGTTCGTTATAGTCCTGGTATATTAATCCATCCTTGAATTCATGTCATGCTAGAATTTCTTCGAGTAACCCCTTAAGTAAAATAGTCTCTACACTTTAAGAAGAGCGGGTTAATAACGTGTTTGAAGCGCCTCGTGGTCTGGCTATTTCCCTACTAAGCAAGCGATCATGGTTCAAGTCCCGTCCTTCTTTCTTCAAGACTTTCTTTATTACTGCAATATTCTACCAAAACGAAGCAGTACCACTTATATAGTCATAAGACAGTCTTGTTTTGAACAAACATTTTTGGCCATTCGTTGGAAACGTTGGGTGCGATTTTAAAATTGGGCGGCGAAGCCTTTACAGCAAATCACGGGATTAATGAAAGACTGTTACTATTTGTAAAAGGGACCTCTGGAGCTAGCTCATACTTAAGAGAGATCTTTTTCCGTTGTAGCTCTAACTGTGAGATTTCTAACAAGACGTTTCATTTGGGAATATGACAAAAATCTAGGTAAGTGGCTTTTACTCTGTCAGGGGGGACAACGTTTGACCAAGAGCCATACCAAGAGCCATTATGGCTCTTGGTTTGACCTGTACCTCTGTTAGTGTGTTGAACATCAGTTAGTCGGCAGGAGATTTTAACAATTCTTGGATGAGCTAACCTTCGCGGCAACAAACGCGGTTATGGAATGGTAAAGAAAGTTACTGGACCCATAAATATTCCTCCTTTTTGGAGAGTGCGGCTTCGAAAGACCCTTTAATATTCAAATAATAGTTTTCCTCCAGAAGGCGAATGGATGGTATGCATCATGATATGTTTTTCACATGCTTTCGATCACCTTCGTTTTGCTCAAATCAAGTTGTTCTTTACAGAAATGACGTATCGACATCACATGACCCTAGATGGGCAGTACGTGGCCCTTGATATAATGGATACCGCGGGAGAGGTATGTTGACCATGTTTTACCTGTGAGCAACACCGTTCCATTTCTGTTTGAGCGGATAACTTGCCCTTGGTTATTTCTAGCCAAGCACCTTTCCCATACATTCGATATCTACTCGATCAATCTAATTTTCAGTCAATTCATACAGTCAACTACTATGGCTGAATGTGATGTTCTTTTTCATTCCTTCCTATAGAACACAGAGGAAAAGTTGGTGAAACTGGCCTCCTTCGGAGAACTGTTCTTCATCCTGTACTCAATAACTGATCGCATTTCATTCATGGAAGCAAGGCGTTTGGGACGTTACTTTAAAAAGGTGAAAAACAATAACAGCACCCTCATTCTGGTAGCAACGAAGACAGACCAAGAACGCCACAGGAAAATCCGGGAGACTGAAGGACTCGGGCTTGCAAAGGAACTGGGGTCTGTATTCTGCGAGATATCTATTTCCGAAGGTTTCACCGAAACGAATTCCCTGTTGTTCGACTCTTTACGACAGTGTTTAAACAAGAGAGGCGTTGACTTGGACAACAAAGTGGAGCAGGAAAATGGCGATAAGGACAAATCAGGACCTTTGTCGAGAATGAAAGAAGGCTTTAAAGGAATGTACGCAAGAAGAAAGTCGTGTACTGTACTAGCTGTCTAGTTGGAACCATTTAAAGTATATTCAAAAAACTACCACAAAAAAACTGTAAATACAAAAACATGTGTCAAGTGAATATTAGAATCAACTCGGTAGCCAAACGTGCTTAGATATTCCGTATTTTTAGTGAGAAGTTCAAATCGGACATGCTAATGACTTTGCTTGTAGAGGTAGGCAAAAAACATTCAGCGGTTAATTCCAGCAGCGCACATCCCCCTGGACAAGGACCCGGGCATTAGCTATCTTTTAGCCTGTTCCAGGCGTTCAGATAGTAGAGCGCGGAGGTCAGATGCGGGGGAGCGAGTTAAATTGCACACCGGGAAAAGGGGTGGGGGGGGGGACGAAATTCTTCCTAAATTTTTCTCCCGCGCTCTACTATCTAAACGCCTGGAACTGGCTAGCTTTCTCTTTACTTGGATAGCATAATTTCCCCATGGTGGATACACTACAACAGCCAAATCAAACGAGGGTAGATAGCACTACGCCCCAAACAAATCCTCGTTAACACTGTAGTAGTTTTCGCTGTATTTAGAGTGATGAGTCGCGTTGTGGCTTGATAAGCAAAAGAAGAAATGCAGCAAGTCACGGTCTAGACAAAATACAACTCAAAATCTTAACAAGTTTTTCCCCTCCCTGACAGACATGACACTTCTGGGACGAACTGCTAGGACTTTCCCATGAAATCCTGCATCATGTTTGGATTTCGAGTCGGAAACCAAGAGCTACTCTGTGGAATGGGGGAAGTCCTGGGTAGCAAATGCCAGTCCCCTCCCCCCACCCAGGACTGAAGATATGCGCAAATGCACCACAGTTGTCAGGGAAGATGTTGACTGATGCAGAACACTGATTGCTGACCTGGATCCAAGTTTCAAAATCTATTTGCTTTTCAAATCATTACACTACAAAATTGTCAATACATTAGCTCTGAAGGATCTCATTTTTCGGGGTATAATGTTAAAATCCTTATTCTCGTAGATGTATTTGGTTTTTCTTACAACTAACCTCTTTGACACATTAGTTGCTGATAAAAAAGATAGCTACCTGTTTATACATGTGTTTAGAACCAAGCGAGTTATATATCTTGCACAAATTAAACAAAATGGCCGTGTCGACGCCAAAAATACCTTGGGTGCCAATGTTTTTATTTTTTTAAAATTATTATTATTATCGACTTTGTTTCTCAGATAGTTTGTGGCAACGCCGCGGGAGCGAGGTGCCAAGCTCGGAGCTTTACATCAAACCGTGAGCAGGGTTTATTTTATCCGGGGTATTTTGAGAACGAAGCTCTGGTGCTAGGATCACGCAAAAGATGTTTGAAACGATAAAAAATCCATACAAGACTCAAAAAAGCTGGAACCGAAAAGAGGTGACCAGATCGAGGTACACCCTTTTGCCCTCATTTTTAAATGAGTTAAAACAAACTTTGATCAATGAAACGTTTGCTTCCTGAGATATCACCAGGATATGGTGGTGTAAGGTGACATGTCACGCACTGACATTTACGCGTGTGAGTGTTGCGTGAGTCTTTGCAACACTTTTGATTTAACGTTTTCCGAAAACAGCCTGCGAGTGAAGTGTGTAGGAGTATGCTAGAGTTAGTCACCTTGATATAAAAAGGACAGGTTTCATAGGATTTAGTTACGAACGTTGACAAATCACGCACAGCACGTGTGTGATAAAACCTATCTGAGTGACCCAGTTCAAAATATTCACTTCGGTTGACGTTTGCCGTGAAACAACGGCTTTTTCGCAGTCAGCTCTTGACTAGGACTGTAGTTTTTCAACAACATATTTGCTCTTTATGGGCAAAAGCTGGTAAATTACTCACAATCGAAACCTGCTGCATATGCCAAAAAACTTAGGGAATCAAAGCGCGGGAGAGTACTCCCTTATTCGGCCTATACGGGTATATGATTCTGGACAGGATATAGTTTTGTCCTCTGTCCTAAACAGGGTCCTGTATAATTTTCCGCGAGTTTGTCCCAAACAGGGTATATAATTTTGTGCCAGTCTGTCCTATAATAACAGAGTATTGCCGGCACGACTGAGTTGATTTGTGTGATGAAGTTTGTTTTTTAATTGTTCTCCAAGGCTTCAAAAGCAATGACTATGACGTGAATTACCTCAATTGCAATTTTAGACGGCGTTCATTTTGCTGTTTTTCTTGGACAGGGTAAGAAGATTGACGGTGATGTCCAAAACAGGGTATGTATTTTAGGAATTTCCAGTGTCCTAAACAGGGAATCAAAGTCATGTCACCTCAGCAGCGAACTTGCGCCGCCTGCAGGTTTCACTCACCACTCACTTACATTTAACTCAATGTTTTTTGGTATTTTGGTAAGTTCCTTATTATTTTGATCAACAAAAAGCATCAGAACTTAAACTTAAAGTAAACTTACCGACTAAATTACTGCTCAAATGATAATAATCCTGCTACGAATTTTTACTATCCACTATTTCCTACCACTGCACAGCCTCGCAACCACGCAAAATCACGCAATCTTCGGCGACGGACAAACGTCAAACATAAACTCCGGTAACTCGAACTCTAAAAAACAGTTCGAGTTAGCGAGGGTTCGAGTTATCGGGGTCGATTGCAAATTCAATTTGCAGTGTAAAAAATTGATAGTTCCGATTTTTCAGCACTTCAGTGTATAGTGCTACTGCAGTGCAAGTTTGTTTCATCAGAAACAGTAAGATGATTAGGAATCAGTTTTGTGACAGTTTGGGAGAAAATCCATCCAAATTCTGAGTGGATATTTCAGATCAAATCCTTATTTTTGGGACTCACCACGGTATTTTTGTCTGGTTTTTTTTACTGCAAATTAAAATTTAAACAACAGTTAGCGTACATAACCCTTTTAATCTTTTAAATAGAGAGCGCCATTTTGTTATCAAGAATTACAAGAAGAACCTGGAGGACGCGACGTAGTCAGAGCAAATAATCCTTTTTCGGATCTTCCTTTTTACTGTTGGAGAAAAATCCAAGCGATCTATATTTTTCATACAATAGCGATAAAGCCAAATTTTACCTTGCAATGTGTTTCAGTTTTAAGAATTAAGCAAATGACACGTAACAAAAATTCTTAATTGTTGTTCGCATCCAGAAAACAGCAATTGTTCTTATTTGATGGCGTTAATAATTGTTATCCGCTAATTAATTGATCATGAAATTAAAAATGATCGAAGGGTGACGAAGGTTGAAAATAATACGATATGACAGCCAAGGAATGATGATTGATGAAGTTGACAAAATAACACCAAGTTTTCTTTATTACACGATCAGTCCTTTCTTTATTTTTTCGCAGTGGAAAACGTCTTGTTAGGGAAATGACTAGGACCAAGAAGTATTTATTTCAGCCTTGTACTCCAAGGATCGCATGCAGTTCAGTGTTACAGTAGTTTTGCCTTGGGTACTGGGCAAGCCAGTTGATCAAGAAAGCCGGATCTTCTAGATGTTCCAGTCGGTTATTTCATTACTTCATAACAATAAACCACCGTCCAACCAAACCCCCTGAGATCAAGACGCCTTTCATAACAATAACTGGGCAGCTGTCGGGTCTGTAAACATAATCAAGGAATTTCACACACTTTTAAGAAAGCGGTTGTTTTTCTTATACATAAGAGATAACGTTTTGAGGTAAACTACTGGTTGTTTGTTCTACGATGGGAAGACGACGTGGTGGAGCTGGGAATGTTCACCTCAGCACGCTGAAGAACGTTCGTGCAGTTATCCTTGGAAAAGACGGCGTTGGAAAGTCAGGTAGGAATCGTGAATGCTGCGGCGTGTATCGGCAGTCACTGAAGAAAAATTAATGTAACTCAAAGTTCGGATAGCGCTATTAAAGCCGCATACCGGCAGTTACTAATCTGAACAATACAAGTTTTTTTATTGAACAAGATCATTAATTCGTAAGATTTCCCTCACGCTGGACCATAAATGACTTTATGGTTGGTTTACACAAGAGTAACTGCAGGGTGAAAAACGTAAACTAGTGTGAGAGCTTTATTCCTCCTTTGCCACATTTTTGAACCAAAGGTACGTGTCTGAATTTAGAAAGCTGTTTCATTAAATTATTTGTCTTTATGTCATTATGTCGGTGTTACGATTCATGATCATGAACCTAGGAACTGAAATCTGGCCTTATTCCAGGTTTAGTTACATTTTATTGGTTCCCTGTTGGTCACAAATTCCTGCTGGTGCAGTTTAAGACATTTTGTTCCCAGCTCCTTTTTAAATTGGTTATGTTTATTATATCCCAACGAAAAATTGTGCACCATAAGTATATTGATTATAGGTTAGTCACAGGCCCTCATACATAACCGCAAACCGAGATGTAAATTTGTCAACTCTAAATTCTGCATATAACATCACTCTCTACAGGTTTCCATACTCTGCTTTATTTTTGTTTTTTCTTTCACGCTGCCACCTGAGGAAAGTTTCTTAAAAAATGTAATTACTTCGTAAACACCATCGTTAAATTTGTAGCTTTTGTTTTTCTTTCCTCTTCCCTTTTGGTTTCACAACAATTCAGACACCAAAGTAATTCAGTCAGTTTGAAGTTCTAAAGGCACCGCCGCCGTCACGTTTCTTTCTTGCTTCTTTAGAGAATTATTCAGTGTTTATAATTTTGACTCAGTGAGCAACCACAAATCATCGATAATCTCTCTTAACTCAGATTTCAATAAATCAAATCTATTGAACCATTTTACGCTCCCCTAGAGAGTTTGTACTGAAAATGGACAGTCGTTTCGACATCGCTGCATTTTTAACTGCATCATAAAAAGTCAACAATTCAACTTTTTCTGCTATTTTAGAGCCTGTTTTTAGTTTTTGCGCAAAAAAAGCTTTAAATATGATTTACAAATAAATGTGTTCTCTATTGTTGTTTTAATCAATTATGACACCTCTGCGATAAGCTGCACTGATAACTGAAGTGTTCAATGTATTAATTGAAGTAATTTACCCCCTACAGCTCTGACTGTTCGATTTTTGACCAGACGTTACATTGGAGAGTATGATAGCACATTAGGTAAGCTTTATAAATAATTATCTTTCAAGCGTTCTGGTAGCCTGCGAAATCAGCCGTCTCGTCTCCTCGCTCCTGACCGCTAGGGACGTTTGCCACCCCGCGAAAAGTCCCCAGAAGCGAGGAGCGAAGAGAAACGGCTGTTTTCGCAGGCTACGGCGTTCCAGGTTTCACATTGAGTAACTTTGAAAATTATATTTGAAAAGTTGGATACTAGTTTCCTCCTGGCTTCGGTAATGCCATCGTTCTTTGCAATCTGATTGGATTCATTTTATTTCCTATCGTTGCTCTTCTCTCGGAAGAAGGAGTATTATTTTTTCGTGAACATCGCTTGTGGTTGCATTTCCAGTGACGAATAGTAGCTGGGGGTTTCACTGAATCCTATTGAAGGCTTAGCTGCGGAAACAAGCGGTGAAATTGCAAGAAGTGGAAGTGACAGTGAAATGGGAAGGGTGGTTCCCCTTTTCCTCCATTTCTCTCACTGCATGCTCACTGCATGATTAAGATTTTGACCAACTGGTCTCTCAGGGTTAGCCTACAAGCAAGTAGTCTCGGGCGTCGGGTCTCGGACAGATGCGATTCCGACCTGATTTCATAACACCAATTTTTCATGTGACAACAACACTATGGTGAAATTCGAGATTTGGTTTCGAGTCTCCTTTTTACAACTTTATGCTAAGGAGACCTGGCGGTTCGACGACTTTCTCCTTTTTCAGGAGCCCATTATCCCTGCAAGAGAGAATCTCCTGCCTTTGACTGAAGCTGTTGTTCTGTTCTCCAACAGAATGTTGATTAACTCAAAACTTATGATTTTTCACACTGATCCAACAGAAGCAACTTACCGACATTACCTGATTATTGATGGTCAGTCCATATCCTTGGACGTCATGGATACTGCTGGAAAGGTGGGTTCTAAGTTTAAAAACTCCAATTTTTGTCTCGCTTTTCTGTTTATACTGAATGTGTTGTTGTCGCTTTGCTTAAAAAGACTTTGCAGAAAAAGCATGTCATCCCTAGCTTTTACAATCCTGAAATAAGGAGTGGCCGCTTCAAAGGAAAAAGTAGAACAAGAGTGTTATAACTTTTATATTTCAGTTAACCCTCGGACGTACAAGGGGGGGGGGGTGGATATCACCCCCCACCCTCCCCTTAAGGTTTTACTGAGTTTTTTCCTAGAGGATAAAACATCAGCACCTGACGTTTTCAGTAGCTGTTCGTTCATCCCTCCCGCAAAGTTTGAGACAAGTTCAGTGATGGTCAGTTGCTATGGTTACGAGATATGAGATCATAAGTAGCACGTGGCCAAGCCATTTTTGAGCATATAACAAAAGTAAATCTTGTGGCTAAATATCATGCAAAGTGCGTATGTGTTATTTTTCTTGTAAAGCTCAAAAAATTACCATTTCTCGCGGTTTTAGCCTGATTTCTAATTCTCGGTAAAATCCAAGATGGCAGGCAAGATGGCGACAATTGTGAAGTATATATGAAATAATTCATTTTTGAACTGCGGTTGTAGATGAAAGTGAAGAATGATCATCGCAGTAAATTTTCCAATTTAAGCAATTGGAAAGAAGAAGCCTGAAAAAAAAAATCAGGGCTTCAACGGGATTCGAACCCGTGACCTCCGCGTTACCGGTGCGTTGCTCTACCAACTGAGCTATGAAGCCACACGTTGGGAGCGAGGTCAATTTTTTGAACTGCGGTTGTAGATGAAAGTGAAGAATGATCATCGCAGTAAATTTTCCAATTTAAGCAATTGGAAGGAAGAAGTGTGAAAAAAAAATCATGGCTTCAACGGGATTCGAACCCGTGACCTCCGCGTTACCGGTGCGTTGCTCTACCAACTGAGCTATGAAGCTACACGTTGGGAGCGAGGTCAATTTATTGAGTTCATATCTCCCGTGAGGAGTGAAATGATGTGAAGTATATATGAAATAATTCATTTTTGAACTGCGGTTGTAGATGAAAGTGAAAAAAATCAGGGCTTGATGTGAAGTATATATGAAATAATTATTGTTGGTGACGTCACAGGCCTCCAGGAGGACCACTACCCATAAAATATACCTCATTTTTTTTAAGAAGATCATAGGCTTTCCACTAAAGGTAAAATCGTTTCGAAATACTGCAACATATCAAAAACTCCGGGGATGGCTTCCATCCACCTCCACCCCCTTCCCGCCCCATGTAGCACGGTGGGGGTATGAATTTGCGTGTAAGTCCGATGGTTAAGACCGGAGGTCAATTATCCGAGTTTTAAAACCCTCACTTTCAGATGGGCTTGTAGCAGTGCAGCCCTGTTATGTCAAACGTTAGATATTTCATAAACGTTTTTTTTATATTAGGAGGGTCTCGCTTCTTGATAGGCTTTGATGTATCTCCATCATTTCATAGATTTGATTCTCTTCGAAACGGTCAAAAACCTACAATCCTAAAACACGTTTTTCAACAGTGAATATTAGTCCACACTGTTCTCTGCAGAGCTTTTCCACTCCTCCCATTCACTTTGAATTTCCAGTTTATAATCGTACAGTTATTCAAGTTTTTTGTCAACCAAAATCAAGAAATATCAACCGTTTGCCATAAGAAAGGCAAAGTATCTTCTGTTAGCCGTTAAATCCTACCACCCCATTAAAGATTAGATAGCCTGTTCTCTCAGATACTAGGGATGACGCGTAATTGAAACTGCACGCGAAAAACGGTGAGCGAGCTTCCTCAATTTCGCTGACCCGACTATCTCGAAGCCTGGAACAGGCTACATCGAGACTCTCTTCGAAGACTTCACATTTAGCCTCGTTTTTGAAAAACATAAAGACTAGAGGCAACTCGGTACCCTAACGTTAAGGCTTATGACATAGTCTTGCCGTTTTTGTGCTTTTTCCCTAACTTGTTCCTTCCTACATTTTTTGTTTTAATAGAATTCAATGGAGAAAATGCAATCGTGCATTGCTTTTGCGGAACTCTTCTTTGTGTTGTACTCAACGACAGATCGCACCTCGTTTGAGGAAGCATCCCTTTTAACACGCTATATTTTACGTTTCAAATCCCTGAACTCTATGGCTACAGTCATTATCGTAGGGACAAAAAGCGACCTCACACATTTGAGAGAAGTTGAAGAGCAAGAGGGAAAGCTCTTGGCAAAAAAATTGAACTGTGAATTTTATCAAATATCTAACTCTGAGGGATATGTTGAGACGCAAGAGCTACTCTTGGCTGCTTTGAGGCGGTGCCTTGATAAGAATAAAGGGTCCCCGTTGTCAAGGGTCAAGGATGGCCTCGTGGAAACAGCCAAGTCATTCCGGAAGAAATCTAGTGGAAATGAGCAACCATCTGAACGAGATACATTAAAATCAACGCGGACGAAATCTGTTGACCATGAAGTTTCAGATGGAGGTGAGACGCCAGAACCATTGAGAACCAAAACGTTTAGTTTTAGTGAAGAAAGAGAAAAGATAGCTGAACCTTTGAGGAAAATATCATCCAGTCATGAGGATCTATCTGAGGAAAGAAGGAAATACAGAAATTCAGTGACATCAACGGCAAGTTTTTAAAACGCAGAGAAATGAACCAGAAACTAGCTGACCGCCCCAATAAAGTAGTTGTATATTTTTTTGGAATTAACTGTCACAAATATAAAAGGGGATGTGTCAAGCTGAACTTGATCAACATTCTAACAGTAGGAAATGCCACCAAATTAAGTGAAACATAAAAATAATCGCTTAAAACATTAAAAGAAGGCATTAATAACACCGAAAATTAAAAAATTGAAATAGGTTAAAAGAGATTGAAATTGTGCGTTTTTGAAAATTAACTTGCTAGCCTAACAGACTTTGAAAGTTAATTTTTCAGTGTTGGGAAGGATATTTGTTGGAGAAGAAGCCGGGCTGTGATTTTGTTGTTTACAAATAATTTCTTCGTTAACGTTCAGTTCCATAGCGCGTAACGGATAATAATTGGCGATATTAACGAAATGAACTGAACAGCTTGACAAAACAGCCGACATTTCGCGAGGTCACCACTGGTCTCGCCGCAAAATGACGTCTGAGGAACGAATTCAAAATTCCCTGCTGAAGGCGCGTCACTACCCACATTTGGGTTGTGTCTCATACTGATTGGATTAAGCAAATTTTCAACCAATCAGTGACACGAATTTCTGTGCTTGTTCCTCAGATGTCATTTCGCAAGGAAACCATTGGTGGCATCGCGAAATGTCAGCTGTTTTCTAAGGCTATTGTCACGTGACAAAGCCCCTTTAAGTCTCTGGTCGTACGGGTGTGTTATAGGGTGGACGTTTCGTGCTCTTTTTAGCAAAAAAAATGACTTGACAACAAGCGTGGTTGGACAACAAGAGGCGTTTATAATTAGGAAGACCTATCGGTCAGCTACAGCTGATAATTCAAGCAACAACAACAAAGAAACCCGCACACTACCAACACAAAAATTCTGCCAGTACCTTATGTTTAATGTTTAAATTCAAATGTGTTCTAAATAATTTACAATTCATTTTTTTCAGTTGTTTGTTATGGTTGGAAAGCACATATAACACGCCAACACTGTAGAGTAAAAAACGTCTATGATGACTACCTTTATTCTCTCCTATATACAGCATAGAACATAATTTTTTTCTCAAGGGAAATTTCCTCGTTTGGTCGAAGACTCTGCACACCCAGGAATATGCGTTTATACATCAGTAGCAAGCCGTAAAAAGGCAGTTGTAAGCACAGCTTATATACATGTGACATAAATAAATTTGTTCAGGATATTGAATAGACCATTAAATTTCTAGTATCTACATGTTCAGAAACAGTTTGGTCTTAGAATGTCATGCCTCGACTTCTGTACAATGACTTTGTCCGCAAAAGGAGGCCATCTCTTAGTTTCTTCAGTCCCACTACTCTTCTGTTCCTCTCCGGGTCAAAGAACCTTGACTTTAAATGAGATTTTATTGAATAACTAAAAAGCCTCTCGATGCCTTCGTAGCTATCCGCGCTGGAAGTCTCAAAGTAAGTTCCTCCGAGTTTATTTGCAACCACGTGACCCTCATCTTCGGAAACCGCTCGGTAATCACGTAAGTCTAGTTTTGTTCCGACTACCACGATGCTGTATTCTCCGTGGGTTTTTGTTTCTCTGATAAACCGTCCAAGACTTTCGATCTCCTCGAAAGATGATCTATCGGTGATGGAAAAAAGCAGGAGAAAAAGGTTTCCGAAAGAGGAACACTGAGCTAGTTTTTCCTCTGTGTTCTGTCAAAAGAAATGATAAGAATTCGAATTTAGTTGGATAATTTTATACCATATACCCTTTCACCAGAAGTTCGTTCTTAACTTACTTGGGATGAAAGAAACGGAGCTCACGGTTTTCTCGGCGCCTCGCGCCTCTCTGTCCGCGCTGCTCGCTGCTCACGCTCGCGGCTTATCGCGAACCATCAGGAAATAATTGTAAGAAAGAAACCTCTGACACTTAGGATAAATCCCCAACATTAATGCCATACGGATCTTTGAGACCCAGTCAAAGCATTTGGCTTTCTTAAAAGAAATGTGGGGACAAAGAAAATTATTTCAAAGAAAATGACTTTTATTCATTTCGGGAAAGGTTAGAAAGTTATATAGTGATTTGGATCCTAATAGACAATATACTGATCGATTGGAATATGCTAGGGATTTGTGGGCTAGACATCAATATAGTTTTACAAAGAAATGCTTATACTGTTTGGCCGCGCGCCAGACTAAGGCCCATTGTTCAAAGGCCGATTAGTGTTAACCCCGGGTTAAATTATAATCCAGGTTTCTTTTTCTTTTGTTCAAAAGCTCTTTCTCAGTTAATTTTCTCTTTTCTTTTGAGAGTATCAAAAAATGACAATAATCAAATTGTAGACAAGAAGAATTTAACGGAATTTGCTTTTTAAGCTTTCTTCAGCAGTCTAAATGAAATCTCCCCCTAACTCTGGGTTATCTTAACCTAGCTTTTGAAACCCGGCCCAGTCAACTGAAAACTATTCCGAGGGCCGGGGGGAAGGAAAATTTAAAAGAACTGAAGCCCGCATGGAAAAATAAATTGTCTTTTAGAGTCCACCTTGATAGTTTCTTGATTTCGTTACCTTGCCAGCAGTGTCCATGATATCGACTAAAATGTGTTCTCCTTCCAGTTCAAAAAAATGTCTGTATATCGATTCTGAAAAGAAACGTTTTGGAACGTATGAGAACGCTACTTAGACACGCTATAAGTATTAATTCTACCCTATGTCCACCAGCCTCTATAAAGGAATTAAAGAACAAGAATTAAGTACCGAAAGAGCTATTAACCGTAGCATTGCCGGGTAAAACAATAGGAGTATGTATGTCCTGGAATAACCGGTGTAGCAGGCTTCACAACAGAAGTTAAGTGACAAAAAGAAAAAAAAAATCAACAAAGCTTTTTTTTTTCATCTTCCCAGTCTCCTAGTGGAACAAAATTACCGTAGAAGAGAGCGCTCAAACGTTAGAGATGATTATACAAGGGAGATTTTTTAACTTAACCAGCTAGGGCTACGATCGCCCTAGAATAGTATTCGTGTAGTTTCAATTCATTTCGAGTTGAATTTTCCCACCGACACATGATTCATTTCAGGACAGCTAGTGGAAAAACCTTTTTTGGAAGAGGAAGTGCTTGAAAGATTCCTAGCTCTCGATTACCACTTTAGAGGCGAGGCGAGGTGAATTGTACTCCCCGGACGATTTTACGGCGCCCTTTCACAATTGAGCATTGCTTTTGTATAGCATATGTGGCAAATGAACCAAGTCTAGTAAGCGGAGTATACCGATTGAGTTAAGGCAGTTCGAATCAAGAATAACCTTTATGTATGTCCACGTAAGACGAGAAAACTTCGTCAACTCTGTTTCGTTTTGAAAATGTAAATTAGCGAAGTGTTGCATAAATGAATTTTCCGAATGCCCGGCAGAAGAGTTGAAAGAAGTCTCATGCACAAAAACTGCAGATGTGAAGAATTTCCCCCGCAAGCGAGGCTTGGTGATGAATTCGTTCATCTGACGTACATGTAATCTTGCATACTTAAGGGCAAGAGAACGTGTTCTCCTGATAAGGGCCATTGAGTTGTTCTTAAGGTGTGCTTAAAATGTTCTCTGATCGAGTAGTACATTCGACTGTTTGAACTGAATGAACTTCAATACGGAACTCAAGAAGGGACACTTATTATATAGCTTATACTGTTGACATGATTTATAAGAGACCTGCCACTTTCTTGAGGAGTTACACTCACATAAAACAAAGCCTCGTCAATTTACGTAGGAAATCGGCAAGTGCTGAGAGCTTTGAGTCCAAATTTGGTAATTGTGCTTTGGGCCATAAGGAACTTAGTTGTGAAATCTATCTTCAGAGAACGCAGCTGAGCATTGTTTTTGCGCAATGCATAAAAATATGCAAAAAGTATGCAGGTTGTCGCGCGGAGATTGCGAGTCAGATGTCTCAATTTTAATGACGACAAACACGGGGTAAATCTTTTCGCCAGTTGTGATTGCAAAAGAGAGAAATGCCCTTGTATCCAGACATAGCGCCCTCTTTTAAAGATCAATCCAACACAACTCAATAAGGTCACTTTCTTACTTAACATAAATCCATTTTGAAAGTCATTCTATTATTCTTGATCTATTCTCGAATTCCTGACACTCTTCAGTTAGGAAAACAAAATAAAATACATCATCGGCATATATCGTGTTCTCCACAGGTGTATGGGCTGTATGCCGTTTCAAATGCACTAATGCCATTATGTCGACAATGATAAAAAATTCCCATGCATTTCCTTACATCAGCAGCAGGTCTGTTACATATCTGTGGTAGCTTTTCAAGTGTAAGCTAAAACCAATCAACGTATCTGAATATTTTATTGTAAAATCTTACCAAGGGAGCTGTCGTATTCGCCAATGAATCTTCTGGTCAGAAGACGAACAGTCAGAGCTTGTTTTACAAAAACGAAAAGAGAAATGCTCATCAGTCTGAGAAATGCGGTCTAACTAACAAATAATTAGCAAGTTTTCTTTATCGGTTTTTGCACTTCTCCGCTAAGAACAATTACCTCCAGTAAGTGTTTACACTGCGATCATAACAAAAACACAATAATCTAGTAATTATCAAACAGTTTATCTAGCAAAAACGCATCAAGTGTTTGCAATCCACTTAATAATTTATACAAGGAATCTTTACCCACTATTTCAAAAAAAAAAATACTCTCGGAAGCCTCTTAGTCTTCTAATATCCGTTCCTTAACATGAATATACTAAGGCAAAATTCTACCAAGAAGTATTACAAGTGCATAATGATCGATCCTTATAAATTTCAGCTTCACTTTTTGCCATGACCACTTTTATTAAATTTAGCTTACCAGTTTTTCCAACTCCGTTTTTTCCCATTACCACAGCGTTTATCTTCTTCAGGTTGTTATGTTGTACTCCGTTCTTCCGTTGACCCATTTTCCTTTCATTCGTTTTCTGACGTAGTTAGCTGTTACTGGTCCTCCGAAGGGCTTTTCAATGCAAGCAGTTTTAGTCGCTTGAAACTGACTAATGAATAACAGGCGAATACAAGACACTGGTTGAGTTTAGCTGGTCTAGAAATAAGCCTAATTTTGAATGGATCCTCCCGGCCGGTCGTCAAATTCGCCGCTGTAGCTGTCCTTTTATACTTTGAGGCCAAAGGCCTGTCAACACTTTCTACTCAATGTCGACCTCCGTACGTTGCACTGTTGTTTGTTGATATTGACTAGCAACATTTGCGTAATATCCTGTTGCCACGTGACGAACTCTCCCGAATTGGCCAGCTTTCTCACTGTGTGCCCCATGCATTCTTGACATCGAGCATTGAGTCATTTTACAGTGTTGCGACAAAAAAGACGGCAAACAGCTGACAACTGCTGAACAGTAAACCGTTGTTTTGCGACAAGTCAGAAAGGGTTTTAGTAAAAATTTATCTATATGGCAATTCATGCGAAATTCAACCTTACTTAACTTAACCCGGAATGCCATCCCACGGGGTCATCCCAGTTCACCTCTTTGCCTTTAAAATTCATTTGAACTGCGAGTGCGGCCAAAAATACCTAGGCTACTTTAGCCTCCTACGCAGAGCTTCTTTTCTTCTTTCTCACGAGACGATAATCCACATAGAATACCTGCGTGGAAGGGTGGATGGCTCATCCTTCAGCTTTTCCTTGACAATCTTCTGAAGAATGGACCTGGCCAATATCCTGTCTTTGCCGCTAATCTAGTGAATACAATCCGCGGTAGAGCTAAACAACCACGTCCTTTCCAGAAACAAGTGCCACACTCGCCGCCGCCATATCTCCGTGGTAAATTCAGTTCTTACAGCGCTGCTGTCAAGAATCCTCAGAACACTGACCTTAAGCAGCACCCGTCACCATTACACTCTCACGGTGAACCAAGACTCCCCCGGCAACCTATGAACTGGGAGGTGGACAACCACCAGTCCTCGCACTTTCAAAGGCAGCAACAACCGCCCGCGCCACAGATCCCTCCTCACTTCACTACAGGCTGGCAGATGTACAGTAAACCTCACCAGGGTAAAGACTCTCATGTTGAACTCCCTCAGGAACTTATATCTTTTTTTAGAATAATTAAATCCTTACTCTAAATAATACCTAATTATTTACTAGGATACGATTAGAACATGCCATAAGATATCATTAATGTTGGCAGATTGCTCGAATCGCTCCCCGACTGGTAGTCTGTCGTTCTTTTCGTGGAACATCAATGGGATCTTTGCTAAACCCCTTGGTGATAAATTGCAAAATAATGAATGTTTGAATTTGATATGTCAATTTGATTTCGTGATTCTTTGTGAGACCTGGAAGGAGACGATTATCGACGTGACAGGATATCGATCGATAGTTTCAGGTACCTCAAAATTAGGAAACAATGGTCGCAACTCAGGAGGAGTTGCTTTACTCTACAAAAATGAACTCCATAATTGGGTATCAATAGAAAAAATAACTTCGAACTTTCTGTGGTTCAAAATTAGCAAACAGTACGTAAAAACCTCAAAAGATATTTATGTTTGTGGCGTCTATATTCCGCCTAACGGCTCAAAATACTTTCTCCCTGAAATGTTTGAAGATCTTGAAAACGACATTGAAACTTTTTACTCTCAAGGATCGATTCTTCTCATGGGTGACTTTAATTCTAGAACAGGAAAATATTCGGATTGTGTAAGCCAAGAAGGAAACACCATTATTACCAATGATCAGTCCCATCTTTCTTCAGGCTCCACTCATAGAAATAGTTTTGACAACAACATTAACAATCACGGCAAACGCCTTCTTGAAATCTGCAGAAGCGCAGATCTTAGAATACTTAACGGTAGAGTTAGTGGAGACTCCTTAGGAAGAGCCACATTTCATGGAAAGGCTGGAATAAGTGTCGTTGATTATGCCATATGTGATCAAACGTTATTTTCACACATACTAAACTTTATTGTTAAAGAGCCCTCGTATTTATCGGATCATAGTCCACTGGTGACCTGGTTATGCACTGACACCGATATTCGTAATCAAGATCCTTCACCAGAGAGTGATACTTTAACACGATTACCAAAACAATTTACGTGGGAAAGTGACTCTACACCAAAATTCAAAGCAGCTCTTCAATCTCCAAATTTGCAAATGATAATTCACGAATATTTAAATGACATCAATTCAGCTAAAAATGTTAACACCTCCGCGGAACAGGTAGAAAATATTCTTATCACAACGGCAAAACGATGCCTTAAGATAAGAACGACGAGACGACGTAAACGCACCTATTCACGCTCAAATAAAAATGGTTTGATAAGGAATGTCGCTTAAAAAGACACGAATTAAGGAAATTGTCAAATGAAAAACACAGAGATCCCTTAAATACCACTCTACGTGAAAAATATCATATTGTTTTACAGCAGTATAAGAAACTACTCGCACATAAAAGAAATGAATATTACAACAATAAACTCTCAGAATTAGAGGATACAACGTACAATTTGGATACTAAAAATTTTTGGAATTGCTTAAAATCAATGGATGACACTATAAAATACAAAGACACTCCACCAATTGCAGAAGAGAATTGGATGAATTATTTCCAGTGTCTACATTCTAATAAGCCACTTACTTCTGAGCAACAGAAAGTTGTCAATGAGTTAAGAACACGAGAAGACGTCTTAATGCAATCACGACCTCTAGATTACTTCATAACAGAAGCTGAAATAAGCAAGGCAGCAAGAAAATTAAAGAATAACAAATCTGCATACTCCGACAAAATAAGAAACGAAATGATTAAAGCTAGCTTACCAACACTGCTACCTGTTTACCATAAACTTTTTAATACTGTTCTTAACTTAGGAACAGTGCCTAAAAATTGGTGCAACGGTCTTATAACTCCCATATTTAAATCTGGCATAAGAAATGACCCATCAAATTACCGCGGGATTTGTGTTTCTAGTTGTCTAGGAAAGTTGTTCTTTTCAATTCTAAACCAAAGACTTCTTGAACACGTCACTTCGCTGAACATACTCCATAAGTCTCAAATCGGCTTCTTACCTAAAAATCGAACATCAGACCACCTCCTAACATTACGAACTCTTATAGACAAGTACGTACACTGTCACGGTGAGAAAGTATACGCTTGTTTTGTTGACTTTAGAAAAGCCTTTGACTCAGTCTGGCATGACGGACTTTTATATAAATTATTACAAATTGGTGTAGGGGGATGTTTCTATAAGTTAATCCAAAACCTATATTCAAACTCTTCGTGTGCATTGAAAATAGGTACGAGTCAAACAAAATCTTTTAGCTTCTCACGGGGCGTACGCCAGGGCTGTATTTTAAGCCCCTTACTTTTCAATTTATACGTTAATAACCTACCGTCCGCATTTCAAAATACTTTATCAGACCCTATCATCCTTCCAAATGGTACCAAATTAAATTCGCTTTTATATGCTGATGATTTAATTATTATATCACGATCTAAAATCGGATTGCAGAACTGTCTCAACACATTATCCTCTTTTTGCAACTCTTGGATGTTAGATATAAATTCCAAAAAGACCAAAGTTATGGTCTTTCAAAAACGAGCGAAGAAAAACTCCAATCTAGAATTCCATATAGGTAAAGAAACCATTGATACTGTCCATGAATATACATATTTAGGAACCCGTATCTCCTCAACCGGTAATTTTAATATCTCCCTCGAACACCTGAAGGAGAAGGCTCTTCATGCTCTTTTTAGTTTAAGAAAACACACAAACTTTAGCAAATTAAACCTTCTCTTGCTTGCAAAATATTTGAAACGATGATTTCCCCGATATTATCATTTAGTATATACACACTCAGTGATCTTGGTGATTTAAGCAATCTGATTGGTTCGCTATCTCGGACTATTCAACAATATTCACCTCCTAGCGAGTGGATAATGTGTGAGCTCAGTGTTTTTCCCATTTTTTAGAGAACGATCTTTTAAAAGTCGACAGAATCCTAGGGCTGACTTTTTTTAAGGCAAGAAAAGACTTGGAAGGATTCAATACGGCGTTTTTCAATTTACTGTAGCACTCAGTAGTAGCAGGAGTTTTGTGCTCGATGGATTGTTTACAACTCCCGTGTATTCGCGTAGAAGAAGCCGTTTCCGTTTTCTAAGAAGACAATTTTGGCTCAAAAATCGAAGTTTATTTATGACAAACAAATTTAAAAGGAAATGTTTGCAGAAATTCTACGTTTCAAGTAAACAGGAAAAAGAATGATACAGAAAGACGACGTCTTACCTCGAGCAAATGAGCCGCCATTTTTGTCAGCACTTCATGCGAAGAACGACACAACAAACCCTTTTGGCTATAAACGTGGCGAGTCAACAGAAAACAACACAGCTCTACTTTTCTTCTCAGGTAAGGAAACAGTTCAAACTTTTAGCGGTTCCATTTAAGCCATTACGCTGTTGTTTGCGAAATGATAAACTTGTGAATTGCCATGTTTGAAATTTCTGCAAAGATCTATTTTTAAACTTACGCGTGATTTGATCTGTCAATCAAATCGTACTTTTGAATGGTTTCCTCTCTGATTTTGTTGAGATCACTTCATGTGTATATACTAAAACAATTATTCTTTTCAATCTCGGTGAATAGTGGCTTTGGGAATATTTACCTCGCCGCTTTCGCGTCTCGGTAAATATTTTGCCACTATTCACCTCGATTTCAAAGAATAATTGTTAAATAATAGCGAAATTTGGGGTGTATATGTAAAACATGATTTTAAAGCTTGGGACAATACCCCAATTGAAAAAACCCACTTGAAATTTTGCAAGCGTTACCTAGAAATAAGCAATAAAGCTTCAAATGTTGCAAGTAGAAGTGAATTGGGACGGTTCCCATTAATTATTAATATTTATAAAAACATCCTTTATTACATATTGTATCTTCAGCGTAAAAACGAGGATACTATTGTTAAACAAGCCTTTCGTACTTCGCTAGAACTTCACTGTAATGGTAAAAATAGCTTTTACAATAATCTTATGAAAATATCTGAATATTATGACCTCCCTGATTTTGATCCTAATAATTTAAGTGAAGCTAAGATCAAACACTATATAGATATAATAAAACAAAAATATATTGCATATTGGCAACATACAATCCATCATTCTAAGAAACTACAATTTTACAGCTTATTTAAACATGATTATAAAATTTCAAGTTATCTAGACTTAATTAGAAATTCTGCGAATAGGAAAGATTTAGTGAAAATTCGTATAAGTAACCACAAACTCATGATTGAAACTGGAAGATATAATCAAACTTCCCGCAACGATAGACTCTGTCCTATTTGTAACTCTGGTATAATTGAAGACGAATTTCATTTTCTCTTCCATTGTCCAAAATACTCAATCCCAAGGGAGAAATTCTACGATCAAATCCAACAAAATTTTGTCGATTTTGATCAGCTATCTTACACAGAATTAATAATTAAATTGATGAATTCACAGAGTTTTTCCGTAAATTCACATTTGTTGAAATTTGTCTCATTATGTAATGATTTACGTAATAATTTGTTATCAAGTCATGCTGATGACACTTGATTGACTACAGTCATCATTGCATTATCATTGTTATGATTTGTTTGTTTGTTTGTTTGTTTTTATATTAAAGCTTTTGCAATACTGTAACTACATAATTACAGTCGTGCAAATAAAGCTTATGTTGTTGTTGTTGTTGAATAGACCTATTCGGCTAACTCAATGTTGTACCCAATTCAACCCTTTGGGAATAAAACATTTTGTTTCAGGAATTTCCATATCATTTAAATGTGAATGCCACATTATAATGCAAATGCAATACACAAAGAATCTTATCCCCGGGAGATTTGAATTGGGTACAACATTGAGTTAGCCGAATAGGTCTATGACTCAGAAAACCGGGAAAGGGGACTCCAGGGAGTTAAAATCCAAAAATGTCCCTGTGACGCATCAAACCCGCTCCCCCCCATCCGAAGAAGCTTGCACCTTCGGCTTTAGTTTAGTAAATCGGTCAGTATTTGTCCTACATCCCCGCCTGTTGTTATTTAATCTAATTAGAAGCGTCTCTCATCAATAAGCACCATACTTGAATTTGAAGAGTTTAATTAAGTTCATAAACAGTGGTTACTAGAAGGATGTCAAGTGAATTCGGGAGACTGTTTAATTTAGTCTGTAAATGCACGCTGACTTGCTGAAAGCCCAGCTTAGTTCCCAGGCGCGCTTGTCTCCTTGACCGAGCGAAACCGCTATCTCGTTATTCACGGTGACATTACCACGCGAAAGTAGATTCCATTTCTAGCAGAGCCTCATCGCATGGGGACTGCACTAGACTGTTGTAACAGAAAAAGAACAACTAGTACCAAAATCATGTAATTATGTTCTCATGTATCATTTTTTTTCTCTGTTATTTTGGTTATTTTGTTTGCAATGGTTGTTTTTTGATTGGTTTTAATGACTTCTAACGATCTAGATCAGAGCTGGCCTGCGTTTAAATTCCTCGCGGCACTAATAATATTTTTATACAATATTTAATTTACCCTAGCAGATCCTAGCTACTGCTTCGTATTACAAGACCGTGTTAGCAACCTGGTTTGCCTTTATATCATTTTCATTGGCGATTTCTTTATGAACATTTCTTCCCTTCAAATCGTAGTTCTCTCCAGCCATCAGGTCGTTGATTTTAATGGGCGGTAGCTCTATGAAACTGTCAAAAGTACAAAAAAAAAAGGAACTGTCAGCTAACTATCCTGTCGAATTAGTGGTGACATCCATCTAAAGAAGCGAAAAATAGTGCACAGTGCCTAAGGAACAACAAATAAAACGAAGTCTTAAAACTATATACTACCTCAAAAGCAGCAAGGGAATTAACACCAGCAACGCGCAAAGTATAAAAACCAAGCCTGGGAATAAACTGAGAGTCGCCTGGTACACAGAATTGAACAACAAGGCGCCCACCAGTTGGGCAATAGCACTAACAACTCCATGAGCAGAAAACAAGACACCTAAAGGGGGGAATGAAGAAGCAGTGAACTTATACAGATTTAACACTTAGGGGACACTGTTTTTTTAAAAGGGTTTTTAGACAGAGATAGGAAACGAACAACTACATTCACTTAGGAACCTTTGCATCGCTAGAAAGGGGATCATGATGAGTTCTAAAACACTGATAACTGTCGGGAATTGAAATGATCATGGCGCAATTTGTTTTTCTCTGTCTCTCGGCCGCGAAATTGGAAGAAACTTCACCCTTCACCAGTTATGGCGGATAAAAAACCCTAAACTGTTGTGAAAAATAACTAAACAACAATTTTCCGCAAGGGATGTTTTTTACTCTTACAGACTAACAGACCAACGGACTGACGTGAAAATGTTTAAAACTTTGCAGTGAAACCACTTGAGTTTCGGGACATTTTGACGTCGTTTCTATGGCCTATAAGTAAGTAAGTAAGTACGTAAGTTATTTAGTAGTTAGATATAGGTACTGTAAGCAGCTGCAAGTAAACTTCCATAGGGAAAACCCAATACCGTGACAAACCAAACTTGGCCCGGTTGTTGTGTGTTGTTGTTGTTGTTGTTGTTGTTGTTGTAAGTAATAAAGGAAGTAAGCCTAGTTGTTTAGCAAGTTAGTACAAGTAGTAAGTAAGTAAACACTTTATATGGTGACTGTAACACTAAATAGCTAAAAGCTAATAAATATAAAACTGTGGCCTCTAGAAACGAACTGACCTTGCCCTATACTCTGCTAGTAATTAAGATAAGTCTGTCCATGGGATAATAAATTCATTACCTTGTTCACTGTCTCCAACTATTCTTGACATGCCACCTCCTAAAATAGGATCCGGAACAGCACCAAAGACTCCTACTGCACTTGCTGGAAAAAAAAAAAACAAAGGTCTGTGAAAACTCAAAAAGCGACTTTACGATCCAACGACGCGGACAGCAACGAGAACATCATAAAAACAATAGGGTTAATAAGAAAAAACAACAACTTTGCATGGTGCATTACACTTTTTTGTACATTTCTTTCCCGTTTTTGCACTACTACGACGTGAAAATGCCTAATTTCGCGTTTTAAGAAGAACGTAAACAAGCAACGACGAAATTTTATTTTCCTTTCTGAGCTTAAATTCAGCTTTAGGAGAGTTCGCCAACAGTTGACAAAGTAAGTGGATAGGAATAATCGCTATAAAGACTGAAAGAACGCAAATTCACTTTTTAAGCGACGTTCTTGTTGCCGTCGCGTAGTTGGACCTTAAAGCCCCTAATGATCGACACCAAGGGGCGGCGCAGTGGTAAGAGCACTCGCCTCTCCCATCATTGTGGCACGGGTTCAAATCCCGGCGTCGACGCCATATGTGGGTCGAGTTTGTTGTTGGTTCTCTCTATTGCTTTGAAAAATTTTTTCCTGGTTCTCCTGTTTTCTCCTTTGTCAAAAAACTAACATTTCCAATTTCCAATTCGACCAGGAATGGTACCGGTAGATGAAGAACCACTATGTAGACAAGCTACATCTAAATCGTTATTTATTATTTATATATTTTATACCATGGAAGAGAATTTCTTACTCACCAACAAAAACTAACCAGGTCCGATTTGAAAAGGCCAGCATGATCATAGACAACGCCAAAGAAACCATGCCAAATCGTGCAACTGTCAACTCCCTAAAACAACGCCCGAAGAACTTCACGCCAGCCACGCTTCCAAAACCACGGAGAAATAAAGCAAATGCAAAGAAATACCCAATTAAGGTTGCATTCCAACATAGAGGACTCTTCAATATGTACAAAGTTATAACCCCGTCTACTCCAACTGTTACCAAAAAGAACAAGCCTGAACAGACCATCGACAGCAACAGATTCTTTCGTCCAGCCTCTCTTTGTTTCCGGAAAAAGTTGAAGAAGCTCTTAATATTTTCAGTGCTGAAGAAGCGCACCGGGGTGTTGTCGGCGGTTGTGCGACTTTCAGGGACGCAAAACAGGGTCCAGATCCCAGCGAGAAGGAAGCAGGCCAAGATAAACCAGGCTGACGGGATGAAACCGACATTGTCTATCCATAGACCGCTAGTCAATTGACTGATGACTCCAGCCAGAAAAATCTGCATATAAAGAACGGCTGCAATTTCGAAAGGAAGACACCTTAGCGTTTAAAATAACTCTACAAACGAGGAAGCTACAAACCGGCAGATATATATATTCATACACTGCACATGCTGAAAGAGAGCAAATATGCCAAGGAAGTTTTTATTTCAAAACAATAGAGAATGAGCTTTAATTGCTCCAATATGCTTTCCTCTCTTTTTTGGAGAAATTTCTAAACGCCGCGGTGATTTCAAATAACGCGCAAAGTAACCACGGCAGATCATTTTGGAGTTTTGAGTGTGTTTAAACGCGTTATCAGGGGCAACCAATAGGAAATTTTGAGGAAAAGACCTAAAAACAACAACAAAGCATGAATAAAGCTTCCTGAAACCATTTTAACTATTTTGGGAGATTGATGGGAAAAATGTATCTGTTCCTCATTCCCAGCAAGACTGATGCAAGAGTGAAGAGCCAGCAAGGTGCACCAACAACCTGCAACCTAACTTACTGGGAAGTTAAATTTCCCAGCAGACATATGTACAGACATAACTGGCCAGTTTAGGTGTGGTCATAGGGCAAAATTCAGACCTTAATTTTGGGGGAAGGGCTCAGTAGGACAATGGGTGTGACCGAAGGGTGCAATTCACCCCTTCAGTGGTTAAAGAACACATAGCACCTATTCTACACATCGGATACCCTCAAACAGCCAGAGCCTACAACACTTTCCTTCCAGGGGCATATCATTACTTAAACATCTCCCAGCCAGCAAAAAATTGCCTGAGGAACAGATCTTTTGCGGAGCAGATCCATTGGGTGCCCAAGCGTTATCTCATATGTTCTTCTCGTTTCCTCTCATTTTTTTATTCATTTATCTATTACTTTTACATTTTTTTCCATCATTCTGGCGCAGCTGCCACCTACGGAAATGCCCTAGCCCCGGGACTAACCCTTTATCGCCCCTTTCCTTTCAAGTTCCCATTCCGGAATAGCTCTCCTTGTTTTAGTTTCCTGCCTTGCAGTATTTGAACCTTCTGAAAGGACAAACAATATTATTATACATAAATATTTTGATCGCTTTGCTCAAATTAAAAATGTGTTACCTATTCGAAAAAAGTTCTGGTTGCTCTTCTTCACTAGAAACATTTTTGACAAAAAAACCGTTTGATGCAAAAGATGTAAGACGTTGCAAAAATCCGCCAGTCATTACCCTTACCTATTCGAAAAGTTCTCTCTTCTTCGAATCCAGCGATGAGAATCCATTTTACCGGTGCGAATCCCGAGAATCCACTTATAGCCGCGCCCAGGAAGAGGAAGTACACAGACAAATTGAAGTACATCACGAGTAAAAGAACTGTGAGGTCCAGACATGCGCCTAAGATGCCTACCTGCAGGGTAGGTTTTCGCTTGCCACCTTTGTCTGTCCAGGGTCCCCAAAGGGGCACCACAAGAAGGGAGGGGATCGTCACAACAAGATTTTGGGCCAAATAAATTTTCGAGGAAAGCGTTTGGACCTAAAATAACAATATCTTTAAGTCAGTCTTTGAAACATAATTCCGCTAATTCGTATCTCCATTCAAAGACTAGTACATAGAACTACGGATAGCAAGTTCTCTTTCATCGAGAACGGAGCTAACAAGAGAAGCCCTTCAAACCGCCTTGACCGAAGCTTTCACGTCATTTAAATTTTCGAAGTTTGAAATTTTGCAGCGCATGCTCTTTTAAAATTGGAAAACGCGGACTTCAGGATTGCTTCGTACTGAATTTGTGAAGGTAATTATCGTTCAAGACCAAATTCAGCAAGACAGCGCACACTGGGGCTATGCCATGCTGATGAGTCCTTTCTGGGCTCCTGGTTGTGATGAGGACGAAACAGCTGTCCATCGCCGCCGCATCCGCTAGGGTGAAATGGCTGTGCGCGTGCGTATATAAGGTACTGTTCATACCGTGGAGCTGGTAGTGAGTGCTTCCTTACTGAATTTGGTCAAATATCTTCGTTAGAGCAGTTTATTTAGATCACGGCCCCTTTAAAGAGGGAATTTAGGTCCTTCCTGTTTTCGATTCACTGTAAGTGAAATATATCTCTAATGCAGCAAAAAGAGAAAACAAGTTACGCATGGTGGAATTTAATCATTTCCCATTTTTCACTTAACTTACCTCCAGTTCAAGTTCCCACAATTCATTAGTTGCTAAATCCTCGTGATCGCCGCACCCACCATCCTGCTGGCTGAAGTTTTGGTAGGGAAAGCGTTTCATATCGCTAACTCGGTGATATATGTATATTCCGGAGACTGGAAGATACATTAGAAAGCCGTAGAAATAGAAAAATACTACGGGTTCCACTGTTAAGTATTTTCTCCACAAGGGAATTCCTGTCTTAGTTTCAGGCATCTACGAATAAAAGAATTAAAATTATATTCAGCCTTCGCCCTAGAAATAACTTTTGTATTTGGAAATGGACACAAATGTTTTAACTGCAGTTTGACGCCGTCAGTCAACTCGGTTGGCAAACTGAATTCCGATTCATGATTCACCGGGATCCCAAATGTAGAGGGGAGGAAAGAGATTACTGCAATAAATAGGCGTTCTTTTTGCAAGCGCGAAGGTCGGTGAAACAACAGTGGTGAAGTCCCAAAATCGGTGAGATTGAATTGGCTTGGTTATCAGCGATATATATCCACCAGTCAACATGATTACTACTTCTACTAGTTGAACACGTTCCAAAGCAGAAGGGTATTGTGGAGTTGAAAATAGTTCACTGTTCTCGAAAAAATCTTTATTCTTGACGGTTCTAGCAGTTGATATATTTGTTTTCCTTGTTGCTGTTGTATAACTGTTACCAGGTTTTTAATCTTGTGACCCTAAAAAATGTTATGTTTAGCCACTCAATATTTGTCTCCAAAAAGGCAAAATCAAATCAGGTTCGCGCGATTACAGCCGTTGTTCGGAAAATAAGCCTTCTCGGGGAGGAACAAGACTAGAAGGAAATCAAGCCTAATTAAAATACAAATCTGTGGGGTTTTTTTAATCCATCTCAGTAAAAAATTATGTGTATGTGTTATCTAACCTGCTCAAGTTTGGTTGCAGCCTCAAAGTCTTACAATGATTAAATGTTGGACTGCACTGTGCGCTTGTGGTTCAACTTTTCTCTTAATACCCGTCGAGTTCAGTCTTATTCCTGATGGAGCTGATGAGCATGTTAGCAAAGAAAACACGGTTAACAAAAATAGGCCAAATAACATTGAAGAAAATAAGTCTACATGACATTGAATTTGATTCAATGTTTGAAATTTACAGTTAAACATAAAAACACCATTCTTTGAAAATTGTGATGATGTGATAAATAGGAACAGGTCGCTGCATGCATCACAGCATCGCAGTGACTCAATGCTGGGGGCAAAAGTAACTGTACTGACAGAGGTGCGGGCAACCGTTCGGAAAACCCTACGACGCAAAATTACATAGTCATTCTTTATTGCGACGAGTTACCCTGCCTTATCTGCTGATCCTTAAATTAACTTGTCCAACACTTTCACTGAGGACGACGTTGCTTGCAACCTCCGTAAACGACCCGAAATGTTGTCAGTGTCAGTACTGACAGGAGCGGGGTAATCGGCTCCTGGTACTGATCACCTACATCCACTGACATCACGTGCCTAATAACTAAGACTACTGCCTACATCTTCACAACGCTAACAAAGCAATGTAAAAACCTACCTTGATATACTGCAATGGTGGTTAGTGTCGATGATCTTATTTACTTGTTGACTGCCGGTAAATAATATCGGTAAATGATATAAGAAAATATTGGATTACAAACAGCAGTTTACACAGCTCTGTGTCACGCAATTTGGTTTATTATGTAATCTTAGGAGCATAGCTTGGCAAAGTGAGGGAAATGGTGCATTTTAGCCCTCGCTCAGCTTCATCTCCTTGATTTTCGCGGGGTGGGGGTAGAAGGGTTACTGTTCCATTTTATTCTGTCCAAGGTTCAGTTGCAGGTTCGCAATAGACTTCGCGTATCCGCCTACTTCGTCGTTTTTTTTTCAAAGATTGTAGCGCTGAAAAGAAGTTGACGCGATGTCACTTTCCTCGCGGGTGGCGATTTTCGCACTCCCTACTACCTGTGGTCTAAATCTCGGCTTTGAAGCTCCTTCAGTTTTCTTCGCATATTCGAAACAAAGTAACAAGGAATTTTTCAAGTATATCTCCAAAATAAAGGACAACCCAGTAATTCTAATAAAATATATTCTCTATTGTTCTAAAGGCCATGACGCGTTTTGTCCTTCGCGCGGCTTCATCCTTGATTTGGGGGGGGGATGGGGTTTGCTGTTCCATTTTATTCAGTCCAAGGTTGTAGGTTTGCAAGAAACTTGAAATCGCTTATCTAGGAGCAAAAACCTGCATTCAAGAGGAAAAGCGGGGCAATATTAAGCGTGCGATGGCGGCTTATCCGAACCCGTAAGACTGAGTATTTTTATAAGTTAAGGGGTGGGGCCCATTATGGGCTCCTGATAGAAATGCATTTAAAACACCACAATTATGTTTTAATAACGAGTGATGCAGCAAATTTTTAATAAAGTTCTTTTAACTTTTGTAAGTTATGAATCTGATGATCTGATGATCTACTCGACCACCTCAAAAAGGGGGACTACTCGAAGCCCATATGGGTTCCTGGGGACATTTTTGAGAGGCAGGTTAGAGAGAGGAGAATTTCTTCTGAATATGCCCTATATCTGAGTGAAATTATGAAAGGTTGGAGCCTTTTTTCTCGATTTCAAAAGGATTTCCTATTCAAAGCAAGCAAAGACACAAATAGACAAATCCCTGTATAAACTTAACATACCTGAAAAATACATTTTATAATAAGGTCATTGAGTACACTTGTCACCGTTCGATATGTTGAAGACTAACTAGTATTAAACTGGCGCGCGCAGCCTTCAGTGGTATATTACTGTAATATATCATTCTGTTCCTTGTGCTTCACCAAATGAGTCACTACTGCGTCCGTGAGAAGGGGAAAGTAAGGGCAAGAGGAATAGTAGAGAACTCCTGCAAGGTGGAGAGTCCTTAAGGCAAGAAGAGTAATTTTCGAGCGATGTATAACGTGTGTCTAGCATGTTTGCCCGAGTTATTAGGACCAAAACCCAACGACGATCAGTATTCAGTGTACTATTTATCACGATGTAGGAAATTCCCTTGATTCCCCAGTAAAGATTTGGTTTCTTCCGCCTGGTTAACACGTGGCAGTTCTATAAAGCTGTTGAGGGGAAGATAAAAGAAAATCAGTCAACAAGACAGCAGCAAATTGATCCTTATGACAAAGAGAAGAGGAACAAAACAAAACACACGTAAGACAAAACAAAAAATATTTTTTAAAATATTATTTGTTTTGTTTTTCTTCTGTTATGTTCCCCGCAAGGATCAGTTGACTGCTGGTTCTTCAATTTTATGTTATTTGTTTCTTTGTTTTATTTTTGTTAGTGAATTCCTCAGAGCTTCACTGGTTTATTCATAGTCATGGTTTTGCTGTCCAGTTTGAAAGAAATCATGTCCTAAGTACCAAGAAAATCTTGAAAATCACCGTAAAGGTGTTTTTCTCAGTTTACCAAACATTCTTTACTAGAATGAGCTACGTAGGCAGCATTTCACGGCATATATTATGCAGTTACGGCTTTTCCTTCTTTTTGGATCATAACGAACTCCAAGCAGAGTCAAATACTGACAAAGCACAAGTTATTCATTGACGAGTGTGATTCCTGTGCTAAATGCAACCTCCATGACCATGCCATCAATCTGTTTTGAGTCCGTCATCAGAACATAGTATTGAAATTAAGCTTATCCGTTGTCACTTTTCGATTTTCCGTTTATCCCTCGTCCGTTCTAAGTAATAGGAGTTTGTTCTTTAATTTTTCTTGTTGTCGTCGTCGTTGCCCGGTTGCTGTTTTTTTTTTTTGTAATTGCTGAACCAGAATCATCAACCGCCATGCTTACCTGACAAATACAAAAGGAATGATGACCAACCCGGCGCGGATTACGAACACTAAGCCCGGGAATGTCCGCCTCAGGGTCGTCTGGTATACATTCGTGAAACTTGCAGCGCCCACAAGCTGCATTATAGCGGTAACAACACCATACACAGAAAACGGGGAACCTAAAGGACGGAAAATTCACACGATGACGTCAGCACTTTCGAACCTCTGTAGCAATGAGACCTCTTTAAAACAGACAGCTAGACCTGTTTCCTGCTGTTATTCAGTCATTTTCTTTGACGCTATATAAGGCGGATAACTCTCTCAGTTTCCCAGCGATGTCAGTTTTGAAGAGAGATTTGACTCTTGGCACTAACAGCAGAGACCCTTAAGTCGAGGACGGCGTTTCTCAATACTAAATAGTCGTGCTTGAGAATAGCGTCATTTTGGCATTCTACGAGTAGACTGATGCTTCACAGAAGTTTTAGCACTTTGTGACTGGAAGAGAGCTAAAACTCCTTCAATAAGAATAACTGTGCTAAACTTTCTGGTGATAAAAAAGTACAAAGAAGTTTTCCGGGTCCCGGGTCCTCGTAGTCGTCCTCGCCCTTGAATCTTGAGGTGTATTGGGCGAACTTCCCGGTTTACATGGGCATACAAAGACTGTTAAGTTTCTTAAACGAGGCACGCGACTGAAAATAGTGTACCATGCATCAGAAGTGCAAAGAGTTTGCTCAGAATCTTAGAGGGTAGCAACTTAATGACATGTCTACTGAGAAACTAGTTAGTGAATTACCTTGTTCGTCCTCTCCCACAATCTTTGACATTTCACCCATTAGCACTGGGTCAGGAAGTGCATTAAAGATGCCAACGGTCCCAACTGGATTAGTAAAATAATTAAATTAATTTCATTACTTTAATTTTTTAGCAAGCTTTGTTTGACCTAGATCTAGAGTAAAACAGCCCGTACTTACTTTATAGTGTTAGTCGATCGTGTGATTACGTGAGTGCGCGCGGCGTTGCTCTGGCCTCGACCGCTCACGGTCGTCTGCTTAATTATTTCCCTTATTTCCCATTTACACTATCTTGTATTATACCGTAAACTTCCGATTATAATCCCTCGACTTATACAACTTCGTAAGGGGCTTTAGGAGGGCCTATAAACAGGGGAGGGGCTTGATAACCGAACTGAAAAAAAGTGGTTTCAAAACAAGCTACATAAAAGTGCTGATCAAAAGACTTTTTGAGTTTGATTGCCTTTTTAAGCTCCAAAACGTCGTAAAATGTCGAATTCATTCCAATACACCGTGCTAGAGGGGGGCTTATAACCGGCTGTATTTTTTTTGTTTACAGGTAGATGGGCCTATAAATAGGGGAAGGTTTATAAGTGTGTGGGGGGGGGTATGAACGAAAGGGGCACACATTCACCAATCCATGGCCAGTACCTCTAACATGCGCACAGCCATATCACCCAGGCAGTGGCAGCCATGGACAGCTGCTTCGCCCTTATTGAGGCTCATCAGCATGGCATAGCCGTCGGGTCAACCCGTCTCTCATAGACCCTTCTCTCACCGAGGAGAGCGCCGGCTCCACACAACACATGTGAGAGCTGTTGGATGGGATGCTTGAGGTACTGGCCAGGCAGTGGGTTGGTGTACGTATGTCTGCCCCTCGCTTTAAGTTTGTAGTTCATATGATCTTTTTATCATTTTACATTGTAATTCATTTTTGTCTTATTTTCTTTAAACAGATTTATTTAATGTTAATTGAGGATCTAACACGTAAGTTTGTTTGTCAACACAGCTTCTGTTGCGTAAACTCAATGTTTGTAAATTAATGCAAATCAGATCAACTGTTTGAATTCTGTGTTGAAATAAAGTTCATTCAAGAGGAGGGCCTAATCTCGTTCCAAGGCCGCTTAGCCGGTAAGACAGATAGAGATCAGGGTACGTTAATAATATAGATACCCTGGGAAAGAGGTACAGTTGACTCCCGATAACTCGAACCTTCAAGGGAAATCGAAAAAAGGTTCGAGTTATCGGGATAGGAGTTCGAACAAAATATATAGCCGAGAGTAAGGTAAAAAACAGTTTTTACTGCACAGTGAACATTTTATTCACATTTAATTGTAGAAATGTGAAGTGAAAATTAAAGGAGACTTCTAGATTATAAATAAGAACGTAACGTAACAAAACATAGCCTAAATTTACTGTTTTGAGAAGAAAAGCTTCTTCATGTTAGCCTTTGACAATCAACATCAGCCTCCACCAGTAAACTATACTCCTACAACACGTCAACTGAGGAAATCTAAAATTCAATGTTTCGGACGCCCATAGACGGCTTTTTTCCCGACTTTTTATGGGCTCAAAGCATCGTTCGAGTTATCGAGGGTAAAATTATATAGAAAATGACCTGAGGGGAAACGAAAATTGGTTCGAGCTAGCGAGAGTTCGAGTTATCGAGGGTTCGAGTGACCGAGGGTAAAATTACAGTGAATGTATGACGTAAATCCAGGGAAAATCGATTTTGGTTCGGGTTAACACGAGGTTAATTCGAGTTAGCGAGGGTTCGAGTTATCGGGAGTCGACTGTAGTTTGGATAAAAAAAAGGCCTTTTTTAAAAGATGTTATATCTCGCCGGAATACGATTTTATTCGTCCTGTTCACTTACCAACAAAAATCATCCAAGTACGATCGAACAAGCAACTAGAACCGATGCACTCATAAACGTCACTATACCAATGCGCACAACATTCATCTCCCGAAAACAACGTCTAAAGATCTCTACCCCGACTACGCTTCCAATTCCTTCCACAAACATTTCAAACGCGGAGTAATAACCCACCAACGTGGGGCGCCAACAGAGAGGACTTCTTAGTACATAAAGCGTCTCCACGCCATCGGTACCAACAACATCGGCCCTAAAATTACATTGAATGTATGACGTAAATCCAGGGGAAATCGATTTTGGTTCGAGTTAGCGCGAGGTTCGAGTTAGCGAGGGTTCGAGTTATCGGGAGTCGACTGTAGTTTGGATAAAAAAAAGACCTTTTTTAAAAGATGTTATATCTCGCCGGAATACGATTTTATAAAGATCTCTACCCCGACTACGCTTCCAATTCCTTCCACAAACATTTCAAACGCGGAGTAATAACCCACCAACGTGGGGCGCCAACAGAGAGGACTTCTTAGTGCATAAAGCGTCTCCACGCCATCGGTACCAACAACATCGGCGCTAATGATTGAACCTAAAAAAATAAAACATTTAAAACTTAAAGCTAAGAACATCATCTTGCTTGGATTCAAATACATAATTCAGGATGACTCCTATGCATGAAGCCGTTTCTTGAACGGCACGCTTGGCCAGGCCGGTGAGAAAGCATTTGAGATTTGCCTGTTGGTATGGTACGAAATATATTTCTCTAGATATCGTACCAAACCACACAAGCACGTGCGCGGCGTACATAGAACTGCAGCGGTAAAATGTCTAGAGTTTGTCTCATGTCTAATTCTGTGAAGCTGTGCCTACAGCTAAAACGTTCGCCTCACCTCTTTTTCAACACGCCATAGTGACAAGTTTCTGTTTAATTTTTAACCTCCACAACTTTCTTCTTCTCGACTGACGTTTTTGTACGGGAAGCCCTTCATTTCACTGACTCGTTCGTACACGTATATTCCGCCAACTGGTATATACATTAGAAAGCCGTAGAAGTAGAAAAAAACTACAGGTTTCACTGTTAAATACTTTCTCCATGGTGGAAGAGTGTTCCTTGATGGAATCTGAGAGAGTATAAAAGGATCCAAAACAACTGGCTTTCATGGATGAGGACAACAAGAAAATCGTGGCTACGTAATTACTTCCCATACTTTGCATTATAATTGCTATTTGCTCCATTAAAAACTCCCACTGAATTGTTAAGAAAATTACCCATCTTTCCCCCAAAACACCGTGCTGGGGTTCCTCTCTCAATACAATACAATAGAACATGCACGCCCGTTTCAAGTGTCGTGCTACTGCCGTGCCGAGCTCAATTGAATTCGACTTCAGCACGGCAGTAGCACGACTTGGTGTCAAACGTCGTGCTACCGCTGTGCCCGAGCAGAACTCTATTCATACATTATAAACACACTAGAATACATTAACGTTTTCTAAACTGTTTCTTTATTTTAGTGTTTTGTTTTCGGCAACAGCCGTTCTATTTGAATGAATTAAATTCAACATCTGAAACCAAGTCGTGCTAGTGTCCTGCTGTCGTCGAGCTACAGTAGAGCAAGAGCTTAGCACGGCAGTAGCACGACGTTTGAAACAGGCCTTAGCGATATGGATTAGTCTCAGTAAAAGAAAACTTCACCAGTTTATTTTCAGGTATGCCACTGCAAATAAAATAAATAGAATATGTGATACAAATAAATAAGACAATGTACAAAAGCTATTTACAATCGTATCAAACTTAGGAATACTATCAAAAAGTATTCACAAAGTCGATTAAAAGGACAATTCGTAGATACTATTAAAATAATTAGACTCAAATTCGTAGATACTATTAAAATAATTAGACTGACTGTCCTTTCCTCTCAAAGTATATGTTGTTTCTCTTGATGAGATTAACTCATTCAAACAATCAGGGTTTCATGAATTACGAGTTTATAAACCGAACGGAGGATTTTATTCAATCTTTGCTCCATCAGGGTTCTTCCGGACCTAAAAGCTTAAAAAAGTTCTTAAAAAAGTTAGTCTACTCTAAAAACAAACCGAACCGCTCTTTCATTTACTTTTTACCAGTTTTTTAGCTTAACCCTTATTGCAGAAATGCCAGGTCTCGACAAGTCCCATCACCATAGCCTAGAATTTAGAGTGCAGGTTTCTCAGTTTCATGCCATTTTCCAAAAACCATTTATCTAATCAGAGTCTACGGTTTCTTGGAATATCAAAGGATCCTTATCGGCAAAGAATATTTGTCACCTGCATAATTCGATAGCTTGCTTCGTTTTATCACGTAAACGAGATGTTTCATAAATGTGTTAAATAGAACAGGGCCAAGTATGGATCCTTGGGGAATTCCAGCCGTTATATCTTGCCCTGTCGAATGCAGAACGTTTCCAATTTTTACCCGTTGCCCTCGATTAGAAAGATAGTCTCACGTCAGAGATACTTCATTTTAACGCCAGACGTTTGCAGTTGTGTCTCACAATACGTTTTATGCAATTCCTGGGTTCTGTATAACCGTTTAGAGGCCAGAATATTGGCTCTGAAACCCAGGGTTATGACCCTCATTAGTATTTTAAGGGGAGATTACAGTTGAATTTTGGGGGAATTGGGGTTGAATTGAAAATGAAAGAAAGAAAGATAGAAAAGACTAATTACACGTAATCCAGTTAGTCCGCTCTGAATTGGCTCAGGGCCACCTTGTTATGGTGGCGGACTGTCTGATCTTTTATCTATTAAATATTCTCTTCAAATTTTAATTTTTAACTACCCTTAAATCCAACATTCTCTCATTTTTCCATAACTTTTCACATTTGCCCTTCAAACTTTTATTGATTACAAATATTCTAACTTCACCAAAAAATTCTCAAAAACCCATCGTTCCAAGAACTTCAGAATGAGTGATTTATTTTTAAAATCGAATGACATTCTGACAAGATTTTCAAGGAAAAGTACTCAAGTATAATACACACACGGAGTTTAACTGTAATCCACCCTTAACACTGTTCAATGAGCTTTTCTTTTTCCCTGCCGCAGGTTCAGCCCATCTTTGTGTCGTTTGTCGCCATTTAAGCTGTCTTGAGACGCTGTTTCAAGGCCATGTCGCTCAGTATCGGGATTTTACCCTTGTGGATAGTACTATATAATATATACACACCTACATCGTGATTGGACTATCTTTTTTCCTACCTTATATCCCCTTTATTTCAAGTGTATTTAGAAAGAAAAACAGATTCAAATGCTTCGGGAGCCCATAGGACTTGTACAATACAATCAGTTTCTGAAGTGAATTTAATTTTTGTCGTTGTTGTTGTTTTTGAAAGTGATGACTTGATTGTTTCAGCTACCTTACAAGCTCAAATAATAGACTTTCTTCTAAACTGGCTTACAAAAGATTTATAGATTCAAAAAATGATTTGCATGGTTAGTTCTGATTGGTAAGCAAAGAACGGATAAACGACTCCATTAAGTCCCGTTAGTGGGCCCATTGTAAGGCTTTGGGAAAAAAGTGAAACAGGTTTTCCCAGTAAATGTTCTAACTATTTGCTGTCTTCTGCACAAGCTCTATGTGTTCTGGGTTCTAGGCTGTTTTGTCTACTTGGTTCTCGTTGGTGTCGTCTTGTTTATTGCCATTTGCTTCTTCGCTCTTCAATCCAGGCTCCTCATCTACCATTTCAATCTGTTGTACTTCAACTTCTGGCGGTGAAATGTGCATGCAGCTACAAAAAAAGAAATATAGAAACAAAAGCACTTAGGTCATGTTCTCAGTGTTCTTGCCCGGTAAACACAAATGATTATTACGTTATTAGAAAGAATGAAATCAAGTATTTGAACCAGTGACGTCACTTTCAAAGTAACACCAAAAACTCCCATAAATGCTATTCTTTAAACGTAAGGAATGCACAGGGTGGAAAAACCTATCCGCCCCAAACCCCTTCTTAAATTTAACAAGGTACTGAATTCCTGAAACTTCACAAAGGAAATAACTTTTCCCATTTTGAAGAAGAAGATGAACCGAAACGCATGGTAACTCGTTTCCAAATCTTAGCACGGAAGTAATCATGGCTTTTAAATTGAAGAATCTTATTATTAATTATCCAAAATAAATCAAAATATTAAACTCCATGTATTGTAATTTTAGCCAAGAAGTTTAAGACTGAAGCACAATTGAACAACAGATATATATTAGTGTGATGAGAAAACGACCGGTGGAAAACAAGAAAAATATAAAATTAAAAGTCAATTGACTTTAGGTTTCTTATTGCAGACAACGCACAGTTCGCAAACTGGAGATTGGGAAAAGAGCTTTCAAACTGAGTGCTATTAACATAGCAAAAACAAATTAAGTTTCAAATGAATCCCGCATGCACAGCAGAGGCTGCAATACTCCACACATTTGTTGAAATACTTAATGTCACGTTACGCCCTCTCCAATTTTGATGCACGTATCACCCATTTGCAAATAAACGCCAATGTCAACATTGGGGAAGGAGAGAAGAAGCACACACGGGGAAAAGTTGGTTGAAAAGGCGTGACATGAAAAAACCTCACTTTTAGTCTAGTGTTTCAACGAAATTTGAAGAGTATTGTAGCTATTATTTTAAGAGCCATAATGGATCTTGCTATCATAGAATAGCTTGACAGATGTTGTTTTATTCACGCCGATCAGCCTGGTTTTGAATGAGACGAACCAATTACAACTACCTTAACTTTCATTACCTGATAATTACAAGTGGAAAAATTTTCAAAGCAGCGTTTAACACAAATACTAAGCCATTGAAGCCGATGCCCAGCGTCGATTCGTATACATTGTTAAAAATCATTGCACCAATAAACATTGAAAAGATATTCAGAATCCCGTAGGCACAGAACAAGGAACCTGAATAAAAAAAAAAAGAAACCAAATTATTCGTTTGCACAATGTTAGAGGGGGATTGAGGCGTGCTTAAATGCGCATGGTCATAACCGCTTAGTTGGTCCTTGTATTACGTGTTTATAGCCTATTCTACTTTAAATATTGTCTCTTTTGTGTATATATATATATTTATAAATTTATTTGTTTTTAGTTTTCTAAATTTATTTATCTATTTATTTATTTTTTGAGGGCCGTAGGTTAGAAAACTGTAATAGGTTATTGCGCTTCCCTCTTTAAATAAAGTTATTGTATTGTATTGTATTGTATAGCTCTAGACGAAGGTGTGAAACAATGATTCATCGCGGTCATACGAGAGAAATTTGCAACGTTCTCCCGGCGTAGCTTATCGAACACAATCGAACTCATCTCACGCTTTATATAATTTGGCAACTGACCGACAAACTTGAAGTGTAAGAGTGTAAGTCTTATGTCCGTTACCGCCCTTAAGCACTGCCTGTTATTATGTACAAATATCTTATCAAGACAATAAATTTTGCCTGTGTATGCTCTGAGGTTTTATTGCGCCGTACATGTTTCCCAGTATTAATTGTGAATTTATCGATTTTGAATCACTTTAATTTAACACTAAAGATTTTATTTAATTCCTGGTTAATTGAAATATTTTTGTTTAATTTCTAACTGCTTCACAAACATACCAGAGGGAGATCTTTCCAATTCAATTGAACCTGGATGCGTTTTGTCCTTCTGCCGAACAAAACCTAACTAATTGCGTCGATTGAGTTCGATTGGTTCGTTTAAGTTCGGTAATCGAACTCACCCCGAACTCACCCAAAAGTTCCAGTTCGATTATGCTCGATTGGGTTTGATTGAGTTCGATTGATTTTTGTTCGGTTTTATTCGATTAGCTAACCCAGGAGTACTTCAAAGTTAAGCTTGATACTTTTACTGAAAGTTTAAGATATTATCAACACACTGCAAGGTATTAGAACTGCCATAAAGTCAACAAATGATCATGCTTACAAAACTGGCCCTTACTTGAAATGTACTCTTAACTTGGACTCAAATTCCAAAAATGAAGCATTTTCGTTAAATAGCAGTAGAGAAAATGAAGGCCGAAGTTGATATCTAAGAGCGCTATTATGGAAATATTTTAATCACAAGGCTGAAATCCGACGCGATACTTTTCGCTGTTGACAGAAATGTTGTAATTTTCACAACCAGACACGCGACATGACCCAATCGAACATAATCGAACTGGAACTTTTGGGCGAGTTCTAGTGTTATGGTCAGGGCTCTGACCATAACACTAGTTTCAGCTTTCAAACATTTACAACTTTTTATTGAAGTTTTAAAAAAATTAGGAAATTAAGGACAGTGCCCACTACTGGGAAGTATTTTTCCCAGAAAAGAAAACTGGGGTAACCACGCATTTTTCAGAGAAACTGTGCTTCAATATGGAGAAAAACGCTGAACAGGCATTTTTTAGAAAAATGATAAAAAGTTATTTATATCCCCAAATTCCAGAGAGTACCGTGTGAACTGGCACAAATTCAATGATAATTGTAACAAGGCTTCAAAATAAGCAACAAATAATAACATAACAACGGCTCCTTAAACATCTTTTTTTGAAATACGCAAATTTATTGGAAGAAAAGAAAGCGTTTGCATAAGAGAAGAGTTCAACTCCCACAGGATTGGTAAATCTTGGAACACTAACATGGCCGTCGTTTCTTTGTTTTGCAACACCAATATGGCCGCCGTGACGTCATGTGAAAATGCTCTGTAGTTTGATAGATCCGTTTCCCACTATTCATCCATTGAACACATCACGTTACCATAGCGACAGAATAATCTATTAAAACCTTCCGTACTAGAGTTAGCAACTCTGTGTTCCCCAATTTTTACAGCAAAACTTAGCACTGTAGTTTTAAATCTCACGTACTATTGCGATCTTACAGGCACATACCCTGTTCATCAGCTTCGACTGTGTTCGATGCAATGGCGATCAAAATTGGACCGACAGCTCCACTGAAAAATCCCAACGCAGGTGCTACAGAGTAAGACAAAAAATTGCAAAATTTAGAAATGAATTCATGACTGCGACTACCTGGCACAAATTAGAGGCTTGGGTGGAAAAATACAGTGATTTGTATCAAGTTGTCCAATACGGGAAAACGGGAAAGGTCTATTCAACTTTATCCATTACGTTACGCTCACCAGTAAACTTGGTTTTACATAGGCGGCATATATACAGACGGCTTCCGCTATTTCCTTTGCTTTAGGAGATGCTGCATACAAGCTTATTTGAATCCACTCACATCAAAAAATTTCACGACAGATGAAAACAAAACCCTGCCAACATACCAGTGAAAACCAACCATGTGCGGTCTGCAAACGCCAGGATTCCCATTTCAACCATCTGATTAAGAATCGCGATAAGAGAAGTTGTTTTCTCGCTGAAACAAATTCGGAACAACTTTACTCCCACCACTCCTCCAAATCCCTGAAGGAACATCCTGTACGCCAGGAAGTAACCCACAAGCGTTGGACCAAAACACAGCGGACTCCTCATCACGAAAAGAGCTGGAACAACTCCAAGTCCCTGATCCGTTACGGTTAGAATGGCTCCTGCAAACGCCACCAGCAGCAGAGTTTTTCGTGCACTCCCTGGGCGTGGCTTCTTGAAGACCTTTACAGGAATCTTCAAATTTTTGAGATCAAAAAACTTGTGTTTGACATTCGCGGTTTGATTATGGAGTTCTGGCACCATGAATACGGCCCAGAGGCCGCTCGCCAATAGACAGGCAAGGACGAGCCATGTTGGTGCAATAAACCCGAACCTATCAATCCACAAACCACTGGTCAGCTGACTAATGACTCCACTAGTGAAAACAAGCATCTGCATAATGGCTGAAAGTAAAACGAAACAGTTAGTATTCTCTCTATACTTCTTTCTACACATGAAGTACGGCTATACAGGCCTGAAACATCCGCGCTCCTTTTGGGTCCTTGCTCCCGGTCTTCTTCTCTTTACTGGCTTTTTCAAGCGCTATCCTGCGAATACAGCCGCCTTTCACTGTCCCTCGTAGCGGTGAACAACACCAAACGACTATTTTCTCGCCCCATGTAAGGGAATCCAAGACAGTCTTGGATTCTGGATTCCATGCCATGGATTCCGGATTCCAGGTAATGGATTCCAGAATCAGTGGGACTTCAGGACACCAGATTCTATCGTTAGCGGGATTCTGGATTCCTTACGATGTATTCCGGGTTCCAAAGCCCAGGATTCTGGAATCCACCAACAAGAATTTCTCGGTTTCCGGACTCCGGATTTCCTTTCATGGGGCAAGTTTTCGCAGGCTATTCACCGTGCCTGCGATAACAACTTCATGGCAACAGGCAAGAATGGGAACAGTCAGAAATAATCCCCTCTGTTAGCTATATTTGTGGGTGTTGTAATGCTCTTATACCTGCAATATAAAGCAAACTCTACAAATGTTTATATCATAGGTCTCACCTAATCTGAAGGCGATTCCTGTCTTCTCAGTTGTGTTGGCGATATACGACATGACGGCTAACGAGAGAGTCGTCAAAAATCCCGAACTTCCGATCAGAGCTGAGCCCACAAACATCACATACAAAGGCAAATCGAGGTACATTACCATAAGCATCACTACAGTTCCCAAAACACCTCCAATTTCAGGTGCTATGAGGGCAGGTTTTGTCCGACCTGTCTTATCAGTCCAAGGACCCCAAAATGGTGCAACAATTAGCGACGGAATGGTCATGAAAAAGGTGTTCCCTAAGTCTATTTTCGTGGCTAGACTTTGCACCTGCGTAATGACAAAAAGATAAACATAGGCACGTTTAACGTGCATAAGCTATTTTGAATGCTTCAATGTAACCGTATCAACAGTCTACAACTTTTTTAGTCGTAAATTAAGATTTTTGTATGAAATTGGGGATTGCTGTACATTAATGAAAACGCGAACCTCTGCGCACAGCTGAGCCGAGTCGACCCTCATACTATAGATTCACTTTTCTTTGTCTTTTCTTCTGACATCTGTTGCAAATTAAGTAAATTGTTCATTAAAAGTAGAGGAAAGACTCGAAGGTTTCAAGGTTTCTTCCTGGTTTCTTAAGATAATGATGCTCGTCGAATACCGAATAGCTAAGAAATGTCACGATTTTCATCATTTTTGTAGATGATTGCATCATCATTATTCACGAGTTTTTCACGTGTGATTGTACTTGATGAAACAGTCTTTAATTAACTCTGACGACTTGATTCTAAAAGTGTTCTAGGTTATTTCTTCTTAATTAAGAAAACAGCCTTTACTTAAGGCACTAGTAACTAAACTAAAAAGGTCTTCATACATTCAAGTTACAATTATCACTGTGAAAAGCCAGTCTGCATGAGATATACAGTCACGCAGTTTGCACGTGAAAGTGTTGGACTTTGTCCATTTTGTGGTTTGTACGTCAGGCCGGGAATTCGAGTTATCACACAGTAATCCAGTAAGCAGGATAACAAAAATAACTCACGCACACAATTTGCTCGTGAATATGTTGGACTTTGTCCCTTTTACAATTCGTAAATAAAAGAACGTAAATTGTTTGTGTAGGTAATAGCATGATTTGTAGTGATATTTAGCATAAGTGCCACGAGCGATATTTCGAAATTGTCATACGTAATTTCATGAGCCGTCCCGGCGAGTGAACGGTGAGACAATTTCGAAATATCACGAGTGGTATTTATGCCAAATATCACGTACAAATCACGCTATTATTTGTTTATACTACTACCCGCAAAAGGTTTGTAATTTTCAAATGTAGGTATTTCAAATTAAGCTGAAATACCACTGCTCTAAGCCAATCAAATTGCAGAAATTTCTCATGTAGTAATATAAACAAGAAAATTTGCTCAAACGATTTTAAGTAATCACCTGGCTTTACACAAAGTTAAAGGTGGCTAGCTTAACATTTATTTCCTTGCAAGAAAATAATCAAACTGCCGAAATATATTTCTACTCATATCATGTTATTCCACTCAATAAAACAATGTCTAATTATTTTGTCAACTAGCTTCTTCTAATTTTGTTCTCTAACGCTACTGTGTCTACTTAAGTTACGCATCTTAACTAAATAAAATACGTTTCAATAACTATAATGACTCTTAAGCAGCAAGCATATATTATGTTGTTCACCTAATTCGCGTTTTTTTTTTTTTTTTTTTTTGCCGGAACGAAAAAGGTCTGTTGAACTTTGCTAGCGAGAGAATAAAGCTTGTTTACGGGATTAACCCAGTACCCTGTACAGCTTTCGAAAAACATATCCTGCTTTTTAAACTGTCTAATACCACAATTTATAGGCCGCATACTCCCGCATAGGTCCATATCTAAATTTCAACTATTGTTTCATTGGAAGAACTTTGAAAAATACATGAAGTTTTGTACTCTACCTTGAAGCAGGTGAAACATCACTCATAAATTATTAAATACGTGCGAAAAAGTCACGTGAAACTACACATGAAATCTAACGCTACTAAAATCTGCAGGGAATCTACACCTTGCATTACACTTTGCCTAGTCCCTGCACGGCGTCTTTCCAGGCCCTCTAGGTAAATGCATTTCGGTGACGTATCCGAGACGAACGGCCGGGAGACGCCTAGACAATCTCGTAGTGAGCATGCGTGAGCAATTTTTGCATTTTTGAAACGTTCACACGTTAAACTGAAATAATCTATAAATAACCTTGCGCGTGAATATCCTTTGCTTAAAGATCGGCACTATTGACACTATTACAAAAATTACTAACCTGGTTTCTATTATTAAAGAACAAAAATATTACTTTGAATCGGAAAGAATACTACTTTATAACGTGCAAGTAATTTCTCCTTTAGTTCATTTTCAAATGAACCATTAAAATGATATTTCTTTATTGATAAAAAGATTTGAAACAGTAGTATGTTGACATTCTACCAAATTTGGAGACCAAATTCAACAGCCTGTCTGATTAGTTTAATAAGCTTCCAAATCCAAAAATTATAAGAGCAAGCGAAAATAGAGAAACGAAAGGTAGCTTTTCATATCGAAGAATAAATATAAACTCATTTCTTTAGCTTACCTTCCGATTCTTAATGAAATAATTTTTTTGCCGGACGCTGTTTTGCTTAGCCTACAAATAGTTTTTGAGATGAAATAAAGTTCAAATTAGTTTAATGAGATAAATGAAAAAGAAAGGCCAACTACTTTCAACAATGAAAATGTGCATATAATAAAAATGCTCGGTTTGCCTCGTCATCCTCTGTACTCTTCATGGCTGCTGGACATCTTTCATCAGCGCGGAAAAGTTATTGACAGCTCACCCGCTTCCAAAAGCTCCGCCCCAAGTGAGACAAAATGTCTCACTTCTCCGTAGTTTGTCTAGGCCTCAAAAACTTTCTCGAACCACGTGACCCCATTGGCCGCGCATAACAATGAGGCCTAGGGACTAGGCAACATTACACTTACATTACAATTTTCACAGCACGACCGAGAATTTTTCTGCCTGCTGCAATACTTGCGTAAGGTCATCAAAAGTCACGTGAAACTACACGTGAAATCTAACGCTACTAAAATCTCCAGGGAATCTACACCTCACATTACACTTACATTACACTTTTCACAGCACGATCGAGAAATTTTCTGCCTGCTGCAATACTTCGCGTGGCATTAAGCTGGCCGTCTCGCAAGCCGACCGTCTTCGCTCGGCTTACTCGTTGGCAATGAACTTTAAACATCACAGACTGTAAAAAGCGTTTGAATCACGAAGATATTTCAATGTTGTGCTTCTAAACACCTTAGCCATAATGAAAGACGAAAAGATTGTGAAGAATCAAGATGGCGGTCTCAAAGTGCCCCCAGTTTGACTTTAAGCAATGTCAAGTTGGGATGCCAAAATCTCATTGGTTCCTAAGAGTTAACCCATAGTACATTCAACCTTACTGGCTCCTGCAACAGAAATCCGAACACACAAACCCACAAAGCCACGGAGATACATACGCTCACACCACTGACATATGAGTTATTTTTTCAAAATAGCTCAACAAGAATGTCAAAGGTTAGGGTAAGTTTCTCAAATAAATAAAGCAAAATAAAAATTTGCATTGGGTCCTTCAGTTGGTATTATCCACTTGGTATCATCTCTGTGCGGTGATGAACTCAGAACTTCCTGGAAGCAGCCTCCCAGTTAATGGTCGGAGTACGACTTGAACTTTCTTAAGTAGTTTCAAATTCAAAGAAAAGCACTAAGGTTATTGGTGGAAAATTCTTTTGTCAAATTAGAGATTAGGGATGTGTCGTGATTAAGGGCGGAGAAAGAGGAAGCCCCTGAGACCCTTATGTGCCGCCCTCAGATTGCCAAGTAAACTCAAAAAATTTAATCCGTCTTACTTCTTCCTCTAGTCGTTTTAAAGTGGCGTTTGCTCCAAAGACGTCTTCGTGACACCCAGGACCTTCTTTTTCCATTATTAGCTCCTTATATGGAAACCCTTTCCCGTCACTGATGACACTGTACACATATTGCCGAAACAAAGGCAAGCTTGTGAAGAGGCCGTATGCATAAAATAGTATGATAGGCTCCACTGTTAAGAAGCTTCTCCAGCTCAGAAGTTTTTGTTGAGGCATCTTGTTATCGCAGAGTAATAAGAAGACAACTGCACGATCTCTGGGAGAATATCTCACTTGAAATAACCCTGAAACTAGATAAATCGAATCATTATTCATTCAAAATATTTCCACGTTTGTGATTGGCTTACATCCCCCAGCTAAGGTATAGTAATTTTTTCGTAATCAGCCAGCCTTGACCAAATTTGGAAAATGCTGGCCGATATCAAGGCAATTGACGTCAATTGTACTGATAGCTACAAAAACGGGACTGACGGTTTGGTGCCTCAGCTGTCTCGATCTGAGTTCACATCATTCCAAAGACCAATCCAAAAATTGCTACATGTATTCAAAAGCAAAATTTGTTATGTTTTTAAAGATCTTTTAGGTCGTGCCTTGGTTTTCTTGGCTTTTGGTTCTTCTTAAACGAACTTTTCTTGCAAACTTTTTTAAAGGGTCATCCGTAAATTTCTAGTCACAGTTGTTGTGCTGGTTTAAATCCTTTCAGTTTCTTGTGGGGACTATAAATGTGTCTAGACCACAACAATAAATCTGGAAGAACCATAATTAGAGAAACCATCAAGTAAGTTTTTTGGCCCCGCTATGTGTCACTGACTGGCTACCAAAAACATGCCATTGATAGACAGGTTTTGCAAATGGATGAAAAAATTATTTTTGGAAATGAGCAAAAAATTATTTTTGGAAATGAACAAAATTTTTTTTTTTCTTTATTATTATTATTATTCTCCGTCCGCCGTCCGCCTTTCACTCTCCACCGTCCACATATTATCCTTTTACACGGTCCTAAATGAAGATCCCAATCATTTATTTATACGGAGGTTTATCTAGTCTATGAGTTTTAAGGCTAAACTTGTTTTTACTGGGCTACCTGTGGCAAGCCCAGTTATAAAATGGGATTAGTTTTTCCTTCTGGCCCAAATCGCACTCTGGCGTGTTCAGCGCGAGCGCAAGATATAAGTGTACGTATGCGTAGAATGCGTAGAATAGATCAGCGGACTTCAGCAGAGTACATTCCGAGTAGCTCGAAACGATTCAATACTATCAAGCAATCTATCTTCGATGGAAGCATACGAAAGCAAACATACGAATGTAAACGCTGTTGATGGTTAGCCCACAGTAAAAGATGGCAAGAGTACATTTTGGAAGTGGTATAGATCATGACGAGAGACCCATTTACAAGCGAACTCTTCCGAGTGAGTCTATCAGGAAACCTTGTACAGTTAGTGCGATACGTACTGAGTTGTACTGAGTTAGAAGCGCTAAAAGAATCACCCGAATTAACTGTTAAACTCAAACTGTTCGGTACGTAAACTTTACAAGCAACTTGATCAGTGAAATTCAACAGTGTTTTTGATCAACACAACAGCCTTATGGAAGAATTCAGTACTTCAGTAGCCAGCTTTTAGGTAACATATCCTTGCTTTCAGGGGCACCCAAAGTCAATTTTCGGAAAATATCTGTTGGAAGACGATTTGAGATCTAGAATTTTCGGAACATTTGTTGTAAAATTTCTTACTTGCCTGCCTCTCCTAGGATTTTCGAACATCTAAAAAATGGTATAATTGCTCATTGTTAACGGATTTTTACCCTAAAAAGGCCATCTAGAATATTAGGGAGCCTTTTTCTGCCTGACATTCAGGTTCGAAAAGTTAAGTTTTGATCCCTATACTATTCGGATCATAAGACTTTCAGCTAGTAAATCCGAAGAGATGAAAAATATGCCTATATCTACCGTTTAAATACTAAAATAGTTTAACAATGCTGTGTTTAAGTGTTTTTGAACTATATTCTCGTTGGGTGCCCCTGTGCTTTTACGTTTAATTTTTGTATTAATTTTATCTTTCTTTGTTTTTATCATCATTTATACAATTATTGTAATCACGTATTTAGTGATTAATCTTCTAATGTCGAATGTAGATGTTTATACAGAGGCTGTTGTTATTTTAATATGTATAAAACAAATCAATTGACCGGAAATGTTTACGTCTGTGGGTGTTCCTGATAGGATTTGATTTTAGATGTAGTTGTACTTACCAAGAACGAAATCCTGGGTACTGGGTAATTTTTGAAAATTAATTCTCAGCAAGAAAAACCAATGTGTCCTAGTGTCGTGAATGTCGTACGGCCGTTCTTCACGATATCACAGTTTTAAGCAAAAACAGGGTTTATTTCACAGCTTCAATCCTCACAGTACAATGGCTCGCTCACACACCACACGAAATCGTGACTTTCTTGAATCTATAAGCTTTAGTTTTTAATCCGATCTGTCAGCAAGTTCTCTTTCGCTCAGTTACGTTGTTAATTTAATTGAATACTTCAAATGTTTAACCGCGTAAAGTAGTAAACTCTGACAGACGAGGGAAACTATTTAAAATAACAAAGTTTAAAAGGAGTAAAATCACGCCATCTCACAATCACGCTACACTCTTGCGTCATAACACCTAGTCTCAAAAATTAGTTCCCGCGAAACAGAAAAAATGCCCAATCCGCAAAAATAAACACACGGTACACCCACCTAGGTTGCTTTTTATCGACCATCAATTATCATTTTCATTTATTTATAGTTTCAGTTCAAACAATTTAATGAGACCCGTGGGTTGGGTTGGTGTCTGGCATGGGAATGGGTTTAGCAGGGTTACTTCTTCCTTTCATTAGCTGTCAGCTGTCTGTTGTGGTAAACTTCTCGTTTTCATACAATATATAATTTCTATTTAGTCTAGGTTTTATGGCAGCCCAGTATACACCTTCTGGTGTCTAGTCTTTAAACTAATCTGTGACCCGTGGATGCTCGTATCGTATTTGAATTGTAATGAAAGATCCCGCTCTCGTTGACATCCGGTCCACTCCATAATTAATCGTTATTGTTAGCCATTAGCAAGAGATACGAGAGGCGAAACAGCAGTTGCACATTGAGAAGGCATTCCAAAAAATTCTCATGATTTGGGCTAACCTTGATTAATGATCTGTTTTAACATGCTCTTAAAACGGAACTATTTAAAAGTTAAGTTAAAACTAGGTTGCGTGATGTGTCAGGATCATGATAGTGGAGGCTCATGGGTCCTTAAGACCTGTCGGTTCTTGTTCCTAGTGAGCATGTTAGCAAAGAAAACGCGGTTAACAAAAATCGGCCCCATAACAATGAAGAAAACAAGTCTTCATGAAATGGAATTTGATTCAATGTTTGAAATTTGCAGCTGAACATATTGAAAATTGTGATGATGTGATAAATAGGAACAGGTCGCTGCATGCATCACAGCATCGCAGTGACTCAATAAGTCAGGATTTATTTGCTGGGGGCAAACGTAGTTGTGCTCACGGTGGTGCAGGCAACCGTTCGGAAAACCCTATGATGCAAAATTAATATAGTCATTCTTTATTGCGCCCAGTTACCCTGCCTTATCTGCTGATCTTAAATTAACTTGTCCAACACTTTCACTGTGGACGACGTTGCTTGCCACCTCCGTAAACGACCCGAAATGTCAGTGGTAGTCGGCTCCTGGTACTGATCACCTACATCCACTGACATCACGTGCCTAAAAACTTAGGCTACTGCCTACATCTTTCACAACGCTAAAGAAGCAATGCAAAAACCTACCTTGATATACTACGATGATGGTTGGTGTCGATGATCGTATTTACTTGTTGACTACCGGTAAATAATATCGGTAAACGAAATAAGGAAATATGGATTGCAAACGGCAGTTTACACAGCTCTGTGTCACGCAATTTGGTTTTATAATATGTAATCTTAGGAGAATAGCTTGGCACACACGTAACCAGAGTTGTGGACAAAATAAATGGGAAATCTCCCCTCCCCACAAGTCAAAGAGGGGCTTCATCCTTGATTTCGGAGGAATGGGGGTGGGATGGTTGCTGTTCCATTTTATTCTGTCCAAGGTGGTTGCAGGTTCGACATACACTTCGCGTACTTCGTCGTTTTTTTCAGAGATTATAGAGCAAGCGAATTACGCAAGTGTGCGTGAAAATCTCCTGCCATAATGAAGTTGACGCGATGTCACTTTTTTCGTGGGTGGCGTTATCGCGCGCGCGCGTTAACTCTCCGTGGTCTAATCTCGGCCTTGAGGCTTCTTCAGTTTTCTTCGCACATTCGAAACAAAGTATTCTCTATTGTTCTAAAGGCCATATGACGCGTTTCCTCCTTGACTTGGGCGAATGGGGGTTTGCTGTTCCATTTTTTTCAGTCCAAGATTCGGTAGGTTTGAAAGAAACTTGAAATCGCTTATCTAGGCGGAAAAACCTGCCGTTAAGAGGGAAAGCGCGGAAATATTAAGTGTGCCATGGTGCTTATCCTAACCCGTAAGGCTGAGTATTTTTAAGTTAAGGGGTGGGGCCATGATATTCCTACTAAAGTGTTTAGATATGGCTAGAAATGTATTTAAAACAATTATCTTTTAATAATGAGCGATGCAGCAAATTTTTAATAAAGTTATTTTCACTTTTGTAAGTTATGAATCTGATGATCTACTGGGACCAGGGGCCCGTTTCTCGAAAGTCCCGTAACTTTTCGGGCCCGAAATCAAATATTCAAATCGAAATATAAAGAATAAGAGCGCTGCTCCTGGCTAGCAAACTACTCCATTTCGTTTCACTAACTGATAGTTCTATCATGCTAGATGCAAAACATTTGAAACCTCGATCTTTAATATAAACGGAGACGGCTTACCGGGCCCGTTAATTATCGGGACTTTCGAGAAACGGGCCCCAGGTAATATTTTTTTCTCGACCACCTCAAATAGCGGGACTGGCCAAAGCCGGCCCACAGCCCTCTCTGCAGTTTCTCCCTGTTTTACTCGAAGTCCATATGGGTTCTAGTCTCCCTCGCAGCCGTTTTTAGTATCGTCACGCAACGCTCCTCCCCAGAGGAGCGTTGCGTGACGATACTAAAAACGGCTTCGAGGGAGACTATATGGGTTCCTGCTTCCATTAATTGTACTTTCTTAAAACTTGTGGGACATTTTTGAGAGGCAGGTTATTTAGACAGAGGAGAAATTCTTCTGAATATGCGATATTTCCGAGTCAAAGCATGAAAGGTTGGCGCCATTTTTTCCGGATTATTTGGTCTACGAATGATAAAGCTTACCCTTTTTCAGAGGCTACCAAAAGGATTTTCTGTTCAAAGCAAGCAAAGACAAAAATAGACAAGAGCCTGTATAAACTTAAGACATAAGGTCATTACGTACACTTGTCACTGTTCGATATTTAAGACTAACTATTATTATATGGTTATGTACATGTCTCAAAAGGACTGGAAACAAACAAATTCAAGAATTTGATTGGCTTAAATCGATCTTGACCGCGGTCTAGATTTCCCCATCTAGACCGGCATCTACAACGATCTTGTTGTAACAGTTGTCCTCAAAAAGTTACCAACAAAGAATATGAAAAAATTGGCTTGTTTGTACAAAGTCTGTCCAAAGCTGGACTTTGAACAGTAATTTTCGTCCCGTTTGGACTGGAGACCAGTGACAGAAGAAAGTCAGCTAAATGCTTGAGCCCGCGCAAGGAAGCAAATAAAATTATTAATGTTTTTTTCCTTTGCTTTCTCGTTTGGCCATATAATAAACATCTTATTAACCGAGCTAGGTCGGTCTGTATGGGAGAATCTTGACCTCGGTCGGTAGTACAGACGTCACTGCGTTTGGTTACGGTGTACTATTTATCACAATGTTGGAACCATCCCTTGATTCCCTAGCAAAGCCTTGGTTTCTTCGGCCTGGTCGTCAAAACGTGGTAGTTCAATAAAGCTGTTGAGGGAAAGATGAACGGAATCAACAAATGCAAGACAGCAGCAAACTGATCCTTATGGCAAAGGGAAGAGGAACAAAACAAAACAAACGTAAAACAAAATAAAAAACATTTTTTTAATATTACTTGTTTTGCTTTTCTTGTGTCATGTTCTGCGCAAGGGTCAGTTTGCTGCTGGTTCTTCAATTTTATGTTATTCATTTCTTTATCTATTTCTTTTGTTTTATTTTTTTACTGATTCCTCAGAGCTTCATTTGTTTATTCATAGTCGACATAGTCGTGGTTTTGCTGTCCAGTTTGAGAGAAATCATGTCCTTAGTACCAAGAAAACCTTGAAAATCACCGTAAAGGTGTTTTTCTATTACCAGATATTCTTTACTAGTCAAGAATGAGCCACGTAAGCACCCTTTCACGATATATTGTTATACATTTGTTGCTTTTCCTTCTTTTTGGGTCATAACGAACTCCAAGCCGAGTAAAATATTGACAAAGCACAAGTTTTTCATTTTCAAGTCTGATTCCTGTGCAAAATACAAACTCCATAAACATATCTTTAATTTAATGCCATCAATCTGTTTTGAGTCATGGTATTGCCTATCCGTTGTCACTTTTAGTTTTTTCGTTTATCTTTCGTCAGTTTTAATAAGTCGTTTGTTCTTTAGATGTTATTTTTGTTCTTGTTGTTGTTGTTGTCGCTGCTCGGTAACTGTTTTTATTTTAGCTATTATGACCAGTTTGTAAGTGCTGAACTAACGGAATCATCAACCGACGCTTACCTGACCAAAACAAAAGGAATGATAACCAACCCGGCGCGGATTACGAACACTAAGCCCGGGAATGTCAGCCCCAGGGTCGCCTGGTATACATTGTTGAAAATCGCAGCGCCCACAAGCTGCATTACAGCGGTAACAACACCATACACAGAAAACAGGGAACCTAAAGGATAGAAAATTCACAATGACGTCAGCACTTTCGAACCTCTATAACGATGAGACCTCTCTAAAACAGACACCTAGACCTGTTTCCTATTGTTATTCAGTCATCTTCTTTGACGTTACATAAGGCGCATAGCTCTCTAAGTCGGACACATGATGGCATTCCCAGCGATGTCAGTTTTGAAGAGAGATTTGACTTTTGGCACTTAAAGCAGAGACTTTTAAGTCCATGGACGACTTTACTCAATAGTTGAGAAAAGCGTCATTTTGGCTTTCTACGAGTAGAATGTTTAACAGAAGTTTTAGCGCTTTGTGATTGGAAGAGAGCTTAAATTCCTTCAATAAGAATAACTGTGCTAAACTTTCCGGTGATAAAAAAAAGTACAATAAAGCTTTCCGGGTCCCGGGTCCTCATAGTCGTCCTCGCCCTTAAATCTTACTGTCCTGTATTGGGCGAACTTCCCCGTTTACATGGGCAAACAAAGATAGTTATATTTGGCAATGAACTTTTTTGGAAGGAAATTGAGCAATTTGAAGTCGCGTATAAGATAAACAAGCTGGGATATTGGCCCGATTTGATTCGAATGCTAAGTTTCCTAAACGAGGCACGCGACTGAAAACAGTGTACGCCATGTGCAAATGTTAACGAGTTTGGTCAGAAGCTAAGAGGGTAGTAACTTAATGACATGTCTATCAGCAATGTCTACAAAGAAACTAGTTAGTGAATTACCTTGTTCGTCCTCTCCCACAATCTTTGACATTTCACCCATTAGCACTGGGTCAGGAAGTGCATTGAAGATACCAACGGTCCCAACTGAAATTAGCGAAATAAATTAAATTAATTTTATTACCTTAATTTTTCAGGAAGCTTTGTTTGACCTACAGGGGCGGATCCAGGATTTTTTTTAGGAGGGGGTGCACTCGTCTCTTGCTCAACTTCAACACCAATCAACCACGTAGTTTTTTTATTTTGCAGAATACCAGTTGTATTAGAAAACCGCAGGTCATCTTGGGGGGGGGGGGGTGCGCACCCCCTGCACCCTCCCCCTAGATCCGCCCCTGACCTAGATCTACAGTCAAATAGCCCCTACCTACTTTTTAGTGTTAGTCGATATGAGATTACGTGAGTGCGCGCGGCGTTGATCTGGCCTGGCCCGCTCGCTTTATTCATCTGGCCGCGGTTGTTCAAGCATTGGATAGCGCTATCCACAGGATAAAAATCTATCCAATGGATAGCACAATTGGTTTCCCTAATACTTATCTGCTGGATAGTGATTTATCCGGTGGATAGAGCCATCCAACGTTTGAACAACCGGGGCCTGCTCAATTATTTCCTTTAGGTAAGTTTAGATTAACTGTCTTGTTTTACACCGTAAACTTCCGGGTATACGCCCTGGACTTATAAAACTTTCTAACCGGACTAAACAAGTGTTTCCGAAAACAAGCTACATAGCAGTGCGGCTGTGCTGATCAAAAGAATTTTGAATTTGATTGCTTTTTAACCTTCAAAACCTCGTAAAAAGTCGCATTCATTTCACTGCACGATGTTAGAGGAGAGCTTTTAACCGGATGTATTTTTTGTTGTTGTTTAAAGGTAGATGGGCCTATAAAAGCGGGGGGGGGCTTACGGGTATGTACACGATCTTTTTATCATTTTACATTGTAATTCATTTTTGTCTTATTATATATCTCTAAGTTTGTAACACAGCTTCAATGCAAATCAGCGATCAACTCTTTGAATTTTGTGTTGAAATAAAGTTCCTTCAAGAGGAGGGCCTAATCTGGTTCCCAGACCTCTTAGTGTAAGACAGAGAGAGATCTGGGAACGTTAATAATAAAGATACCCCGGGACGGGTCGGGAGAGAGGTTGTTTGAATAAAAAAGACCTTTTAAAAAGATTTTAGATCTCGAATACGATTTTATTTGTTATATTCACTTACCAACAAAAATCATCCAAGTACGATCTGAAAAAGCAAGTAGAACCGATGCACTCATAAACGTCACTATACCAATGCGCACAACATTCATCTCCCGAAAACAACGTCTAAAGATCTCTACCCCGACTACGCTTCCAATACCTTCCACAAACATTTCAAACGCGGAGTAATAACCCATCAACGTTGGGCGCCAACAGAGAGGACTTCTTAATACATAAAGCGTCTCTACGCCATCGCTACCCACTCTGGACAAGAATATGACCCCCCCACAGAACATCAACAGAAAGAGATTCTTTCTACCAGCTTCTCTTTGCAATCGGAACAAATTGACAAAACCCTTGATATTTTCAGTGCTAAAAAAGCTAGCTGACGTGTCTGTGACTGGCTTTGGAATTTCTGGCACGCAGAAAAGAGTCCAGACCCCAGCGAGAAAATAGCAGGACCATATAAACCAGACGGATGGGATGAAACCTACATATTCCATCCAGAATCCGCTGGTCAATAAACTGATGACACCAGCTAAGAAAATTGCCAGATACAATATAGCTGTAAATAAGAGAAAAAAAATACAAAATTAATTTTTAACAAGATTCTGCAAGTCTCTCGACAGCTGCTGTCAGACCCATTGTGTATAACGTTTAAATACGCAAAAAGTAGACATACTGTGATGGTGTGACAGTGGAGGATACGAATATTATAATCAAAATGAGATCGAGATTTAAAGGCCTTCATCACGTCAAATCATGGTTGACTAAAAAAATTCTGTGAAATACTGTTTATTTTATCAAGTTTAGTCTTAGCTACTGACCTCGTTACAGTAGGCTTCTCACCTATTCGAAAAGCTCTTTCTTCTTTCTCAGTAATATCAGCTATGTACGCCGTGGCTCCAACCATCAAAACTGTAGCAAAACCAGAGAACCCACTGATTGTCGCGGATAAGAATAAGACATATACAGACCATTTGAAGTACATCACCAGTAATGTGACTATCATCTCTAGGCATGCGCCTAAGATAGCAAACTGCAGGGCGGGTTTTCGCTTCCCTCCCCTATCTGTCCAGGGTCCCCACAGGGGAGCCAAAAGAAGAGAGGGGATGACAAGACAAAGGTTGTAGATTAATCCGATTTCAGAGGCAAGACTTTGAACCTGAACAAATAAAGCATTAAAAACATTTAGCTAAGAACATCATCTTACTTGGATTCAAATACATAATTGAGGATTACTCCTATGCATCAAGCCGTTTCTTGAACGGCACGCTTGGCCAGGCCGGTGAGAGAGCATCTGAGATTTGCCTGTTGGTAATGTACGAAATTATCTCTAAAATGTATGAAATATATCTCTAGATATCGTACCAAACCACACAAGCACGTGCGCGGCGTAGGACTGCAGCGGTAAAATGTCTCGAGTTTGTCTCATGTCTATTTCTGTGAAACTGTGCCTATAGCTAAAACGTTCGCCTCACCTCTTCTTCAAGACGCCATAGTGACGAGTTTCTGTTTAAATTTTCACCTCCACAACTTTCTTTTTCTCGACTGACATTTTTATACGGGAAGCCCTTCATTTCACTGACTCGTTCGTACACGTATATTCCACCAACTGGTATATACATTAGAAAGCCGTAGAAGTAGAAAAAAACTACAGGTTCCACCGTCAAATACTTTCTCCATAGTGGAAGAGTGTTCCTTGATGGAATCTAAGAGAGTATAAAAGGATCCAAAACAATTGGCTTTCAGGGATAAGGACAACAAGAAAATCGTGGCTACTTAATTACTTCCCATATTTTGCATTATGATTGCTTTTTGCTCCACTAAAAACTCCCACTGAATTGTTGAGAAAATTACCCACCGTTCCCCCGAGACGACACATTATGTGATCCCTCCCCCTCCCAATTCAATGGTGTTTGCGTCTCTTCAGGGTCACCCTGACTGTGGCCTTTCATTAACTAGCAATAAATAGCGGGAGAGTTGGGGAGAGGAAGAAGAGGTTTTTAATTTCGTCTTTTTTAGATGAATGCAAAAGGAAAGACATTCTCAATTCAAACTGGGGCATTTTCCCGTGCAGTTTTCTCCAAGATAGTGCAGTAGACAAAAAATATTTCAACGTAGAACGTACGCGTTGTATTACTGATAATTTTCTTTGCCTCAACTGCCTACCTTAATGACAGGTTTTAGTAATGACGTTTGACTTTCGTGAGAACACGTTTGGATGGGGTGTGGGCAACCAGAATCGGAATTGCGAAGCTGACTTGTTGTGCTTGCGTGACTCATTTTGATGAATCAGATCAGTCGTGCTGGCTCGTCACGCCTGCAGTTTTTTGGCTGAATAGCGGGTGTCTAACATAAGAGAGAGAGTTGGAGAGAGTTAAAAGTTGTGGTCCTCTTTATATAGTTTAGGTAACAAGTAGGCTCTAAAACAGTGGTCGTAGGTGTATCGTAAAATTTCTTGCATTTTAATCGATTTCTGCCCTTATGGTGGATTTATCAATCTAAATGGTACCCAATCCAAATATCTCTAATAATAGTGACATACCATATGATAAAAGAGTGCTTGCAATTACCTTTTGAGTCGAAACCCGGTTAAATTTTCTGAGGTTATTTACCTTTCTCTCGCTTTGACTGGAATGTCGTGAGATTTCTGTGCCATTTGTCCACAATTACCAGTGTCTAGTCTGTTTCCGAGAAGCCAGCTGTGTCTAATATGGCGTGTTCAAGTTGATGTTCTTCAGGTGCTTCGTCACGCGTTCCTGCTCACGATTTTTGGGAGCAGATTGCGTGACGATGCCCAAAGAACGTCTGCAAAGTGCGACGAATCTTTACCGTTCCGAACCGTACATGACTAGAACAGCTCGTCGCCACCGTTAAGATAATTTTTGCAACACTGACAACTGTAGCAGTTACGCTGGCGAGAAAGACTGTGACCAAGCAAGGTTGACTGATTCCAAGAGAACTCGGAAATATAATGATACTATTTATTTATCAGTAATAATGTGCAGTTTGTGGAATCGTCCTAAACTTTCATTAAAAAATCGTCTTGAAAGAAAGTGCTCAGCTCTTTCGCTTGTGATTTACATCTTTATAAACAACAATCGCAATAGTAACTAGTGAAACGGTATCAATACTTTGTCATAAAATGTTAAGCATTTATGCAAATTATGGTCGAAACTGTTGGACACTCAAACTCAACTGTAACCGGAAATTAGTCACCGGAAGTGCATGTGCGAGATTGTAAAACTAGGTCGAGGCTGATTGCACTATATTGCATCAGCCCACATCATGGTGAACGTTGTGGAAGAAATCTATCAGTGTTGGAACAAAAACTGAATTGTGTTTTACGTAAAGTTTGTCTTATCCACCAAGAAATATGATGATGATGATGATGATGATGATGATAAACTTTATTTCAGTGTCAGGTCTTCTAGCTGGCCATGTACGGCCTACTTATAGGGGACACTAAATTAAAATACTATCAGCTCTAACTAATTCATATAAAAAAAATATTTACAAAGAATAAAATTTACAAAAATATACATACTAAAAAAAAATCGATAAAACGTATTCGGATTTATCATATAAAATAATAGTTATTGATTAAGAGGTGTCCTTTTGTCTAGAAAGCAGTTTTTACAGCCCTCTGTGATTACTTTTTCAAGATCTACCTTACTACTTTTCTTTTTAAAGCTGTAAATTGATTCTGCGTTCTTTACATCCTTGCTTAATTTAGACCATATTGCTGGACCCACATATCTTAGGCTATGTCTCCCGTAAGTTGTTGTGTTGTATCGAGGAATAAAAAGTCACCAGAATTTCTGAGCCCATAGCGAGGTTTATCGAGCTTAAAAATGTCCTTTATATACGGAGGGCATATATTGTACTTTGCCTTATACATAATTATGGCTATATCCTGCAATCGCCGACAGCCTAGTGTCGTGAGTTTAGCTTTTCTCAAGAGCTCATCGTATATGAACTTCTCGTATCGCAGTAGACGGCTCTTGACGCTCGCTCTTGTACTCGCTCCATCTTTCTGCTATTCGACGCCCGACAGAAATGCCACACTGTATGACAGTATGTAATTTGAGGCATTATGAAAGAAATGAAAATCTTAAGTTTGGCTGATGTTGTTAACATGTTTCTAAGCCTCATCAAAACTCCAACCTTTCTAGATGCGTTTTTACATACCTCTCCAATACGCCTACTAAAATTCAAATGCTCGTCAATGGTCACTCCCAATAATTACATTTCAGAGTGACTCTCAATATCATTGTTCATAACATCAATTTTCATCTGTTTATTTTTATGCTTCGACCCGAGACTCATCGACTGAAATTTTTCATGATTACACATGAGTAGATTGTCCTTATACCAGTACGTGGCCACGCTTGCAACAGAAACTACTGTGCCAATAGTCAGTTCCTCGAAGGCGACAGTTAATAGGGTCGTTTGTACGTTTGCAACTGAAGTTTACAAAAATGACAGTGTACTTTAGTCAACTTTTGACGTACCGTTGACTACGAGAGAATATGAAACGAAAATACACACCTGACCGCATCTGATCTGACTTGCATCAATCTACATTTTCGCACATCTTTACGTACAGACTGGGTGCAGAGGATATTAGTTTTTAACTTAATAAATTCTTCATTTAATCAGTCACTGATAAATTGCGTGGGTTTGCGTCACATGAAGACCACGTTTTCGTTCGAAAGCAGGCCTGGTTCGAAAGCGTGTGTTTGTATACAAAGAGATCTCGTGACTATTTATTATGCATGACTAGCCAGCTTCAGGCTTAAATTGCGTGGGTTTGCGTCACATGAAGACCACGTTTTATTTATTACAGATATTTATTTATTTATTACAGATTCACTCTATACATTACAAGCAAATAATGAAATGAAATAAGCTAACGCTACAATAAAAATAAAAATAAAATAAAAAGTTGTGGAGAAGGAGACAACCAAAAGCGCCAATGCGCCATACTAGGGATGCCCCCACTAATTAAAATATAAGAAAAATATATGCAAATAGAAATATAAATGTTCTAGTTGTCCTTAATAAAGCTTAAAACATTTTTAAAAAGTTGCAATACTCTTTGATTCTCTAATATGATTGGGTAAACCATTCCATTCATTTACAATACGGTTAAAAAAAACTATATTTAAAACCATCAGTTCCACTAAAATTTGGAACAAGGTCCTGTGTGTCATTTTTCCTCAAGTTATAACCTGTATTTCTGTCCTCACAAAATATGAGCTTATTTGAAATGTCAATATCATAATGTCCATTAATTACATTAAAAAAATGTAACGTCTCCAGAGAACCTCCGTATTAGATAATGACAACTATTTTCGCTTAGATAGTCTAGTATCATAATCATCATCAGACCTAGTGATCCATCTGGTAGCTCTTCGCTGAACAGCCTCCAATTTATCAATGTTACGTTTAGTATGAGGGTTCCAAGTTTCGCATGAATATTCTTATAAAGGTCTCACAAGACTACAATAAATTGTGTTCATGGTATCAAAAGCGCGTGTTTGTATACAAAGAGATCTCGTGACTACCTATTATGCATGACTAGCCAGCTTCAGGCTCACAAGAAGGGACCACACGAAAACATCTGGGAGCCAATCTGCCAAATCACGCCTAACACTCCCGGCCTGCTCCTCGGTTAGATTGAAAACAACAACTAACTAAAGCACTTCGTTTCTAGCGGCCTTTTCTTCAAAGGGAAGGGTCCCTTGGAACGAAATTGCTAGTCAAAGCACAGTGCTGGGGTTTACAATACAATACAATGGAACATACAGCCCCGTTACAAGCGTCATGCCACTGCCGTGCCGAACTCAAGAATTCGACTTAAAGCACGGCAGTAGCGCGATGTATGGTACTACCGCTGTACCCCGAGCCGAACTCTATTCATACATTATAAATACACTAGAATACATTACGTAACCTCCTTCGTGTTTTGTTTCGGCAACAGCCGACTTCTATTCGACTGAATTAAATTCGACATCTGAAACCAAGTCGTGCTAGTGCTGCAGTCGAGCTACAGTTGAGCCAGCTTCAAGCACGGCAGTAGCACAACGTTTAAAACGGGGCTTAGCGATATGGATTAGTCTCAGTAAAAGAAAACTTCACCAGTTTATTTTCAGGTATGCCACTGCAAATAAAATAAATAGAATATGTGATAAAAATAAATAAGACACTGTACAAAAGCTATTTACAATCGTATCAAACTTAGGAATGCTATCAAAAAGTATTCACAAAGTCGATTAAAAGGACCATTCGTAGATACTATTACAATAATCAGAACTATCCTTTCCCCTCAAGGTATATGTTGTTTCTCTTGATGAGATTAACTGGTTCAAATACTCCGGGTTTGTTTCATGATTTACCAGTTTATAAACCGAACAGAGGATTTTATGCAATCTTTGCTCTATCAGGGTTCTTCCGCACCTAGAAGCTTAAAATAGTTCTTCATATATAGTATGTCTACTCTAAAAACAAACCGAACGGCTCTTTCATTTACTTTTTACCAGTTTTTTAGCTTAACCCTTATTGGAGAGCAAGGGATGGCGCAGTGGTGAGAGCTCTCTTCTCCCAGTTCGACTCAGCCTGACGTCTACGCCATATGTGGGTTGAGTTTGTTGTTGGTTCTCTCCTTTGCTCCGAGAGGTTTTTCTCCGGGTACTCCGGTTTTCCCCTCTCCTCGAAAACCAACACTTTCAAATTCCAATTCGATCTGGAACGCACGGACACGTTTAAACGAGTTCATGTGAACTCCTAGGTGCTTCGTGGGTAAACAAGCAATTAACAATTTTTTTTTTTTTCAGAAATGCCAGGTGCCATCACCATGCATAGCCTGGTATTTAGAGTGCAGGTTTCTCAGTTTCATGCCACTTTCCAAAAACTATTTTATCTACTAGGTATGATAAGTCAGAGTCTACCGGTTTCTCGGACTATCAAAGGATCCTTATCGGCAAAGAATATCTGTCACCTGCGTATGTCGATAGGTTGCTTCGTTTTATCACGTAAACGAGATCTAACGAGATCTTTCATAAATATGTTAAATAGAGCAGGGCCAAGTAGGGATCCTTGGGGAATTCCAGCCGTTATATCCTGCCCTGTCGAATGCGGAACGTTTCCAAGTTTTACCCGTTGCCTTCGATTAGAAGGATAGTCTCACGTTCGCACTTCATTTTAACGCCAGACGTTTGCATTCGCGTCTGACAATACGTGGGTCAATTCCTGGGTAACGTATCACCTGTTAGTGGCGAGAATATTGGCTCTGAAGCCCAGGGTTATGTCCCTGATAGAATTTTAAGGGGAGATTACAGTTGAATTTTGGGGGAATTGGGGTTGAATTGAAAATGAAAGAAAGAAAGATAGAAAAGGGTAATTACACGTAAGCCAGTTAGTCCGCTCTGAATTGGCTCAGGGCCACCTTGTTGCGGTGACGGACTCTCTGGTCTTTTTGTCTATTAATTATTCACTTCAAATAATAATTTTTAACTACCCTTAAATCCAGTATTTTCTCATTTTTCCATAACTTTTAACATTTGCCCTTCAAAGTTTTATTGATTACAAATATTCTAGCTTCACCAAAAAAATCTCAAAAACTCATCGTTCTAAGAACTTCAAAATGAGTGATTTATTTTTAAAATCAAATGATATTTTTACAAGATTTTCAAGGAAAAGTGCTCAAGTATAATACAAACAAGGCGTTTAACTGTAATCCGCTCTTAATACTGTTTATAAGCTTTTCTTCCTCGCTGTCGCAGTTTCAGCCCATCTTTGTGTCGTTTGTCGCCATTCTAAGCTGTCTTGAGTCGCTGTTTCAGGACCATGTCGCTTGTCGGGATTTTACCCTTGTGGATAGCACTATACAACCATATCGTGATTGGACTACCTTTTTTCCTACCTTATATCCCCTTTATTTCGAGTGTATTTAGAAAGAAAAAAAAGATTCAAATGCTTCGGGAGCCCATAGGACTTGTACAATACAATCACATTCTGGAGTGAATTTAATTGTTGTTGGTTGCTGTTGTTGTTGTTGTTTTTGAAAGAGCTGACTAAGTTTTTTCAGCTACCTTAAAAGCTCAAATAATAGAATTATTTTTTCTTCTAAACTGACTTACAAAATATTTATGGATTCAAAAATGATTTGCATGGTTAATTCTGATCGGTAAGCAAAGAACGGATAAACCACCCCATTATTAATCCCGTTAGTGAGTCCATTGTAAGGCTTCGGGAAAAAAGCGAACCAGGTTTTCCCAGTTAATGTTTTAACTATTTGCTGTCTTCTGCACAAGCTCTATGTGTTCTGGGTTCTCGGCTGTTTTGTCTACTTGGTTCTCATTGACATCGTTATTACTCTTCGTTTTAGTTAATGAGGTGTCGTCTTCTTTATTGCCATTTGCTTCTTCGCTCTTCAATCCAGGCTTCTCATCTACCATTTCTATCTGTTGTACTTCAATTTCTGGCGATGAAATGTGCATGCAGCTACAAAACAGGAAATGTAGAAACAAAAGCACTTAGGTCATGACGTTCTCAGAGTTCTTGCCCGGTAAACACAAATGATTATTATGTTATTAGAAAGAATGAAATTAAGTTTCTGAGCCAGTGATGCACTTTCAAAATAACACTAAAAACTCCCATAACTGCTATTCTTTAAACGAAAGACATGCACAGGGTGGAAAAAACCTATCTGCCCCAAACTCCTTCTTAACTGAATTTAACAAGGTACTGAATTCCTGAAACGTCATTAAAGGAAATAACTTTTCCAGTATTTTGAAGAAGATGATGAACCGAAACGCATGGTAACTCGTTTCCAAATCTTAGCACGAAAATAATCAGGGCTTTTAAATTGAAGAAGGGTTATTATTAATCATCCAAAAAAAACTCAAAATATTAAACTCCATGTTTTGTAATTTTAGCCAAGAAGTTTAAGATTGAAGCACAATTGAGCAACAGATATAGGTGTGATGAGAAAACGGCCGATGGAAAACAAGAAACAAAATAAAAAATTAAAAGTCACTTGACTTTGGTAAAGAGCTTTCAAACAGTACTATTAAACAAAGCCAAGACAAGCCAAGTTTCAAATGATCCCGCATGTACTGGAGAGGCTGCAATACTCCAGACATTTGTTGAAACACTTAACGTCACATTACGCCCTCCCCAATGTTGATTCACATCTGGTCACGTATCACCCATGGGTTGTAAATAATCGCCAATCTCAACATTGGGGAAGGAGAGAAGAAGTACCCACGGGGAAAAGCTGGATAAGTTGGTTGAAAAGGCGTGACATGAAAAAACCTCACTTTCAGTCTAGTGTTTCAACGAAATTTGAAGAGTATTTTAGCTATTACAGTAAAGAGCCATAATGCAAGTTGCTATCATAGAACAGGTTGACAGATGTTCTTTCATTCACCGCGCCGATCAGACTGCATGGTCTTCAATGAGACGAAACAATTACAACGACCTTGATTTTCATTACCTGATGATTACAAGTGGAAAAGTTTTCAAACCAGCGTTTAACAGAAATACCAAGCCATTAAAGCCAATGCCCAGCGTCGATTCGTATACATTGTTAAAAATCATTGCACCAATAAAATTAGAAAAGACATTCAGAATCCCGTAGACACAAAACAAGGAACCTGAATAAAAAAAGAAACCAAATTATTCGTTTGCACAATATTAGCCAAACAGAAATATGGCAGCACAAAGCCCCACCAGCACACAATCTCTTTGGTATGGACAGTATTTCACGCATGCGCACGGTCATGACCGCTGTTTCGTCCTTGTATAGCTCCAGACGAAGGTGTGAATGTAAAAAGCCTTCTAGAGACACATTAGATATATGATACTTTCAAGGTTGATGACAGATAAGGCCACAGTTAAATGACCTATTATGCAAATAAGCGCGTTGCTAAGGCTAACACATTGTTTACGACGCCATATTGAAAGCACGTCACGAAACGAGTTCAAACGAAGATTTTCGCATTTTCGCGCCACGTTCCGAGCTACAATCGAGTCAGTGTCACAACAAACATTAAGAACAGCGGTTTACTCGTAAGAATTCAAGATGACGACGAAGAAAACAGCGCAGCGCGATGAAAATTAAGGGCGGTTTTGCGACTGCGTTGGACCGCACTGAAAACAAAATGATGGAAAAAGATGAGGATATAAAATACGCGCTGAAACTTGCCAGTTTTTTTCACTTCATGTTAAGGAAAAACGTCTTAAAATTCCGGCAATGAGGGAACATTTTGGAATTTTTGGCTGCGGCCTGAAATATAAGTCAGTTCCAATTTTATTTTTTTTCGTAATTATCGAGGAAAAGCCAGAAATATGTAATTCTTGATTTTTTTGAGCCTGTGATACAAATCGGAAATCACAACTAAGGTGTGACAATAATAGACACCTCGGATAGACCTGTGTAATTTTTATTTTGCAAAATTCTTTATTTTGTGAGAAATAAATTCTTCAAATGGAAAAGTTTATAGCAGATCTAATACTATTTAATTTCCTAATTTTTTTAAAAGTTCACTAAAAAGGTTGTAAATGTTTGAAAACTGAACTAGTGTTATGGTCGGAGCCATTTTAATAGCATAAGATTACTCGGGCGCAAAGCTTTTTCAACTAAACGATGCTCAATATTACTTCAACAAAAGGGAAAAGATAGCTACGTTAACTAATTATTTAATAGATCCTTGCCCACTTTTCTTATTACTGGTAAATGAAATCTTAGCAAATATAAGAAGACAATGCCTTGGACGTTTGACCGCGGTGGGCAGATAAAACTTTTATCGGGACTGACGAAACAAGTGCAAAAAAATGGTAACCAGTGAGTGTTTCATTTCTTGTACATCAGTTTTAATGATAGCCCCCAACTTAACTCTTGTCCACATCCTTCCTCCCGCTATAGAACATTTTCCCTCACGTGGCCAATTGCAACATGTACGGAAATTTATTGGCACAAAAGAAAGCGTTTGCATAAGAGAAGAATTCAACTCCCACAGGATTATTGGTAAATCTTGGAACACTAACATGGCCGTCGTTTCTTTGTTTTGGAACAACAATATGGCCGCCATGACGTCATGTGAAAACGCTCTGTAGTTTGATGGATCCGTTCCCCACTATTCATCCATTGAACACATTACGTTGCCATGCAACAAAATAATCTATTACAACCTTCCATACTTGTTTAGCAACTCTATGCCTCCCAATTTTTACATCAAAACGTATTAGTATTGTAGTTTTAAATCCCCCCGTGCTATTGCGATCTTACAGGCACATACCCTGTTCATCAGCTTCGACTGTCTTTGATGCAACTGCGGTCAAAATTGGACCGACAGCTCCACTGAGAAAACCCAACGCGGGTACTACAGAGTAAGACGAAAAATTGCAAAATTTAGAAATGAATTCATGACTGCGACTAACTGGCACAAATTAGAGCCTTGGGTGGACTAAATACAGTGATTTGCATCAAGTTGTCCAATACGGGAAAACGGGAAAGGTCTATTCAACTTTAGCCATTACGTTGCGCTCACCAGTAAACTTGGTTTTACATAGGTTGTATGCAGTCGAACCCCGCTATTTCGAAGTCCCAAGGGAAATGGAAAATAGCGGGGCTTCGAAATAACCGGGGAAGCGTAAAGGGGAAGGGTAAATCCAAGGGCATTCGATCTTCCTTCGAAATAGCAGGGACTTCAAATTGACCGAGTTCGAAATAGCGAGGTTCGACTGTGTATACAGACTTCCGCTATTTCCTTTGCGTTAGGAGATGCTGCATACAAGCTTATTTGAATCCACTCACATCAGAAAAAAACATTCACGACAGATCACATACAAAACCCTGCCTACATACCAGTGAAAACCAACCATGTGCGGTCTGCAAACGCCAGGATTCCCATTTCAACCATCTGATTAATAATCGCGATAAGAGAAGTTGTTTTCTCGCTGACACACATTCGGAACAACTTTACTCCCACTGCTCCTCCAAATCCCTGAAGGAACATCCTGTACGCCAGGAAGTAACCTACAAGCGTTGGACCAAAACACAGCGGACTTCTCATCACGAAAAGAGCTGGAACACCTCCAAGTCCCTGAACCGTTACGGTTAGAATAGCTCCTGCAATCGCCACCAGCAGCAGAGTTTTTCGTGCACCCCGTGGGCGTGGCTTCTTGAAGACGTTTACAAGAATCTTCAAATTTTTGAGATCAAAAAACTTGTGTTTGACATTCGCGGTTTGATTATGGAGTTCTGGCACCATGAATATGGCCCAGAAGCCGCTCGCCAATAGACAGGCAAGGACGAGCCATGTTGGGGCAATAAACCCGAACCTATCAATCCACAAACCACTAGTCAGCTGACTGATGACTCCACCAGTGAAAACAAGCATTTGCATGATGGCTGAAAGTAAAACGAAACAGTTAGCATTCTCTCTATACTTCTTTCTACACATGAAGTACCGCTATACAGGCCTGAAACATCGCTCCTTCTGGGTCCTTGCTGCCGATCTTCCTCTGTTTACTGTCTCTTTCAAGCGCTATCCTGCGAATACAGCCGCCTTTCACTGTCCCTCGTAGCGGTGAACAACAGCAAACGACTGTTTTCTCGCCCCATGTAAGGGAATCCAAGACAATCTTGGATTCTGGATTCCATGCTATGGATTCTGGGTTCCAAGGTACTGGATTCCAGATTCAGTGGGACTTGGATACCAGATTCTGTCGTCAGTGGGATTCCGGATTCCTTGAGCTGTTTTCAGGGTTTCAAAGCCCAGGATTCTGGTATCCACTAGCAACTATTTCTTCGATTCCGGGCTCCAGATTTCCTAACATGGGGCGAGTTTTCCCAGGCTATTCGCCGTGCCTGCGATACCAACATCATGGTAACAGGCAAGAATGTAGCCTGCGAAAAAATCCGTTTCTCCTCGCCCTTCGCCGCTGGGGACCCAGCGGCGAAGAGCTAGGAGAAACGGATTTTTTCGCAGGCTAGCAAGAATGAGAATAGTCAGAAAGGTTATCATGATCCCTCTATATGATATCAGCTATGTTTGTGGGTGTGGTAGTGCACTTATATATCTTAGGTCTCACCTAATCTGAAGGCTATTCCTGTCTTCTCAGTTGTCTTGGCGATATAAGACATGACGGCTAACGAGAGAGTCGTCAAAAATCCCGAACTTCCGATCAGAGCTGAGCCCACAAACATCATATACAAAGGCAAATCGAGGTACATTACCATAAGCATCACTATAGTGCCTAAAACACCTCCAATTTCAGGTGCTATGAGGGCAGGTTTTGTCCGACCTGTCTTATCAGTCCAAGGACCCCAAAATGGTGCAACGATTAGTGACGGAATAGTCATAAAAAAGGTGTTCCCTAAGTCTATTTTTGTGGCTAGACTTTGCACCTGCGTAATGACAAAAAGATAACAAGAACGTCAAAGGTTAGGTTCAGTTTCTCAAATAAATAAAGTAAAATAAAAATTTGCATTCGATCGTTCAGTTGTTATCATCCACTTGGTATCTCTGTGCGCTGATGAACGCAGAACTTTCGAGAAGTAGCTTCCCGGTTAGTGGTCAGAGTACGACTTGAACTTCCTTAAGTAGTTTCAATTTGAAATAAAAGCACCAAGATTATTGGTGGAAAATTCTTTTGTCAAATTACAGATTACGGATGTGACGTGATTAAGGGTGGAGAAGTGAGGAAACCCCATTAGACCCCTATGTGCCGCCCTCAGACAGCTAAGTAAACTAAAAAAATTTAATCCGTCTTACTTCTTCCTCTAGTCGTTTTAAAGTGGCGTTTGCTCCAAAGACGTCTTCATGACACCCAGTGCCTTCTTTTTCCATCATTAGCTCCTTATATGGAAACCCTTTCCTGTCACTGATGACACTGTACACATATTGCCGAAACAAAGGAAAGGCTGTTAAGAGGCCGTAAGCATAAAATAGTATGACAGGCTCCACTGTTAAGAAGCTTCTCCAGCTTGGAAGTTTTTGTCGAGGCATCTTGTTATCGTAGAGCAATAAGACGACAACTGCACAATCTCTGGGAGAATTTCTCACTTGAAATAATCCTGAAACTAAAAAAATCGAATCATTATTCATTCAAAATATTTCGAAGACGAGAACCCGGGCAGTCGATCCCGGCCAACAACAATACCTCTCGCAGCCTACTGATTTTCAATGGGAGAACTTCTGTGCCACTTCGATCCTGGCTACTATTACCTCTCGCTACCAACAGTCCCTAAAAGGTCAACCAAGCCAAATGTGACTATGTGAGTAAAGCGCCGAATTATGTGAACTTAAAGTGAGTGGAAGTGGGTAAGGAACAAAGCCAGCAATTTTTAACTTAGGTAGAGACGATTTGTCAAGTAGAGAATTTTATTGTACTTGTATTTTGTTTTGTTCTACTCATATTTATTTAGATGCCCATATTGAGGTTAGTTGTTTGTTCCATTTCGTCCTGATTATGAGTTCTTTTAGTACGCAACTGACTCAATTTTCTTAGCGTTTTTTTTTATAATTTTCGGAAAATTTTGGGTATTTTTCTCTTAGTAAATTGTGAACCGCGTAAGAATAATTGTGCACGTACTGAGAAATGACGTTGACTTATGAGGACGTTTATAAATTGATTACGGATCAAAACGAACGGAATTTTGGAAAATGGCAGGAGCTGATTCAGGAGCTAGCAAAATCTATAGGAAAGGTGCAACATCCTACTTTTCTAAGGCGAGCAACATTCACTAACCAAAATTCTCAGGAGATTCAGGTGAAAATTTAAATCAGTTTCGGAGACAGCTTGATCAAACGGCAACCTTTTACAAATTTTCAAATGTCCAAAAGGCTGAAGTTCTTCCGTTCTCGTTAACTGGCAACGCAAATGTTTGGTTCTCAGCATCGCTGCATTTGGCGGGCAAAACCTATGATCAACTCTGTAAAGCACTGATGAAGCAATTTCTTTCAGAATCAGATATCTGGCTGTTAAGACAACAACTTCTAAATAAAAAGCAAACTGAAAATGAGAGCGTAACATAGTTTGCATCCAAAACACGGAAACTGTTTGCGCTTAAGATCTACCAGTCGAGAAAAGCCTACATTTCTCTATAAACGGCCTAAAACCTGAATTAAAAAACTACGTAGTTTTACAGCGACTAAAAGCACATTTTCGAAGCAGAGACGTGCCCAAAACTTAAGGAGGCAATACTCCTCGACGAAAAGCCTCTAGACAGGACAGAGGAAATTTTATATTTAAGCGCGTGATCAAAATTAAGATCAATTGGTGAACTTGAAGTAGCTTCATATCTGAATGAGTAGTTTGCCACCGATAACACAGAAAACAGTTCAGAGACGTTTTTAGAAAAAGAAGAAATTATTCAGATAATTAGACAAGAACTGCAGTCGCAAAATTTCTTTGGTCAACGTAAAGAAGAAAATAAAATTTGCTATTATTGTGGCAAAAACGGCCATATTTTACGATTTTGTCGAAAGCACCAATACGATTTGGGTGGAACCCAACAATATGCCTATAGGCAATATTTAAACTAAATTAAACTCGATCTCCTTTTATTTGATCGGGACAAAGGAGAGATCGAGAAAACCAATAAATCTTTTGCAATGTTAAAGGATAACGTCGCTAGTGTCAATGAATTAAATTTTACTTCAACTAAGGCTGTTGTTAACCCAAGCTGAATGGACTGCGCGTGGGTGTGTTGTCCCGAAGAGACCCATGAAAAACTCCAGGGAGAATGAAAAAACTAAAATTGAACAGAAAATTTGTCCGGTAAAACCAGCACAAGAACATTTAAAATGTAATAGCCAGGAAAGACAAAATAAACTGGAACAATCACCAGTCAGTGAAAGTTCCTTCAGAGAACAGGATTTTATCGCCTCTAAATTCAGTTGCAAATTCGTGTAAACGCAAGGCAGTGCAGACAAAAATAAATGCTATGAGTGTCACTGAGAATAAACATTTCAGTTACATTCATAGCATTATTCCCCGTGTTCCTGAAGAAATTGCTAGTCTTGAGAGACGAATAAATGAAACATTTTCTAACGTACGACGACATGACGCTAATATTTTGAAATTTGATGAAGAATTGGAAACGCCAAGGAGCGCTATTGTTGAAAATTATTCAGTGACAAATGTTGTGCCTAAGAAAATTAAAATTTGTTCCACGATAAGGAAACCCTCACGACACAAACGGACTAGTGAAATCGATACTGCAAATTTTAGTGGTTGGACAACTAAGAAAGAAAAGTCTGTAGTAATTCCTGAAGAACTGGAGCAAAAGTTTCAAATAGTAGAGCCACAAGAGAGTGAAATTATCTTCGAAACAAATCATTTTGTTTTTGAGGAACCCAAAATTTCATGTTATCAAATATAATCATATATAGAGTGTAAGAAAGTGGAACAGCCTGCATTGCGCATGAATATAATTAAATGGTTTACAAAAGCTTCACTGCAATAGTCTCACTTATATCGATCCTGCCACCGAAAAGCGTCTCGACTTTGTTCAGAGAGGCGTTAACAAGGAAATGCCACCCTACTCTTACAAAACTCCTAGAAAACGGAAACCTCCTGATAAAATTTCTTTTATAACTCGTGGTTTGGGTTGAGACAATTATTATTATTACGTGCTTATGAGAGATAAATATACGATGGAAAATTGTAACCTTGTGTTGACCTAAGCTTAGATAGGACACCAACCGGAAAATAAATAAACATCAGAACTTACTATTAGAATTAAGAAAAGATTAAATCATGTAAAAGGCTGAGCTATATTAGTGTAATTTATTCCGATAGTTGTTAGGTAATCTTAAGCTCAGATAATTGTAAAATTGGCTGGTGTTCCTTCAAGTGGACCAGACAGAATAAGCATGACTGAACCATTCCATTAAAACAAACAGCGACATACATTGCCATGGTCACAGTCAATATGGACTTACACTTTGTACCAGTTTGAAGGACAAAGTTGTGCAGAAACAATCTTCTATTCGAAAAACACTGGTGTTACTTGAAAACCGCAACATAAAAATGTTTTGACCAAGAAACCAAGAAATGACGACAGGAAACTTCGTAATTGCTATGGTCATCAACTCTGGTTTAACTACCTCCCTAACACTTTGATAAACCACTACGGTTTGAGAATACGAGGACAAGATATCTCACCCATGTTGAATTGGCTAAAAACACTGGACCTCCTGATTCAAGCTACTAAAGAAGGCTACAATAACGTGTGCAAATGATCTTTGGAAATCTCCGTGGCCTCTGCGGGAAACATTGTCTGGTTCTAACAAGTTTCTTCTCTCAATGAAGAAAACTTTTTAAAGTATTATAATTATTGTTACTTTTTCCTTAGTTATAGCTCTTACACTGCCTAAATTCATTGTTATTCTTGTCGCTGGGAGGCAAAACTAAAAGAGGGAAAAAATATGTTAGGGTGCATTTTTGCTCAGTCTATTTATTGTATGCGCTTCTCTTCGTAATCATTTATTTAGTAATTATTCAGTTTATTCTATTTATTTCGGTGTTGGGCATTTTAACTTTGTGAAGGGATATATAATGTATAAATAAGTTTGTCTTTAGGTCGGTTCGGAAATTAAAAGTTCCACCATATCTCAAATATCTTTTGTTAAGAGACAAAGGATGGTGTTTACAAGCTATCAGAACAGCTGGACACACTTTAGATTCTACTAGCAAACCTTTGCCGGGCAGTTGAGTCTTTGGCTAAAGATTTTTGCACCAACCTGTGTGGTGTTGAGATCAATCAAAAAACAGAAGTTAGACCCACGGTTAATTGTAGGAAACATCATAAGATTAGTGTGGTTTCAGTCTTTCGCAATTAAGGGTTTAACTGGGGTTAAGAAACACCCCCGTTCAAGCTTATTTAAGAAACATATAAACAAGTTTGATAGATAGAAATAATAACTTCCCTTAGCTTGGTGGGTGTATTCAGCCGTGGAATGAAAGAATAAGCATTTTCTGTAAACGAAGTTTGTTTATTTAAACCTGAAGATGGTTCTCACTTTCGCTTCCAAACTTGACTCATAATCAGATTTCTTATATCTCATTAACATCTTGTTGGGTCCACGCGACATAACACCGTTTTAGTTCTTTGTTCTCAGTTGGGCTATTTTCAGCTAAATTTGACTTACTTTAATTTCCAACTTTCAACCTAGGGTTTCTTTCGACAGAATCTTAGTAAAATTTGGTTTCTTTCACACCATCTTTATAACTTCTTGTATAGGAATTTGGCTATAGAGATATTTTCAGTTTTGCAAATTTTTTCCCACGCAGCTGAATTCAACCAAATTTGGTATCTTTCGTTGTTCTACCACCTCCTAACACCTATTTTTACGCATAAGAATACTATTGACCTTTCTTAGAACCTACTTAACTTAATAGTTCAGTATAAATACAACCACTTTGTAAGCTTAGTAAATCTTAGAAAATTGTGGAACTTAGAAAAACTAAGAAGCTCAGGAATCAACCGTTGTTCAATTCAACTTCCTGTGTACCTCTACTCTCTCAAACTCTGTACCCCTACAAAAAGATCTTTAAGGTCGCGTCATGGTTTTCTTGGCATTTGGTTCTTCTTAAACGAACTTTTTAAGAGGGTCATCCTTAAATTCCTAGTTACAGACGTTGCGCTGGCTTTAATCCTTTTAATTCTTGTGGGGACTACAAAATGTGTCTAGACAACAATAAATCTGGAAGAACCTTGGTCACCTTAATTAGCGGAACCATCAACTTACTACCAAAAACATGCCACCGATCGACCGGTTTTGCAAATATTGGAAATGGGCAAAAAAAGTTATTTTTTTCTTTATTATTATTTTTCGCCGTCCTCCGTCCGCCTTCCCCTGTCCACCGTCCACATCTTCCTTTTGCACGGTCCTAAATGAAGATCCCGATCATTTCTACGGCAGTTTATCTAGTCTATGAGAATGAAAACTGAACTTGTTTTCATCAGCCTAATCTGTGACCCTTGCATGCGCAATCGTAT